AATACTATCATGGCCGGAGGTGGGAAAAGCAACGACAGTCCTAGGCGCAGGAGATTCCTTTTCAAGCAAACAAATATCATTCGCTTTGGCAGGATTAAACGAACGTGATGCCCATTTCTTTCTTCTCCTGTTCCTCTTTTGTCCTTCATTCGTCGCCTATAATTCCTTTTTATTTCATTTTTGCCTCAAGTCTCTCCAAGACCCAGATTTGGTATTGCTTCTTATGGAAGAAAATTCTCTTTTTTGGAGGAGGGATGACAGTCTTTCTGTTTTCGTCATGAACTGGTTGGTCCATGCTGCTGTACTACAGACATATCCTGCATCTCCGGGATATCACGACCAGGAAGGTGAAAAAGCAAAACAAGCCAAGGAGCGGGAGGGAAGGGAGTGGGAAGAAAAAAATAATAATTAGCTACCTTGGTGATGAGATGCTACCCTTCCAGACATCATCCTCCTTGGATACTGAGATTTGGACTGTGAGAGAAAGGAGCTCACGTTGCTCTTCTGAGTAGGGTATATGTGTACGTAGTACAGAGTATGTATAGACGGAACATGCATGAAGAAGCGGACAGCTAAGTCGATGTGTCGCTGCCTTCAACGGCGAAGCCAAAAGAATACCACGCGGTGTTGCCGTCTAACCCTATCTCGAGATCCGAATATCAACTTAAGAAGGTCGTCTCAGAACATAGTATTGAAAAAAAAAAAAAAAAAAAAAAAAAAAAAAGAACTGTCTCACCGAGATCAACAGGCCTCTTGGTACTCCGTACCGCGTGGAGAAAAAGGATTAAACACAACTAGGCAAAGAGCATACAAGCTGGGAACACAACACTGGCACTGATGCAGCTTGAGCCATGGCCACGGGCTCCGTGTTGTTAGGCGGGCATGCGGCTGTTAGTTTGTATGTAACCATTTGCAATATTAGCTAAATGAGTTAACTAGTTAGCTAACACGGAAGGTATCCGCTCGATAAATCACTCCTGAGACAACAGACCAATAGACTGGGCTATCGTGCACAGAACCGAATATATATAAGTATCACAGAACAATGAGGGAAAGGGAAAAAAAAGCAACGTACAACCTCTTTAGGATGTTGGGCATTCTTGAAGGATCTGCAAAAAGACACGGAGTTTCCCAGATATCGACGCAGACAAGCCTCAAATTAACACGGATATTACTGCGGGTAACCAATATATACTCTCTCGTGGCGAGATGTGGTCCCTGTGTGTCGGTTGAATGGAAGACCAACATATACGAGCGATATCCATGCATGTTTTCCCTATCGCCGGAGTATCACTGCCAGCGGAATCACGCAAAAGCGTTGCCCCAGCCTATGGCTATATAGAGACGAAGGGGTGTATAGGGGTCATTTGTTTGATTTGGAAGTTTCTCGCCCACATCGTAGCAAGAGCACCCTGAGTATCACCTTGAACCCATAACTACCGTGCCATTTGACACCTTGACATTTCCTGGATCGCGCAAAAGGCAAGGACGGCTGAATTTCCGCTGTGGAATATTGTTAATCGTGCAATTTTGAGTCGAGTTTTTCGATTGAGGCTTTGATCGCCATTTTGGAGGGCCGATAAAGCTGAAGAAAGGCTCCACGCATGAAAAAGGCTGTTAAAATAACGCATCTCGAATGGACAGGATGTACGGAGTACGTATACTGTGCAACAACGGACGTTAATAATATATGGGTGGGTCAACACGGAGAGAGCTAAATCAACCTTTTTGGGGAGGCTGGAAGGTTATCCAAGGGACAAAGACAAGTCGGGATCTGGGATCTGGGATTCTTAGTTACGGTTGGATGCCGAATGGTCCAACCATAGTTACGGGGTTCTGCAAAAAGCAAGCGCTGGGCACACGGAGTTCATCTTCAATGCTCCGTCAAACGATCCTCTGCTCCGGGAAACAGCAGGGCCATGTCTCGAGTAATGCTAGCATATATACACCGTATATATATATATATTATATGCGTGCAAGGGTTAGGAGTTGCCTATGCGGGTTCTCGATAGTGCCCAACCCTTCGCTGCATTATCCTTATTAAATGAGGTGAGGACGAATTCACATGGGGAGGGACTGCAGAGGAGACGGGGCCACGATATTAATGTACCCGTATATGCATGGAAGGCATGTGTACGAAATCCGAGTGTCGCCATCCTGGTGATGGTCCATCGTCTTATAAGCAAGCAAATTGTGAACAGGGTACTCCGGAGAAGGGACATTGGTTCAACAAGGTTTCCATTTCTTACATACCATTTATTCCACAGGCCTCGTTCTTCTTCCAGAGTTGGTTCCTGGAAGTGTTTAGATTGAAATTTCGACGCCGGATAGTTAGCTGAGCACGGGCCTCGAGGGCGGGAAGTCTTTTTCACGCCACTTCACACGAAAATACCAGAGGCAGCGAGGCCTTGACCAGTCCCTGGTTCAGCACAAGGGAGTTACACATGTGAGACGAGAGATTCTGGTTGTCCTTCGTATACGGAGTATGAGTCCGTCATCACCTGGTACATGGGCCGTCTTCTCGGATCTCTTCTTGCGACCGTTTGAACTAACTAGTTATCCGCCAAGACAGGGCCTCACACCGCAGTTCCATGTGTACTTGATTGGAGAAAAAGCTAAGTACCTAACGATGCTTTGTTTTCGATCCAATGTATTTTCCGAAGCGGGGAGAAGTAGAAACGCTCGCCCTCGTGTCGGAAATGTTGGCGAGGAATGGAAAATGCTTCTCGGAGCGTAACCGAAAATGCGCCAAGATGGGATTGATGACTTGTGGTGGCAACCAAGTCTGTCAAACCTTTCCCCAGGCCCCGGGGCAAAGTTTGTTGGGTGGTGGGTACTGGCTTCTCCTCCAGTCGCAGGGTGTGTTAGAAATTTATCAAGAGATTCGTTTTTTGGATTTGGAAGAGGTTGCATATTGACATCATGCACGTATCCAATATACGTAGGCATGTAATAGGGCAGCCGAGGAGCGAACATGGGTTTAGATCCTGCGATCGGTTAAAAAGGGGAATTTTCCATCATCGCCAATTTCCATTTTAGCCGGCTCCTCGATCTCGTTAGGCCCTTGATGCGCAATCTTCCTTCCTCCCCTTCCATGGGCCACAAACTTTGACCTGTGGAGGGGTGGAAAGCGTTAGCTAACTCAGAATGGAGGACGGGCCGCATCCAATAGCAGTGTATGAGGCAGTTGACAAACGAATGCGGTTACCTGACTGATGTACCATACCGGCAATAAGGAGCCTCCAATTGGATGGGACAGCCGGCCAGACTCTAGGACGATTGATTTTCTTCACGGCTTGTTTCATCAGGCACGGAGCTTTGCCAGAACTATGCTAGCCTCTGTTTGTTCCGTGGAACCGTCAGAAGCGGCTTCGACGGAAGCATTAAAAAAGGCCAGCGAAGTAGATAGCTACTACTCCGTACTTAGATAACATTTCAATCAGTTGACGCTATCTCCATGAAACGGTGCGATGTGATAACTAGTCGTCTAGTCTGTTGGTTAGCGAGCCCTGCTGCCGATCTTATTAATGACTTTCAACCCACAACGGTGTTAAATTAGTGATTAAAACGGTACTAGAACAGGAAAAAGCTATCCGTATACGCCTTCGCCCTATCATCCGGATATCTCTCCCCGAGTCGGTGATGCCGCTGGCCAGTTCGTGTTGCTGGAGTTGATGTGCGGATTGAAGCCTGGAAGATTCGAAGTCGAAAAGACGGAGTCGTCGGGGTGACGTCTGGTATTTCCCCTTTCGGCCGTCATGTGAGCGACTTCAGCTTCCGCCCGATGACGCCAATTTGATAGCGTCGCGGATTTGGCATATTCTCTGCGCCTTCAGCCGAACTTCTAGAATGCGCTTTCGAAGGCTGAAGCTGATAGATGGCAGAGCGTAGGGCCTTGACCCTGGATCTTGGCCCGGCTACTATCCGACTGAGCAGGGGACCAGGTGCGAATATTATCTTCAATCCGGCGTCCAAAAATCCCAGGCTCAGGTTGAACTCACGTCAAATCTGCATAACGGTGTCAGTAAATGGATGCAGGTCGTCTGCTCCACTCTCACCAGCCACCATCTAAAGGCTCTCTGGCTTCACAGAGCAGCCGTCTAGCTCACTCCTCACTGCGAATATACCCAACAGCTGTGGATGTTGTCTGCCCTTCAATCACCCGGCGTAGTTTCTTGGTTTGGAGGTGATATATGCAGTCGCCATTTTGCCAAACCATGTTTCTTCCCTTCACCCTCCATCGGCCGATAGAACTCCTTCCGCCCTCAATATTCTCATTACCCACACTCTAGATTCCTCCTACCAACGTCTGCCAAAAGGCCTGCAGGGTCGTTTGACCAAAATGACTTGCCAACGTGACATGGAGACTCCGTGATGGAATCAATTAGAATAAGTGGACTTGCTGATAGCAAGCACCTCCCAGGGTCACTGCTCACCTCAGAGACGAGCCAAACATGGTGAGTCCACCGGGCCCGGATCTACGTGATCTCCTCTCCTTTTAGCCAGTGTTTTGAATTGAAGAATAAGGGGGTATGATCTTGATTCACCGCCCCGAGTAATTGATCGTATGACGTATATGTTATATTTAGTCTGCCTTCTATCGTCTTGGAACTCTGGATCATGTTGAGCCAAGAGCAAACTATATGGGCCATGGATTTTAGGCGTGAAGGACTTCACGAGTTTACGAAGTATCGTGACTTTTTTCCTTGGAAATCCGTGGCTCCATTTGAGACTGGGTATCCTGCTTTGAACATAGGCACTGATTGTGAGATGCGAGCGTCCGCCAATTTCTGCATCCGTGGCACAGAGCTACCGCTGGCTGTTGGTATCCCAATCTGTGCGAACAGCTCAGCGAGCAGCTAGGGGGGTATTTTTAGCGGAATTTTGAGAATCCGGCTTCCAACCCGTGAGGTTGAAGAGACCGTTTTCTTTCCCTTATTATTTACCGTAGCAAATGCAATATATCTATCTGAACCAAGAGGGCTGCTTGTTAGAAGTTAAGGTGTTCTCCTCGTGAGTGCTGGAGACGGCGTACCGTTAGCTATAATAATTAACCAGCATAACTATTTGGTCATACCAAGCGAGAGTAGCCCTTGGAAGGTGCAGCGAGAATATTCACCATAAACACAATATTATACCAATCTAAGGAAGACACAACTCGCAAAATATTGCATAGTTGATCATTAGAGAATCTACTCTAACATTCCGTATGTTGCACGTAGGTAGTAATGTATGCAATCTATGTTGAAAGGACCTCACAGTGAAATGAATTAACGGTTAGGTTAACAGCACACTATCCTCTATCTTCACATATTGGCTACTGCCGGTAGGACAGTGCAGCAGTCAGCTCAAAGAAATTAGTTTCATGTAGAGACTTTAGATATGAGTTCTGTAGATGTCCAGCTTCGAGATGCGAGTCAAAAGAAGGTGACATATTGTGAGCTTTTCGGGATCATTCTGGGTATCAACCAGGAGGGTTCCGGATCAGAGACCTGAGAGGCTGGTTATCATATTAGCACGCTGGTAAAAATAGGGAACCAGAATTATCAAGGTAACTAGTTACCGTAGCTAGCTACCTAAGTTTTATATAACCAAAGCATTATCGTAGTGCCGCCAATATCTGAAATCTTGACATCCGGTTATTGCTTGTCTTTTGGGGGAGTTGGTTGAAAAGCTGAAATCTCAAACCCCCTAGCCTATAACCAAACACAGCTACTAAATAGTTACTAGTTAACTAGCCAATTACAACTAGTTAAAGTTAACTAGTTAATAGTGGTATTGAATAATTTAGTTCATTGGTTGGTTTAGTTATCAGATGGCCCAGCAAGTTACACCTCAAGCCAACGGACATCCACGGGTGGGATGGTCAAATTCAAGCTATCAAACTGGCAAAATGGACAAGGAGAACCAACCAGAGCAGCAGCAGCAGCAGCAAAGGAGAGCAGACGAAGAAGAAGTGGAAGAAGAATGGAGTGGTGCCTTTGATCCGTTCGCTGACCCAGAGGAGCGGAGGGTACTGTTTGCCTCTCTGGACTCCTTCAGGTAGGCATTCTACTTGAAATCGACAGCCTGTGTATAATTGCTAATGCTACAGATAGACAATACCGCCGCTCTGCGCATCGAAACGTCACTCATAGACGGCGACAGTCGTTCTACGCTCTGCCCTCGCTGCACTGGAAAACCCTTGCCGCGCCACCCTTCAACCTGCTTGAGACGTTCAACAAGGTGGACGATGCAATTGATGCCAATGCAGAGGTAGCCGAGGCCATCCTCGACTCGGCCGTGGAGGCATTTCAGCTTCCCCGGCATCCCCAGGCCGAGGATAACGCAAAGGAAGGTCATGGAAGAGATGTATCATGGCATGACACTGCTACTTCGTCAGACGTGAGCAAGGCCAACTCTACGATCCGCCAGCTATACCGGGACTGGAGTGAAGGTGGTGCGGTAGAAAGAGAGATATGCTACGGTCCTGTCATGCGAGACCTGCAAGGTGAGTTTGGAGAGAAGCCTGCGCAGGGCACCAGGGTGTTGATTCCGGGGGCTGGACTGGGTAGGCTGGTCTTTGATGTTGCGATGGCCGGCTTCGATGCAGAAGGGAATGAAATCTCGTACCATCAGCTGGTGACAAGTAGCTGGGTACTGAACCGGACTAAATGCAAGGAAGAGTGTGCTATATACCCCTTTGTACTGCATTTTTCGAACCTGCGGACTCGCGAGCAACAGTTCAAGAAGGTCCTTGTACCGGATGTTCATCCTGGATCCGCAGTCAGAGGATACGAGGTTGACGTTGCAGACAACGAAGGCAGCCGGAAGGAGACGAAGAAGATGACGGGCTCGATGAGCATGACAGCTGCGGATTTTCTGTTACTGTACAATGAGGAGTCGAACAGAGAGGCCTTCCATGCCGTGGCTACGGTGTTCTTCATTGACACTGCGCCAAATCTGATACGGTACATCCAGACGGTGCACCACTGTCTACGGACAGGAGGCATCTGGAGCAATGTTGGCCCTCTACTGTGGCATTTTGAGGACAGACCAGCTCCGGCTGCTACTACTACTGCTGCTGCTGGTGATAGTGGTAAGGTGACAGAGGATGCAGCCGCTTCTGCCCATGCCCCGGGTGACGATGATCTCGAGAGGGAGTATAGCCATGGTCACAGCCACAACCATGGCCATAGCCATAGCCACCACGGCCGAGGGCACAGCCAGGGAGAGGGAATAGCGGACCCTGGAGTCGTAGAACTTTCGCAGGATGAAGTGCTGGCGCTGATAGAGAAGATGGGCTTTGCCGTAGAGAAGTTCGAGGAGGACATAGGGGGCTGCGGCTACATCCAGGACCCCGACAGCATGCTCTTCAACACCTACAAACCGGTGCATTGGGTTGTTAGAAAGAAATGAATCAACAATTTCGATGCCTTCTTCTCCTTCCCACTATATCGATATAAAATATATCTAGATCGACCGTCTTTATAGGCATCGTGTGTTATATGGAAATGGAAATACCAAAAATACCGTACATAGAAAACCAAGCGACCCGCGAAACTCCGTAATACCAATACGCAACTCCCCCAAAAAGCCGCGATGCGCCAAAATCGACGTCGACTTCAGCTTCAACTTCGTCTCTTTTTAGACAGCGTTTTCACCCTCTCTTTCGGCTCTGCTGTCTTCCTGCTCGCTGCGGTGGTTTTCTCCCTCCAGGATCCTTAAGGGGGGGGGGCGCCCGGGGCCACCTCCCGGGCCGTTAGAGACCCCCCCCCCCAAGCCCCGCCGCCCACCCCTGTTGCGCCTCCCCCCCCCCCCCCCCCCCCCGGTCAGAAGCGTTCGTTGCTTTGCTCTGCGACGACTCGACCCTTTTCCCTCCCTCGTTCTCTTCGCTCTGCTCCCTCTCGCTTCTCTGAGCCTCGAACGGAATAAGAGAAAAGGAAAAAAAAGTACCAGGGAGAAGAAGAACCCCCAGCCGTTGCTGTGCTTGCTGCCAATATACTCCTTGGGCGCTTCTTTTAGCCCTGTAAACCCCGTATTGCTTCCCTCCGCCCTCTCTCTTCCTTCTTTTATCCTCTTCTTCTCTCCCTTCTTCTTCTTCTCTTCTCCCTCTTCCTCTCCTCCTCTCATCTACTCGACACCCCCGTTTTATGGATCTCATGAGCTCTCGATTCAAGCTCGGTTTTGGAAACAAGCGCAAGAGTGGCTCCTCTCTCGCTCCTACAACCACCGCGACCAACACCCCCCCAAACGGGTCACCCTCGCAGCCCTCGCCGCCGCCAGGCAACACCTCCAACCCAAACGCCTCGTCCGCCAGTCTCCCCATGAACCCGCAGAACCATCTCGGCCGCCCGCCCAGCTACACATACGCTCCCGGCGCTCCAAGGCCCGCCAGCCCGCTCCCGCCTGGCGGCCAGCATCACCCGCAGCAGCTCGCCCACCATCCGCCGCCGCTGAACACGGGTGTGGGCGTGCCATACCCTACCGGAGGCGGCATGTCCTCTGCTCCTCCGCCGCCAGGGTACGGTGGCTACCCGCCTCAGTCGACTGGCCAGGGACATGGCATCCCACAGCCCCTCGCGCCATTTCGCGGCCATACCGGGGAGCTCGACAACCAGGCGCGCAGCAAGGCCCAGCTAATTGTCGGTATTGATTTTGGAACCACTTTCTCCGGTGTTGCTTATGCCTTTGCTACCAATACCGAGGCCAAGGAGGACATTATCACTGAGTGGCCTGGCGCTGGCACACATACCAAACAAAAGGTTCGTTTATTAGTCTCTTATTTATAACTATCAAAATAAATAAAGATTGAAATTTAACACTTTATATAGATACCTACCGTTCTATACTACGACCAGTATCAAAAAGTCGTAGGATGGGGGCCTGATATCGCGGACGCCCTCGCTCCCACCGGATACCCCAAAGCAGGCGTACAGAAGGTCGAATGGTTCAAGCTACAGCTCATGTCCTCCGGTGGAAATACCTATATAGACCCCATAAACCTGCCCCCGTTACCGCCAGGTAAATCTGAGATAGACGTGGCCGCAGACTACCTCTTCCATCTACGCGGGGCCATGCGCAACCAGCTCCAGAAGACTCTCGGCGAAGTTTTCAACCGTGAAGAACGCAACATCCGCTACTTCTTGACCGTTCCCGCCATCTGGAACGACGCTGGAAAGGCTGCTACCCGTGCGGCTGCCATACAGGCCGGCTTCCTGCGCGATGAAAATGACAACCGTCTCACCTTGATCACCGAGCCAGAAGCCGCAGCCATGTTCTGTGCAAAGACTGGTTTACTCAATCTTAAAATTCATGACGCCATCCTCATCGTTGATTGTGGTGGTGGTACAGTCGATCTCATCGCCTACGAAGTCGATGAGGAGTCCCCCTTCAGCGTCTGCGAGTGTACTGCTGGATCCGGTGACAGCTGCGGTTCTACCGCACTCAACCGTAACTTCAGCAACATCCTGCGCACAAAGATCCGAAAGATGAAGCTGCCAGATGGATCACGTACCGCTGGCAAGGTATACGCCAAGTGTATCATGGACTTCGAGAACAGAATCAAGGCCGATTTCAGAAATAACGGACAGAAGTGGGCCGTCGATGTTGGTATCGAGGCTGATTTCCCTGAAGCCGGCATCGAAGAAGGCTACATGACTTTCACCAATGAAGAGATTCTGCAGTGTTTTGAGCCTGTTGTTAATCGCATTTTGGAGCTGGTCAGGAACCAGATTATTGCCATTCAGGCACAGAACAGACCACTACAGGTAAGTCCTCCCAACACAATCATTGTTCAATCCTATATTAATAGTGTAGAATGTCCTTGTTGTCGGTGGATTCGGTGCATCAGAGTATCTTTTTCAACAGATAAAGCTTCACGTCCCTCCACAGTATCAGTCCAAGGTTGTCCGCCCCATGGATTCCGTTGCCGCCATCGTAAAGGGTGCAGTAACTGCCGGTATCACAGAGCGTGTCGTTACCTCCCGCGTGGCTCGTAGACACTATCTGATGGCCACCTTGCAGCCGTTCAAGGAAGGTCACCATCCTGAACAGTACCGTGTCCCGTCTCTCGATGGCAAGGATAGATGCAAGTATACGCGCCAGATATTCGTGCAAAAGGGCGAGCGTATCAAGAACGGAGAGCCTGTCAAGGTCAGCTTCTTCAGACAGGTGGCACCAGGAGCGACACTGATGTATGAGGATATCTTATACGCCTGTGACGAGGATGTTTGTCCCGAATATACAAAGGATCCACGTATGTTATCACCTTTTCTCTCCCATTTCTCTTCTTGAATCATCAGCTAATTTCGCTCTTATCATAGGGATCAAGGAAGTTGTCACCCTTACATCTGACCTGTCTCGCAAAAACCTTGAAAAAGATTTTGAACGCATGGACACTCCTCAGGGTACCTTTTACCGAGTGTACTTCGACATCTACCTCACCCTTGATGGCAGCGAGTTCAACGCTGAACTTGTCTGTCAGGGCGAAGTCATGGGCCGTTGTTCAGCAAGATTCCGATAAAGGGTACCTTTCGTTCCGACTTCCCTCCCACTCCCTCCCCCTTATATTTTCCATGCAAAACAAAATCGGCCAACAAAAAAAAATCTGATAAGAATGAGAGAATAGAGTGAAGAAGAGAGAGAGAGATCCTACCAAAGAAAGTTGAGAGATGGAGGAAGCTTCAGGAATAGGAGACAGGGGACTTTGCATTTCCACCTTGGCCATTTCCCCGTGGATTGATATCACGCCTTGATTTACATACTGACTTGTTGATTGGCCTCGCATTTCTTTTTCACTTCCCTTCTGTTCGTGATAGATCTATTTTTATCCCCTTTCTTTCCCCTTTTTCACGCCCTTCTTGCCGGTTGCCGAGTTGGTAGCAGATTCATCCTACCTATCTCTTAACACATATACAGCATTCACGCCATCTACGACATCTACCAACACCATATCACGGCATACTTACTACTATACGCAGCCCATGACCATCTTCCTGTTCCGCTAAATAATATAGCCAGCCTCGCCCTACTGATTTATATACCCCCTTTCCCCTTCGATCCGACTGGCCCGGCTGTCAATATCGTTAGCCTACTCAAATAAAAGGAAAAAAAAAAGAATCTTTCATTTTGCTAAACATCGTATTTCTTCCCGGTGTGCCTGTCTGCCTTACAGGCACCGATCATCAAATAGTTACTCTCGGCTTCTCCTCCTTTTCTGATTCCAATTGTTTGCTACTCATGTATGAAAGGAAATAAGCACTTCAACCCGACGGGAGAAGAAGAGAAGAAGCAAAACGTCTCCCAAGGCTTCTTCGCTGCCGCCGATCATATGATAATTTTACATAAATCACCGACCATGTCCCTTTCATCCCATGCACTAGTTATTACACCCTCCCTCCCCTCCTTTCCTCTGTGAAGAAGGATATCGATATCTCGTTGAATAACGAATATGCACACAAGGGTATGCCCTGATATACGACACTAGACAGAAAACATCGCACAGGTTGACATCCCGACGGGGCAGCGGGAAAAGCAAAGAGAGGATGTATGTCAGAGCCGGAAAAGCTGCAGATACACCGAATCAACCAGTCATTCGTCTCCTTATTGCTATCATCCCTGCATTAATCATGAAGAGGAGGCCGTGCTGGCTTCGAAAATTGCCTGACATTGACTTTATCCGGATAACAGACACGCGACCTCCTCCCTTTCTCGTCCTTGGGGTGTGTATCCCCCTTTTTTGCTTCTTTGAGGTATTAAATGTAATGTACCATGTAGCTAGGATGCGTTAGGCACCCAGGCAGATTGGTCCTTGATGCTCTTATCAATCTTCTTCTTCGACTGTTTTCTGTCTTCCACGTCTTTCTCACTCATTCGTTCGCTATTAGGTGCTGGCCAATTTGCATGACAATCTGCAGTTGTCATGTCTCTAGGTGTTCCTCTCCTATTGCCGATGTCAAGAAAATATTGGGCCACAGTGCTTTGAGCATCAGCTGGCAGCTGCTGCTTTACCTTTTCTCATCGTGCGATAGATCAGGCAAAAGCTCACTTGACCACCTGGCATGGCCCCAGTAAGTGGCTTGCTGCTAGCGACTAGGGGCCTGGGCAGACATGTTGCAGCCACGGCTACCGCGGTAAAACGAGTCGCATAAAACACCGCAATATGGAGACAAAAAACAACATAACCTTGTGGATCCCTGGATTGTGCTGATGGATGTTCCCCGTTCGAAGCGTGTTGGGTAGTCACTTGGGCGAATTCTTTTTTCGTCTGACGGGGAGGGGGTTCACGCAGTACGAGGCGCAGCACTGAACAGGGGCATGGGATTCTGACAAGACACAGGTGAGGGGACCAGCAACGGCGGTGACAGCGGCATTCAGCACACAACTGCTTGAGTTCCGCTCGACCGCTCCTTTACAAAGGAAGTGGAATCAATAATTGAGGTCAAGCTCGATCATTCAGCCCATCATAAGTAGCATGTCCAAAAAGGCCACGCGAAGCGTACCCCCTGATCCCCTGCAAGGCGTTTTTCTCTCTGTGCCCGCCACTTCTAGCCACTGTATAGGGAAAAAAAAAAAGGCGCCCAAAGCCGAGCTGGTAGTACCGTATCGTGGGGGTCTTTTCTTTCCACCAAAAGGTGCTAGGAGGCGTCAAAAGATTGACCGACTCCAGACAGAATAATTATGACAGTTTCCAATGGTAACACTGCACTCCACACTCTAACGGTCCAGACAACATGTCTGCCAGCGAATCCCTGCTTTCAAACTTGTCCAACGAGGATGGATCAGTGACATTTTCAGCTGGTCTTGAACGCCGGCCAAGCTGAGGACTGGCATCATCGAAATCTCTTGCAGGACATGATAGTAATGAACAAAAAAGTAACGAGAAACTTGAGAAAGAAAACAAAATCAATCATCGTCCGTATAATCGACAGACTTTGAATTCAAACTTCCCATTCTTTACGAGGTCGAGGGACCCCGTCGTGAAAGGGGGGATATTGTTTCCTTTCCTCGAGGTAGAGCACAGTTAGTTCTCTCGGTTCGCGCTTCATAGTGTCACAAGCCACATTCATAGATGACCGGACCGAAGGCCTAGCTTGTCAAGCAACAGCCGCCCTCTGCGCAGAAATATTAGTTGTGGATAATACTTGCCATTTCATATAGGACAGGGATATAACTCGCGGGGGTGGATACGGGCTAAAGCCTCCCACTGACATGGAACGCTGCTTGGCCGTTGTGCACACTCAAAGGGGCATAAAAAGCGCAAGTGCGGTGCGTAGATATGTCCAAGTTTACACCGTATGTGTGAGTCTTCGGTATCGCCGGCTAACTGGTTAATTGAAGCGGTCACGAGTGTAAAGGATTGATGTGGCAAGGAGGCGTATAGATATCTATTCAAGACCATCAGCGTTGTATTAATGTCATCATTCTTGAGCTTGCTCCCGTTTCATACTTCGTCGAACGGGGATGGAAGGACCAGGGTGGAATCAAAAGATCGCGTGGCCTTCTTCCACCTGGAAGTACCACCATTGGGAGGTATCGACGGGAAAAAGGAACGAGAAAAGGCAAAAAAGGGAGGATATACTCCGTACAGTCATAGCAAATAATACTCCATACATACGGATACTACTATTTGCGTACAACGTATACCATTCCCATGTCGCAACGAAACGAGCTGGTGGAATTTGTTCTCCGTAGTCGGCGTCATAGGCAAAACTGCTCAATCAGTGGTCTTTCAATCGTACATTCCGAGCCTCTCCATCGGTTGCAAACCCAAGATTATTTGCTTCATTGGCGCACGGACAAGGACAGACGATCTGGATCCGTGGGCTCTGGCCCTGGGCCATGGATTATGGATGATGGGCTTGTGAGAAAAGCGTGAGTTAGTTCAGCGGTGGAACCCCCTTTACCTTCGCGCGATTGCCTGCAGGAAAATAAAAACAATATATCCACAATTAAAGCATGTATCTTTCTGGACGGGTTGGGGGTAGAGAGGGGGAAGAGGATAGGATGACAGGCTTGAAGCTTTTTGCTTCTTGTCGTTTTCCAAGAACGAAGCTTGTGGATGATCGTATGTCTTCTTGCTGACCCAGTCGTGCTTGCCGCACATTCACGAATAGGGATCGTTGGCGGGTTATTCATTGCTCCCTGTGGCTCAGCTCGCTATCAATGGGAATGGGGCCGACACTGTTCACTGTGTGACTGGACTGGGCTATATTGACTGAGAGTTCCGGCACTTCTGCTTGTGGTTGCAATAAAATCCCTTCGGGCTTCCTGTTCCTTTTCCTGTTTTCTTTTCCGATGACCACATGGAAATGGATTTCACTCTGAGTCTCTATATATTTCATTCTGTTCGAGCTCTCTTCTCGACTGCTTTCCTTTCTCTGCAATAACATTGATTTTCATGTGAGATTGCCGCTGTCACTGTCAATAGAAAACCGTTGGCCGTCATGTTCATCCTCTTCAATGCCGCCTCTCTGGTGGCCATCTTCTGCATTTTTCTGGCCTGGACACATAAATGGCTGTCCCGTTCCTCATGGCGGGCTCAGAAGCAAAAGGCAGAGGAGGAGGTCCGGAAGGTGACCCTCCCTCACTCTTCTGCCTCAAGCGAAGGCCCAGTATCATCTCCAGCTCCAGTGCGAGAGAAACCGAAATACCGAATCACCATGGGCCTCAAGAGAATGGACAAAGCTGGCTGGCTCATCGTTGACGAAAACTATAGCGCTAGACATCAAGTGCGAGCCAACCTTTTCAACAACAGGAACCGGGAGGTGTCACAGTGCCTTCCTGAAGCAAAAGATGCATGCGACGAGGCCTTGAAGGAAGTGTCCTCTTTTCTATGCCGGACATACCCTGACATGTTTGAACTCAAAGAGTCAGCATCAGGGACTATCGTAAGAAACAAACTTATGGGAGAAGAGTTTCCCCTGGAGAACAGCACCATTTCACCCCTGGAAGCAGCCGCTAGGCTAGCCATGGAAGACATGACCATTCTACTCAAAAATGACAGCGGTGACCATTATGTGTACGTTGTATCTATCTATAAATCAAACAAATTAGTTACCCACTTTCGACAAATAATTGTGCTTAACCTGCTGATGATATTGTGTAGGGCTGCAACCTCCAGTGCATTCCTTATTGGTTGGTCTGCCAATACCCGCATGGGCTCGACGCTGAACGAGATGCATGCTCCTGTACCACAATGGGCCAGGCAGATCGCCTTTTCCGTGAACAAGTAAGGCTTCCCACAGTTCCTGATGTTCGGTTTGGTTGTTCGAGCCGGCTCCGTTTCCATGGTTCACACCCGCTGACGTTCTGATAAACAGGTTCATGGCGCGGCTAACCCCTGAATCGCCCATGGAACGCTCCAGCTACTTCGTCCAGGTTATCCAGCCCAACGAACCATGGGAATCTATTTTCTTTCAGCCCGAGGGCCTGCTGCAAGACCATACCATACCAACCCCTGAACGCGTCTTGATCCGCCGCGAGAGGCAGACCTTCAACCGTCTCCCGAAAACCAACGGCATCCTCTTCACAGTCAAAACAACAGTCTCGTTCCTGGAGGACCTCCCCCTTAGCGAGCTTCAACTGCTGGCAAAGGATATCGAGAGCTGGCCTGAAGACATGGCAGCGTACAAAGGTCGTTCTCACTGGGGAGAGACGATATCGAACTTTTGCCGGGTGAAGGAAGCTACCTATGACGTAGTTTGCTGACAAAGCAGGCATGCATGGTATCAACCTCCTTTTTCTTCTCGCTGTGTTGAACATCTGGATATTTCAAGTTGGATCATAATATCGGACGGTTTTCTCTTTTTTTCTGTCTTTTATCTGCTGCATGGTATAGGAATGGGGCATGTATCAATGGAGGAAAGGGAGGTATTTTGAATTTCTTATTTCATGAAGCTCTGCCAACGAGACCCTGTGATACTAGGTCGACAGACTCAAGTAGTGGGAGGAAGTCGGTATAAAGAATTATATTCGAATGATGAGCATGAAAAAAGGATACATACAGGATCGAATTGAAAACACTCTCTATATACGTGGTTGCGGGGAAAGAGACGCCCTATAAGTAACAAAAAAAGAAGACGAAGGGGGTACCTATGCCACATGCATTACCTTGGAATTAAAGGCGTGTAGCACGGTAAAGAGAAAAAACACTGTCGACCGGATTATAGTTTGCTGCTTGTTGGGGGCTTATCTTGCTTAAGTCGAACGACTCCCTGCATCGAATGGTCAGCCGTCTGGTCTAGTACTTTGCAAGGGTGCTTTGAGATTTGGAGAGAGAAGGCGGATAGAAAAAGAAATATAGCAGAGATTATGAATCTTTTTAGTTACCTCTTGCACGCATGTCGCGATCAGGGTGCCATCCTGAGCCCACATCTGCTGCAGGACAAGGCCTCGGCCTGCCCCGGCCCATGGAGTTCTCATTTCTGAGAATATCCATTCGTCTGCACGGAACGCCCGCCTGTCGTGGAAATATATCGTGTGATCTAAGCTGACCATCATGCCTACTTCCATATTGGGGTCATCTGAGGTCTGTTTTGATAGCTTTAATTCATGTTCCTCTTGCTCGGCTAGGTCCGTAAGGTATCTTTTAGCTAGCTCTTCTTCGACACCCACTTCTTTCTTTAGCGCTGCAGCGGCCCTTTCTATAGCCCCTGGAGATGAGAAGCGGCGGATATTGTGGACCCTGGATACGGTGCCAATGAAATAGCTATCTGACATGTACGCTAAGGCCGTCAGATGGGCTTGTCTGCCACCTTCTGCAGATATCGTGCCCCGGGCCTTGTTGTACAGTTGCAAGGACCTGTCCGCAGCGTGGGGGGAATCTCCTATTTTTTTCAAATCCATGTCATTAGTCATTAAGCATATACAAGGTTATGCATAACCACTAGTTATCCGCTAGTAGGTGGGATAAAATGCGGCACTGTCACCGGATGTTCGCGTACTGTTTGTTATTCCAACCCGTCTCGACTCGAATGGGCCTCGGCCTCGTCCAAGCCCATCTGGCTGCTGGGGCAAGGGAACATCGGGTTTCTTCCTGGTATGCTTGATCTCTTTCTTTCCCCAACTTCCTTCACGGTCAAAACTAAGGGTTGTGGTGAATATGGGCCGCCCCTGTTGCCGTGCCTGGACTGTTCGAGTAGCAAAACTCCTCCCATCACGAACTCGTTCAACGTGGTATAGCACCGGTAACTGTGAATCTCCCGAAAGGACAAAGTAGCAATGCATACTATGGGGATAGAAATCAGGCGGAACCGTTTTTTGAGCTGCAGATAGACATTGGGCTATGGCTGCGCCCCCGTATATGCCTCGAGCGCCAGGAGGATGCCAGAGGGGCCTGGTGTTTGTAAACACATCCTGTTAAGACAGAAAACCGTTAGCCCATTCGATTCCATCAAGAATAGGCAGCACCTTGGGCACCTGAAGACTGTACGCACCGGGCCGAGATCTGTCACCGGCGTTAGCTCGAGGACATTCTCGATTTGCGACTTTGAAGGGTCGTGAGGGGGCGCTTCAAATATCGTTGCGCCCATGTCTAACCACTTCTTCTCTCAGAATCTCCTTCGATACCGCCGGCAGTACAAGATAAATGGCAGGCCAAGGAGGCCAGATACAGACGACCGGCTCGATATTTATTCTTGACCAGGCCTGCCATTATCGCCGCGTCCGAGCCGGCGCCCGTGAATTTTCCTTTCGCCTTTTGGTTTCATCCAAAGTCTTTTTGAGCCGAGGTCCAGCTGGGCTTATCTAATAGATTGAACTCAATTAATCAGTCACGTGAACACGCGATAAGGTTGGATCCGTCTCGCGTTGATTTTTGCGTTTTTGCGATTCCTAGGTCCCTCTTCTGTAGGGGTAACACCCGTAGATACCTAGTTACAAGCTGCTTCAGAGCCTTTCAGAGCGATATGCTCGACCCATCTTCAAACATTGCCTGCTGAACAATGGCATTTTTAGCCAGACGAATGCTTCATTTTCTCCAACCAGCGAGGCCTACCATATCATATATAATGGCTAGGATGAACCGACATTCGTCATGGGCAAGTCTCGCTGGTTCGCTAAAGTCTTTCTTGCCTAGGCAGCCAGAAAAACCGCGTTTGCTTCCCACAAGTGGTTTCCAAACCATTGACTCAAATATAGTGATTGAAGAGGAGGCAATCCCTGACTATAAAGCCGATCGATTCTATCCCGTTAAACTCGGAGAAGTTTTTGAAGGCCGCTTCCAAGTGATTGCGAAGCTAGGATTTGGCTCATCATCGACTATTTGGTTGGCCAGGGACCTCAGGCATGTTTCTCTACCACTCCCTATGTTCGAAGTACTTGGCTGTGACAACCTTATCTAACTGCCGTAGGCGTCATGAATATGTAGCCTTAAAGGTATACGTGCATACGTCCAAATACCTCAGGGAACCTCCGTTTTACGATCATATTTCTCGCCATCTTACAAATACGAAATCACAATATGAACGACAAAACATACGACGAGTATTGAGCACCTTTCAACTAGCTGGACCCCATGGTATACACCCCGTTTTAGTCTGTGAAGCATCGCAGATGAGCCTCCGTGATATGAAGACCGTCTTCTTTCCCAATGGTTTTGAAGAATCTTTTGTCAAGGCGGCTACAATTGAGCTCCTTAAGGCTGTAGATTTCCTCCACACCCGCGCAGGGGTCGTTCACACCGGTATGCTTGTATTCTTTCTGGAAGACGGCAGACATTGCATTTGCTCACTACCACTAGATATACATCCTGGCAACTTGCTACTGGGCTTGTATGATAACAATGTACTCCAAGTTCTCGAAAAGATGGAATTTGATTCGCCTGTTCCTCGCAAGCCGGTTTCGGACTCTCGGACTATCTATATGTCGCGACTCGGTAAACCCAAAGAAGGGCCAATGCTGTTATCTGACTTCGGAGAGGCAAGAATTGGCCCAGGACCCCATGGCGGAGATATTATGCCACTTGAATTCAGGGCTCCTGAGGTTCTACTATATGTAGGCTGGAGTTATCCGGTTGATATCTGGAGTGTTGGGCTTACAGTATGTTTCCTTTCATCGCTATACTGGTAATTAGCAGCTAATATTCGTTATTTAAGGCCTGGGACTTGCTCGGGTGCCAGAGGCTCTTCACAGCTCGAGATGAAGAGGATGGTCAGGCGTATGATGCGGTTCATTTTGCTGAGATGATTGCAGCCCTGGGTCCTCCGCCAGCTGAATTTTTGGCCAAGAACCCTGAGCGACGAGCTGATTTCTGGGGCGAGAAAGGTATGTTAACCATCCGAGAGAGCCTTTCCTGGTTCGTTGGTATATTAAATAAATCTAGGTGAATGGCTGGAGCTGGCACCCATCCCAGAAGGCAGAACACTTGAATCCGTTGAGAACCGGCTGGAAAACAACGAGAAATTCTTGAAGTTCATACGGCGAGCTCTGACTTGGATGCCTGAAGAGAGACCTACGGCAAAACAGCTAATGCAGGATCCTTGGTTGACATCGTAGAAACAAACAGCTGATTCCGGACCACCCTGGAAAACAGCATGTGCCATCAGTAATGGGCAATCGTTCAGTTCAGAGGCACAAACAACTCGACTCCAGATCGTGGATAATTAACACAAAACTCCGAGAGGATTATTTCTTGCAGCTATAAAGCCAGGTTGAGCATAACCAACTAGTTAATGGATCAAGAAAATGCGGGTAACTTTGCGAGCTGACAAACAAGACCGACCTCTAGCTCGCCCTTAACATAAAAGCTGCCACTGAGCCGAAAGAGAAAGCCCACACCAGTGGCCAGCTAGTTATACAGTTAATGATTTCTTTGGCAATATGGAGCACTCCTCGAGGATCGCCTGGAGCCTGCCCGCCTAAACTTCCTTCAGAGCGGGAGACGCTGTGTCCAGTCCGCTCTCTTTGGCTTATAAGCTTAACTGCTCAGCTAATAAGCTGCCTTCTGTTGCGGAGAAGTTACGTAGTTGTGCATGCGCCGCTGCGGCAGGAGTTCACTGCTTACTCCGTACTTCGAATGTTCCTTAACTAGCTAGTTGTCTAGTTTATGTGTCACAGAGGCGATATCCCAACATTTCAGTCCTGCATGTCGACCTACACTTCTACTCTCGCCAGCCACCAGAGGAGCGCACTGTGACCCCGCCAGCCAGCTCGGACAATTCAAACGCCCAGAGAGTGGGAATCAGAAAGTCCGTCTCGGCTAGGATGCCTGCTAGTCTCTCGGACCAGAAGTACGGTTCTCCATCCAAAACGGCTTGCGTCGATGCCTTTCAGCCAATAGATACGACATGCCTGACAGGGAGATGCAATGCTGCTGAGCATTTTTGATAACTTTCATGGCCTATCCTGGGAATTCAGCCCGGACTGCGAGGGATGGCGACGACGTCGTAGGCCTGTTCCAGCGCTGGGCCACCTAACTAACTAATAAGTTAGTTGGTTAGCTGAGCGGGCACTGCCGATCACCACTTTAATTAGGCCTGGTCAAGGATGCAATGGAATTTATCAAAAAGAAAAAGGCTGCTGGGGAGCAGCTATATATACCCTGCCAGCCGGTTCTGGTGGATCGGGCAAGCTGTCAGCGCAAAGGCCGTTTTGTCACCACGCAAATACGCAAATTGGCTGTGTGGTCGAGTCAAGATGCGTTTCTCGACTCTAGTCAGTCTCGCCGCCTGTGCGGCCGCAGCTCTCGCCTGCGACTCCTGCAGCGAGCCAGGCAAGCCGGCTGAGCATAAACGACTGGTGCGTCGCATACAGCCTGAAGCTCAGGGAGCGCTCACGAAACCCAAGGGACCTCTCGAATGGGGCCAGATCAACTTCTTGCACACCACCGATACCCACGGATGGCTCGAGGGGCATCTGAAGGAGCAGAACTACGGTGCTGACTGGGGAGACTATTCCTCGTTCGTCAAGCATATGAGACAAAAGGCTGATAGACTCCGAGTCGACCTGCTTCTCATTGACTGCGGTATGTTCTACTTCTGTATTATCTTCTTTCCTGCCATCGTTGCCAGTGTTGGCTGACATTGGGAAAAAGGTGATTTGCACGATGGCAACGGATTAAGTGACTCTACCTCGCCCAATGGCGTCATCTCCAACGATGTCTTCTCCCGCCTCGACTATGACCTGCTTAGCATCGGAAACCATGAACTGTACGTGACCGATGTCGCCTATGAGACATTTGCAAACTTCTCCAAAGTCTACGGCGAGAGATACGTGACCAGTAACGTCCAGATCATCAACAAGAAGACCGGCAAGCACGAATACATTGGCAGCAAGTACCGCTACTTTACTACCAAGCATGGTCTCAATATCATGGCCTTTGGTGTCCTCTTCGATTTCACTCTTAACTCCAACGTCTCCAAGGTCATCAAAGCTGCAGATCTTGTCCAGGAATCCTGGTTTATCGATGCCGTCAAGACACCCAAACCCGTTGACCTTTTCATCATCTTTGGCCATACACCTGCCCGCAGTGATGACAAATTCCCAACTCTCCGCACTCTGCGCCAGAAAATCCAAGAACTCCGCCCTGGAGTCCCAATTCAGGCTTTTGGTGGACACAACCACATTCGAGACTTCGTTGTCTATGACGAGACTTCTACTGCTCTGGGATCCGGAAGATACTGCGAGACCCTCGGATGGCTATCCATGACTGGAATCAAGTCTCGTACCTTTAGAGGCAGCATGAAACCAAGAGGCGTTCCCAATCCAACTCGTCGTGCCATCAAGGGAAATGCCACTACCTCTACCCAACCGGACCACCATCCACAGAGGGGATTGGACCTCCGCTATTCCCGCCGTTATCTAGACTGGAACCGCTTGACCTTTGCCTACCATGCTTCTAAGTCTCAGGATCGACAATTTGACACTCAGAAGGGTCTAAAGATTACCCACGACATTACTGATGCTCGCAAGCAGCTCAACACCTCTACCGTTTTAGGATGCGTCCCTGAGACCTACTGCATGTCCTGTGTTCCCTTTGAAGCTAAGAATAACATCTACCAGGTTGTTATCGACATGTTAGCCAAGGTTGTTGTCAAGGAGGATCGCGCTGATAAACCAAGATTGCTCCTCCTGAACACTGGCAGCGTCCGATTCGACCTCGTCAAGGGTCCCTTCACTAAGGACGACGAATACATCGTCTATCCCTTCAAGAATCAGTTCCAATATCTGCCTGACGTACCGTACTCCATTGCTAAGGATCTCCTGGATGCCCTCAACAAGGGACCCTACCAGAGACGCTCCGAGGAATACTATCCTATGCCCCCCCAGCTTGGCACTGATGAGGTCTGCGCCAACCCTTCGCCAGAATTCGTTCAGCTCAAGCGCCGCGAGGCTCCCCAGCCCTACAAGCCCATCACCCGCCGCACAATCGACTCCTCTATGTTGTATCCCGGCTACGTTACATCTGATGATTTTGGCCTTGATGGAGACGACACCCCACACTCCAAGATCCCGTATTTCAAGGTGCCCATTGACATTCAGGCAAACGCTTCCTTCCCTACTAATGGCTCCATGCCGGCAGTTGTCGATCTCGCTTTTGTAGACTATATCGGTGCCAAATACGTGATCCCAGCCCTTAACAAGCTTGGTGGCAAGTACTCTGCTGACGATATCCAGAGTTACAAGGACTTTGGATCATCGAGCTTCTTGCGCGAGTACGCTCACAAGTTCTGGCAGGAGGGCCTGCCTAACTGCACTGCCAACTAATGGCTAGGATGTTTTAAGGGCACTTAAACAGTAGTGTAGATATGATAATAACGAAGTTAATTATTGCCGTTTGGAGGGATTTCAACTGTAAATAACCTGAAGAATAGAGCTGCTATATGTCTTTATACATGGATATATATGGTCGTTGTTGGTTAAATAGGGTCAATATATCTTCCTTTTATGAAACTCCCAAAATAGTTTCTAATGGCCACCAAGGGGCCACCAATAACCAGTTACTCAGTTGTCTGTCAATACTTGCGGCCTCGTTATACCAAAAAGCAACTAACACAAACAGGTAGCAATAAGGATATAATTTGAATTGCAATTTGCATCATGTCTAAATTCAATCAAATGACACAGTCATCTCTAGCTATCGTCGATGGACTGGCTATAGACCTACAGACCTCGCTACACATTAATTACTTATACTCCAGCTTTATCATCGCTTTCTGTGGGCTAGTGTCGATTATTTCTAATCAGTGGCTACAAAGTAGAGACACCGAAAGAGTTCAATGGAAAGGCTATAAGACTAAATTTGAGGATTGGCAATAGTTACGTCTAAAGTTTAGTTGAAACACTAACCAACTAGTCCCTGGCAGTTGCTATATGCTTAATTAGCGCCCGGAACTTTGTCCCCAACTTCCACTTTTTTCCATAAATGCGAGGCAGAGAATATTCATGCATCTTGGAGAGCGCTTCTGAAACCCGGGTTTCGCCATTACTAAAGTGAGTGTCTGTGAGGGGCTATTCCTGTTACTCTGTGCATGCTATTTGCGATCGTTAGTCAATGGCATCCGCACTACTCAGCTTACGACCGAAGACTGTCTCATCTTGTGCCATACTCCCAGCGCGTATTGGCCATTCTTTGCGCTTTAACTCTTTTCGCTTGAGACATACTTTCTCTATATCAACATTCAAGATGCCGTCAGCCAGTGAAACGGATGTAGAAGCTCCTCGTAATGAATACAACTGGGTTGATGGAGCAGAATCACTCGGAAAATATCAACCTGGGGGATATCACCCCATCATGATCGGAGATGTGCTTCATGATAGATACAGGGTTGTGGATAAGCTGGGATTTGGGGGCTATGCAACTATCTGGCTGGCTCAAGACAGCTTGTTAGAGCGCTATGTTGCTCTCAAGGTTGGGATTGCAGACTCTCTTCCACGCGAAACAAGAGTGCTCCGGGAACTTTCGACTTCAGCTTCGGAATCTACATCATCCAGCTTATCAGCCAGACTCAGAAACTACGCTCATGACTCGATACCTGTACCTCTTGATGAATTCAAGATACATGGACCGAATGGGACGCATCCATGCTATGCAATGACCCCTGCCCAATGCAACCTCCGGGAGGCATCGTATAGCCGTTTATTCCATATTGACGTAGCGCGAGCATTGTCCGCTGCAGTTACATTATCGGTCGCCTCTATCCACTCACGAGGTTTTGTTCACGGAGGTATGTAGCAATCAGGAGATCATCAATTGAATAGCCTCGTTCCAAGCAATTTATAGACATACACTTGCGAAACGTCCTAGCAAAACTCCCGTCCAGTTTTGACAATCTCTCAGTCGACCAATTTTATGAAGAATACGGAAAGCCTGAGATTGTACCGATTACCAGAAGTGATGGTGCCCCTCTTCCACCTAATGTCCCAGCACAAGCAGTGATTCCCATCAGTTTCGGCAAGTATGCTGAGGATTTTACGCTAAATGATTCCCATGTACTGCTAAGCGACTTTGGGGAAGCATATTCTCCTACGTCCGAACCTCGTTTGGGAAAAGAATGCCATACACCGCTACACCTAAGGCCTCCGGAGGCACGTTTTGAACCGGATGCCCCAATGTCATACTCAGCTGACATATGGGGGTTGGCTGTAGCCATTTGGGAGATAGTAGGTATGAAAGCTATCTGGAGCTGTGAATTTGCAACACCAGATAGTGTGACAAAGCAGCACATCGAAGTACTTGGGCCCATGCCTGTGGAGTGGTGGGAGCGATGGGATGAACGACATGAGTACTTCGACGAGAATGGGAAACCCACACAGGGCAGGGAAGTTTGGCCTCCATTGGACCAGGCTTTTGAGGAAGGAGTTCAGAAATATCGACGAAAGATACAACCAAATGGTGTATTCAGCGAAGAGGAAACGACTGCGTTTCTCAGTTTAATGCGCCAAATGCTTGTATTCCGACCCGAGGAACGACCGACAGCATTGCAAGTGCTACAATCAGAATGGATGGTTAATTGGGCCTTGCCTGACTTTGAACGAAGTCTGGGTAACTGACTGATAGACAGAAAATTTCCTTGCTCTACCATGGGTGTAAATAGTTAGTACCCCAACAATTCTACTTGTGAATATCCAGCGCAATGGCGATGTACTTTTCATCTTCATTGGTCCTCGCACCCACTCAATGATCATCTTGACATGGCAGCCACCAAAATGAGATGGGGGTCAATTGCAGCGTTGCGCCAGAGATTCCAAGGAAGCAACTAAAAAAAGTTGCTGCAGCCACAAAACTTAAAAGATCACCGAAAATCCGTCTGTTTAGAACACAGCAAATTCTGCATACTTCGACATCAACAAAATGAAGAAAAAAAAAAAAAAAAAAAGACTGGAGCCAGTCCACCCCAAGGCTGGCTGGCTGGCAGGCAGGCATAGTTACTTGAAGATGTGGCATCGCCCGGAATCGAACCGGGACAAACTCGGCTTTGCTTGTGTTCCACAACGAGTTATCATGACCATTAGACTACGACACCAGGGATGCTGCAATTGCCACGGCCGCCTCAGCATGAGGTTTGCGCAGCGGATACGAATACGGAGAAGAAAGATAGCCAGCTTGTTGACGTTTTCGAGTTGTACTTAGGCAACAAAAGGATTATCACCATGCCCCATGGACTGACTCGACAGCATGAGTACGATTGATTATTGGGATGCCCCTAAACTGATATACAATGCAGCAGTTACACGACATAGGAAAAAGAAACCAGAACAGCAAACGAGCGACCCGGACGCGGGGCTGCGTTGCCATTTCCCATATAAGAGTTATTGATGGAGGACTATCTCAAGCCAACATTGCCACAAATACCAGGGTGTCTGAGGGGAAAGGTCGTGGTAGCCAAGGCAGTAATGGACAGAGGCGCAACGATCATGCCTCTACCTTGCTGCTCGGGAGTTCGAAGTAGAACTTGTTGTACTTTTCCGGGTGATAGGATGAGAAGTAGTCCATATACAGCAGCTCTTCCCTTGTCTTCGGCTTGATGGTCAAATCTGGAAAGTTGCGCAACACGCTGCCGAGAGTGACATAAAGCTCACAGGCAGCAAGTCTGGAATTTGGGTGCAAGGAAGAAAAAAGGAACGGGAATGTTAGCCATGTACCATGCACACAGACGGAGCGCAGGCAGCCATTATATATAATTGGCCGGGGAGGGACGCTGCAGATAGACTAGTGGGCCGCATGAAGGAAAGAAAACGAGTACGCAGAGGCTTTGGAAAACTTACTGCATGCCAACGCAGGCGCGGGATCCTTTGCTAAATGCCACGAGATACCTTTCAAGCTCGGCGCTGACCTTCGAATCTAGCCAGCGCGAGGGATCGAATTTGTCAGGGTCAGGGAAAATATCTTGATTTCGATGCATGGTCCATGAACTCATGCCCACAGTTGTCTAGATAAATAGTCAGGGCACTGGCTGTCATTTGCCCTTAAGGAGAGATGGGGGTGGGCTGGGGTTTAGGGACAGAGTACTTACGCCGGCCGGTACTTTATACCCATCAAACTCGGCACCGGATTCTGGTACCACTCTGGGAAGACGTCCAGGAACGCCAAATGATAAACTGATATACCCTGTTAGTCGCTGTCTTGGTGCATATAACTAGCGTTCACACTCACCGCAAAGCTTCCTTGATTATACCCGTCTATATTTCATTGTACCTGCTGTCAGCGGTGTGCTCGAACGAAAACAAAATGAAAGAAAAAAACAATGGGTGATGACGAACAAAATACGGCAATTTCTCCAAGGTGACGAAGTCGATATCGCCATTTGGATCAGGGAATGCCTCACGCAGCTCGGCGGTCACTGCTGCGTATATTCTCGGTGATGAAACGGTATTGTACAGTCCTGTTGTCATGGCATTACCTGTTGTATCAGCAGCAGCAGCAACAACAATGTATGCTTCGTCCTTCAGCTGTTCAACTGTCGGGATTTCTTTCATGAACTCCGGGTTCAAGAATTGGTGGAAAATGGTCGTCCGCTCGGGCTTCTCGTTAGCCTCCACCTGACGCTTCACTCTGACCACCTGTTCTCTGCTGCTCTAAAGACGGTTTCAGCGTCGTGGTTACGCCGTTTATACATGCAGAGTCTTACCTGATGGAACTGCAACATGCGCGTCAAGGATGGACTAGTCAATTTGGCCACCCATGGCGGTACTCCGAGCAAGATGGGCCGCAAAAAAGGGAACTGCTGGAAAAACCAAAACATCGGGCCAAAACCTCGGATCATATCGAAAAACGGCGCACCGAAGTCATCTTTTTCCAGAAAGTTGTAGCAGTTGTCGAAGGCATAGTCACTAATGACATCGATTGAGATTGCCCGAAACCCGTGATGGAGGTCTATTCTCCCACAAGTCTTGAGAGCAGTCGATATGCGCCTCACTAGTGTTTTGGCCTTCGATTGAACGATGCCCTCAAGTTCAAGAACACGCTTTCGAGAGAAGAACGGATTGAAGGCCGCTCGCTTCATTCGGTGAATATTATTGTCGGCGGTCGTGAAGGTTGCCTTATCCACGCCAAATGCATCGTAAAAAGGGGCACTCTTGTTATATGGGGTCCCGACATGATATATTTTATCATAGTTATCTGGGTTGCTCAAATGGATTTCGTCAGGAGTTATCCGGATCACAGGGCCTCAATAATACTCCAGTAAGCTCGGTTTCGACTTTCATACTTGTATATATACCAGGAACGAATCAAGCAACGGAACATACCATATGTTTCATGCAACTTATCGATTTGAAGGTATAGCTTCCCATCCAATATACCATTGAAATAGAAAGAGTATAAGTGCGTTGCTCGGGCAAGGAATGGGCCAGGAATATGTGCCAATGGATGGAAATTGATTCGATATATAACAACTGCTGCATACCAAATGATAATGCCCAATCCTGCTATGGTGGCAAGGATTGTGAGAGAGGAAGGATCCAGTAAATAACCAGTGAAGCCAGCCATGGTTTCACTCCAACGACGTTACGATATTGTCTGTCTCTGAGCGACTGCAGAGAGATCCGTCATTACAGCAGATGCAAACATTAACATTAAAATATGCAGTATTATATAAATCAGGTATTATATAAACCAGGGATCAAGACGAGACTAAGATTGTCAAACTGGCCCGCAATTTATACTCTTCCGTATACATTTCAAGAACCAACCATCCTGTCACAAGTAACGATATCGAACCTTAAAAAGGCAGTGGGATATGAAAGGTGAAAGTATGATCGAGCGGGTTTGGGTTGAAAATGCAACCCTTCCGCGGAGCGAAACTTGTTGGCTGGCATGCTAGGGAAGGGAACGGGGAGATATTCCAAGCCCATACGCTCAAGACGCCAATCCAGCCATTTTTGCGCCAGGTGAACAGATGAACCGTCGAAATTGGCCGCCTTAGGTTTTGTATTAACTAGCCTAAGTTAGCAATTACCACTGGGGTTTGATATTCTTTAAAAATTTTTGACATCGTATTTCGGATCCATACATTCCATCTTCAATTTGGATGCGGGCTAAAAGGTGATATCTAGAAAAAGGTGACGGGTTCGATAAACGTCATAGATTCCTCATGATCTGCTTATCGCCGTCTGTGAGCACTCCGTATTCGTTAGCCTCGGTGCTATTTTAATGGTCTGTGGGATTGGTGCACTGTTAGGGGCGTATATGTCAGGCTAAGTTCCGGCTTTTTATGTTCTTCAATAAGCCGTCTGTGCGAAAGAAATTACTGCTATATTCACGAATAATATGACAGATGACGTACAGCTGAGTATGCCCAATTGTGAAAAACGACTTTACTCTGTAAAATAAGTACAGATAGTCTCGCTGGGATTCGAAGGCAGAGTTTAACTCTTCAAAAGTGGGACTTGTAGCTGAAAGTATAACCTGATCGTCGGTTGATGTCCTCCCATGATAAAAGGCCTCCAGGTTGAGAAGAGGAAAGCATGCCGAACCTTATGTTTTAAAGAAGGATTATAGAGCGGTTGGTCGCGCTGAGTAGGGCTTTTGGCCGTAGACGCTGGCACTGTGGAAATGTGAGCACGTTGGTTCGCTGACAACGATGGTGCAACACCACGCATCCCTCCTGTATCGTGGTCAAGATAGGAGGGGAGGCCGGAAAAAAGAGTTTTGGGGCAAACAGGGAAGCGAACTTACACATAGAAGTATGCATGGGTCTTCGGGTCGCGAAGCCCGGCCCGCATTTTAGCTAAAAATATTTGGACCTCCTCATAAGTCCACTGGAGGAGATGGCGAAAGTCAAAATTTTGGACACCCGGGGCGACAGATGGGGAAAAGGAGACATCTGGACAACGACTTACCTGCATGACTCTGGTAAGCAAGGCCATGGCCCAGCCTTCAATGCCCTCTTCGCAATGGAGAAGATTCCACTGGCCGAGTCGCTTGATCTGTTTGTCTTTCCCCCAGCCTCCTACGGGGAGTTTGAACCTCGTCTCCACAACATTTTCGAAGCCGGCATCTTCCATATATTTTTTGGCCAAATCAGCGATGCGGAAGGTCTTGCCAATCCTTTCACCAGCTTCAATGAACGTCCGCGACCATACTGCAAGTACATGATCGTCAGTAACGGTTCCGTCGTCTGATCTGAATTCTATTGACATCTCGATCTGATCGAACCATGCGCCAGGTTTTAAATGCCTGTACAACTGTTAGAGTTGCACAGTTACAGTATCCATATATTGCGATGAATTAAAATCGTACTTAAGAGCTTGAGAGTAAAGTTTTGGCCAGTCTGATATCGCGCCATAAAGGGCGCGAATATGTATCAAATCGAAGTGGTCCTCCGGAAACGTCCAATCTTCGCTCGCATCATCGATTTCAAACCGGAGGTTTGGTGGGACAAAGGCAGGCTGAATTGGCGATAGGTCGGTTCCGATAACCTCAGCGGAAGGATATTCGTCGGCAAAATCACTGGATACGCCTATTAGACAGTCGCTCATATGGTGCTGCGACTCATTTGGAAAGAGCTTACATAGCCCACTATTAAAAAAAAAGTCAGTGTGAGATGAGAAACAGAGGAGATAACTAGTACATACTATTCCCGTGCCGGTCCCAAGGTCAAGGACAGTCTGTAATATAGTTAGTTAATACGATTGCGCCACCCAAAGCTGTGTCTTCAGGGAAGATATACTTGTATATTTTCATCGATTGGCGCAAGGAGAAGTCTGCCGTTTAATAAAAGCGAAAACATATGATGCCTAAGAGATTTGTTAGCGTGCAAATCAATTTGCTGATAGTGACAAGAGGTCCCACAGACGTACGCGATATCGAGTTGCTCGTTTTGCCGATCATCGTTGGGTCCCCTTGCGAGTAAAACATATCAGAATAGGTACCACATCCTGCGGTCAGCTAACAGCTCATACCAATAGGCACCAGCCTTATATGCGTGGTATCTTCTGCCGTTCTCGAATCTATAAGCACAAATGTCCGTTTTTATTGACGTTGTATCGCTTGCGCTGCTACATTTGACAAGAACCAGAATTATTAGTATAAACGTGCCAATACTTATATTATCAGGATTTTCCTTACTCTTCTTCTGGAAAATCTGAATCGGGGTCATCATCCACTTCCTAGTGGGACGATATCAGCATCCTGTTCTTCCTTGCCCTTGGATGTTCCTGAGCATACCAGCAGATTGCCGTGCGGGTTGTCGGGCTCCGGTAGTTCTTGAGGAGGTGATGGGCGTTGTGAAGGACTATGAGATTTCGATGGACTCGAATGAACAGACGGCGAGGACGGCATTGTCACTGATTTATTATGATATATATATAAACAGGTAGGAAAAACTCGATAAGTCCTGTTTTTGTAATCTATATAGACGGAGTTAGAATAGATTATCTCAAAGAGTTAGGCACGAGGTATAAATCGAGAGCTTAAATAAACGCTCAAGAAGCGAAAGACGAATGTGATCAGTCATTCAGTCTGAGAGTAAGGCAGAGGAAGAGCATGGTTGATGCAGAAACTCATGCAAGTGACTTACATTCCAGCAGGGAGCTTCATGTTCCACACGATAGACGAACTACATATGGTTCGCGAAAACTTGGCCACAGACCGCCAGATGATTGAAGTTGGGATAAAAAGAGGTTGTGTCGCCAGGAGCGCATGGAGAAGAAATAGCTCTCGCGCAGACTAGAAGGGCAGCCTAGTCCGTTCCACTACCGGCGATAAAAGAAAAGAAAGCGGCCTGACAATGGTTTCTCTTAGTTATGGTGTCCAGCTGTGAGCGTGCGAGTGATTGGGCTCGCCTTCGCCAAGGCCCGAGAGCCAATATACACTCTCAACAAGGGTGAGGTCGCGACAACGGTGAGTGGACAGACAAGCCGCTACAGAGGTCAGAAAACCGCTTGCTCGTGCTAGCCGTCTGAGCTCTGGTCACCAATGAGAATTGCGCTGCTGAGGGAAAGCTTGGGACGATCTCTTTTCAAGTGGTAATTCAGCCAACAACAACTTTTTTGGTCTGGGCTCTTTTGCTCCTGTTGTCTTCGAAAAAAAGTGTGAACTCGTGAAATGTTGCTGCATGGCAACCGTTGGATCTGTACTCCGTACTCCATACATTGGTGCTGTATGTGGTCGTTTGAAGATGGCCCCGCAGCGGGTGAAATCAAGGGCGTAGCCGACTCCATAGTACGGGAAACCAAGTAAATAGCAATTACTCTCTCTGCTGCCAATTAGCGAGCTCGCCTCCTGGCCAAGCATTGACACCGTCGAGTTGGATTTTATTTTTTATTCCTGCTTCCATCGAAATCTCTCTATATATTCTAGAGGTGTCCATCAGCGAGCTCCACGCCCATGCCAGGAACCCGCAAATTGGCTATTCCGGACGGGGTAGTGTGTTGGGCAACCAAGGTAGGATCTGGGTGTTTTCTTCGCAAAAATGAGGAGTTGATAGACGAGATGTCAGCGCTGCGTTGTCCTTTGGATGTCGTCTCTGGTTTGCTTCATTGCCGTCTTTCACCTCGTCGTCGTCGTGAATTTCCATTTTGGGTCCCAAGAGCCCATGACAGTCACGTGGATATGTTGATGACTAATGTATGATGAGTAATATATGAGTAATACGGATTCCCGTATTCACGTGATTCGTTTATCAATGACTAAGCTGAACGTCTACTGGCCAATCAGCGCTCAGCCCTAAAGCGCAACCCACAAAGACAACAACAAGAAAAAAAAAGTCGCTAAGCGAAAGTCGAAAGTTGAATCTTCAACTTCAAGTCTCTTCCTCTCTCGCTTGAAGAAGAAACCAGCAGCACGACTTGGACGAAATCGCCGACCACCACCAAAACGCCCTTGCGTCCACGTATATCAACTCGTCGACTCACGGTCAAACGGCTTCCAACATGTCTGACGGGGAAGTTGAGGTCGAAACCGGCGCCTACGATGTGCTGCCCAAGGATGTCACCGCCGAGATGGGCAACATCAAGCTCTTCAACAAATGGAGCTATGAGGACATTCAGGTCCGAGACATCTCTTTGACGTACGTCTTTCCGTCTTCTTTGCAGGCCCTTCACCGCGCGAGATTGGTTCCTCCCCTCTGGAACGGAACGAGGAACATATACGAAGCATTGGATTGAATAAGGGGAAGGATTGTCAAATTGAGCGCAACTGGAAGCTGACATGCGCATATAGCGATTACATCCAGATCCGACAACCTGTCTACGTTCCTCACTCCGCTGGCCGATATGCTGCTAAGCGATTCCGGAAAGCCCAGTGCCCCATCATTGAGCGTCTCACCAATTCGCTCATGATGAACGGCCGAAACAACGGAAAGAAGGTCATGGCCGTCCGAATTGTTGCTCACGCCTTCGAGATCGTACGTAAAACTATCTTAAATGCTCGGAAATATTACTAGGTATCAGATTTAGCGAGATTAACGACCGGCTAACGTTGATTTATTCCAGATTCACATCATGACCGACCAGAACCCTATCCAGATCACCGTCGATGCCATCTCCAACTGCGGTCCCCGAGAAGACAGTACCCGAATTGGTTCCGCTGGTACCGTCCGTCGTCAGGCTGTTGATGTCTCCCCTCTCCGCCGTGTCAACCAGGCCATTGCTCTCATCACCATCGGTGCTCGTGAAGCCTCTTTCCGCAACATCAAGACCATCTCTGAATGTCTCGCTGACGAGCTTATCAACGCCGCCAAGGGCTCTTCAAACTCTTACGCTATCAAGAAGAAGGACGAGTTGGAGCGTGTCGCCAAGAGTAACCGATAAAAAATTAAAATGCAAGGAATACACATTTGCCATTTGGGGGTTATTGCGTTTTTTTTCCCTGACGTATTGCGCATGGGTGTGTATGTGAGGCGAGGACGAAATTGTCCTTTACTTCTGTATGGATTCGGCTCTTCATTTTGTGTGTGAAATTTGGGCCACGGGAACCATACGGTGTTAAAAGGAACAAGAAAAGTCCAAGATGGATGACCTTTCTTCTAATTAGCCGCAATGCAAACTATCATGATCTACATCTCGACAACGACTCATTAATTCATTGAATCTGTACGGTCACAAGGGGATTGTAGTATGCGTGCCTCAGCTGATCTGAACTTGCCTCACCGTTAAATGTAAAAAAATCTTTGATCAGCTACATTTCCATTAAACCACGGTTACCATCGTTCTCGGTGTATGCGCTACTTAGCACAGCCTAGAGTGTACGAAAAATTTGGCTGTCTGGGACCTTGAAGCAGTCCAAAAGTTAGTGTATCGTGAAAAATTGATAAGATAGTAACTTAACTTTTTATCTTTTGCGCCTTCAAATTTCTCAATAACACCAACTGACCAACACCTCGTTTAACTAATCGGAGCATAATGGGGAAGCGCAAGTTAGGCGCATTGGAGAAGGTCGATGCTGACCTGTTAGTGATACTGTTCCCTCTCGTTTCGTGGTTGATCCTACAGGCTTCTTTCGTATACAGGCAGCTAACTCTTCATCTCCAACAGAACAAATCTACAGTACAAAATTCGACGAGACCCAAAGTACGTTGCATCTCTTGCTAAACAGTTTTATATATATCCAATATACTGGGATCTGCGGTCAGCAAATATTCATCGCTAACCAGTTCTCTCGCGCAACAGATCCTATGTCGAAGACTTCAGAAGCCAGCACCTTCAATATGAAAACCACCGCGAGATATTCATGGCTGCTCCTTCAGCTGCTACCGACACCGGAATAATATCCTTGATAGATCTGATTGATTTTGTGGCGCATGTTGCAGAATGCTATCCAGAAATAACGAAGGGTTTTCCGCAAGAGCTGATTGAGATGATTTCGCTTCACCATGCAGTGCTAAGTCCCGATTTACGGGAAAAAATTGTGGGCAGCCTGGTGCTATTAAAGCGGAAGGATATAATCGACTCCTCGACGTAAGGATATAGCCCATGTCTCGATTGCCTAGAAATATACTTACGTTGATATACAGTCTTCTCCAGACATTATTCCCGATTCTAGTGTCGACACCGAGCAAAACACTCCGAGCATTCCTATTTCAAAAGATAGTTTCGGATTTACGATCAGCTAATGCGAAGACTACGAATCACAAACTAAATAGAACCATCCAAACTGTGCTGTTCAACCTGGTCGTTGCTGACCGATCTTCAAGCAAGGCTCTCTGGTCGGTAAAGATTACCCGCGAGCTATGGAAGCGCCAGATATGGACCGAATCAAAGGCGGTGGAAATCATGAAAGAAGCTGCACTGGCTGATAATGAAAAGGTTATCATTGGTGGTGTCCGGTTCTTCCTGGGTGGTGATAAAGAGAGAGAAGAACTTGAGGATGAGAGCAGTGATGACGATGTCATAGACGTTGGCAAGGTCAAACATCAAGCTACCATCAACAAGGGGTCGAAGAAGAGGGCAAAAGCCATTGAAAAGGCGAAGGCAATGGTGAAGAAGAAGGAGAAGAAAAAGAACGCTCCTCACCCCTTGAATTTCTCGGCCTTACACCTTCTACATGACCCCCAAGGCTTTGCAGAGAACTTATTTCAGAAGCATCTACAAAACACCAAAGCGAAACTGAATCTTGAACAGAGGCTATTGGTGCTGCAGCTAGTTTCTCGACTAGTTGGCTTACACAAACTCACCATCATCCAACTATACTCCTACTTCCTGAAATACCTTACTCCAAAACAGCCGTCCGTCACGTCTTTCCTGGCATCACTCGCTCAATCATGTCATTCGCTTGTTCCTCCAGATACCCTAGAACCTTTGATCCAGAAGATTGCGAACGAATTCGTCTCTGAAGGTTCTGCTGCGGAAGTTGCATCAGCAGGTCTCAATGCCATCAGAGAGATATGTGTTCGACAGCCACTGGCAATGAATGATACCCTGTTACAAGACCTTGTGATGTATAGGAAGAGTAAGGACAAGGGCGTCATGATGGCAGCTAAGGGTCTTTTGAGCTTATACCGAGAAGTTGGCGCAGAAAAGCTGAAGAGGAGAGATCGAGGCAAAGACGCAGCTATGGGATTGAAGATTGGAGAGAGAAAGTCACAACGATATGGAGAAGAGGAAATCGGTGAAATTGAAGGCCTTGAGCTACTTGAAAAGTGGAAGGAGGAAGAAAGAAGAAAGAACAGGAGGGAGAATGGCCTTCCATCTGACGGGGAGTCCGATGAAGACGAGGAGAATGAAAATGACTGGGCGGCATGGAATATGGAGGAGGATGATAGCGACGACTCTGGCGGGTGGATTGACGTCCAAAGTGATGTTGATATTGTGTTCAGTGACTCTGAAGACGATGAACCAACCGCCAAGAAGGCTAAAACAGACGAGGATGCTACTAAAGCTGGCGACGATAAAAAAACAGAAGAGTCTGAGGCAAAGAAGATATCACGTCTCGCAACAACCCGCATTCTGACGCCTGCTGACCTGGCCAAACTTGCAGAACTACGGGCCGCTGCCAGTGTCAACGCCTTGCTCCCTGAGAACAAGCGCAAGAGGTTGCTACAGCAAGCTGCTGCGAACCGACATGCTGATGATCCTCTGACTGCTGCAGAGATCGAAGGCCTTGCTGCTCTCTCGGCTGGGAAGCAGACCAGAGAGGAGAAGATTGCGCACGTCAACGAGACCAAGACTGACCGTTCTGAGTTCAAGAGCAAGCTCGCTCGCAAAAAGGAAACCAAGGAGAAGCTAGGCAAGAGCTCAACGAACAAGGAGAAGGCCAGGAAGAAGAACTTCATGATGACGCTGGGCAAGGCGAAGGCGAAGGGGAAGCGAAGCCTTGTTGAGACCCGGGCGACGCTGAGAGCGCATCATGAGCGGAACAAGAGGGGAGGGAAGCGAGGAAACCAGGGATAGACATCCTCTGGCCATATTTACTATAGATTGGTTAATACATAAAGACGTCTCTTTTCTCCGGCCTTCATCTATTCAATCTTCACTCCGTATATAGTGGAATAGCTATGGTCTATCAACACGTCCCAGAATCGCGTCTTCCAGAAGAGGCTAAATTGGCGCCTAAGAAGCGCGCTCCGCGGCTTTAGCGCATCTCGCGTTTTTAGAGTTTCTCCCAACCTCTGGCTTTTGCGACTTTGCAAAAGGCGACGCAGACGGCGGTTTTCTTCTATCGTCGACATCTTCTCCCGCCACCACTGCCCGTCATTGCTATCACTGCTATTTGAACGGTTATATCAGCTACCGCTCCTCTTGTCAGAAGTGATTATTATCAAAAATTAGAGTTGCGGTAAATATCCAGTCTGCATAGACCACCCTGCAACTCGAAGTCCAAGACACATCACCCTGCGCCATGGCTCCAGGAACTGTCGTATCTGCCTCCTCAAAGAAACGAAGATTTCAGGTCCCTATTACGCAGTACTTTTCTCCTTCTACCTCTCAGCAAGCAGAAAGCGAACCCTCGTCGCATTTCAACTACAACGCGCCCACACACTCGGCACATCCAAGCCTACCTCCCACGATACAGTCGTCTCTCCTGGCTGTTGGCATGCGAGTTCGAAAAGCCGTGCCGGAAGGATACCGAACGAAACTCACAGCCAAGGCCAACGGTCACCAATCCAAGACTACACCCCGGGACGAACAGTATACAGACAGCTCAATATCCCCTGCATATACCGAACTTATCCCCTTCAGCGGAGCGTTCAAGGTTGGGAATTATGGAGTACAATCGTTTCCCCGGCCTTCAGCAGCTGTGACTGAGCCAATAACAGCTGCAAGACAACTGGACGAAGAATCTCTTCCCTTTAGCAGCCAGGATTCCACGCAATCATTTGAATCCTCCTCGTCTATTCCAAGACCTAATTCGTATAAACGTGGATTCGAGATTGAAGAAGATGACGAGGACTTCGATGGCCAGTATTCATTTCCCTCACGCATTCACCCTTCACATTCTCGACCCATTCTATTGCCTAGGAGTGGGAGACAACGAACTTTAAGATCGAAGGCATCTTCTCCTTCCTCATCACTACTGAAGGGAAGATCACCCCAGGAGAACTGGGGCTTAGCATTCAATTTCAATAATGGTGGTGGCGGGGATTTTGAAGATGCCGATTTTCTGAAAAGGAGAGAAGACGTCGATGAAGAATATTTGCGGCAGGCAAGGGAGGTCCGGATGGGCGGAATTTAACCCCTTTTTAATGTTGCTCTCTATCAGCCGTAGCTGGGCTGTTTTCTTTACACCATGTGCCTTGACTATTGTCAGCATGTATTTTATGAATAACCTGCGTCTTTAAGGCATGCAGGCCAGCGTTAGGGATGCAGTGAATTTTTTTTAGTATTATAATAATATTGTTGAAGGACTTTAAGATTCCCATCTGTGCATTCAAGACATCTCCAAGCTCAGGGCATTTGGGTATGCATTGACACATGAAAATATCGCTTCCGGACGTGCGAGCCATGTTATATCGACGTGCATGGCATTCTGTTTACGGAGATTTTACACGAATAGCCACGCAGGATATTCGACTTGGCCTGCGCCTAGACTGCAATTCCGTTGCTGGGCATCTCGGCGGCAGCACGCGATAGTCCTTGGACGGCAGAGCAGAGATCATTCCATGGCCATAGTATTATCATTTATATCCGCAGCCGCCAGAAGAGCGTTTAAACTTCAGGTACGCCCTGTCAATCTTCAACTAACCGCATAACTGTCCTGATATATCCTCCATTCCGTCTCCACCAGATATGGAAGACCGAGGTGGTGCTGTTAACTGGGGTACGCATGGAGTTGCTGTGCAGCACCCTGTGATCCATTCTCTTTGCAGTCGTCTCTCGGCCGCTCCCAGCGATGTTTCTCAGCCTTGCAGACGCTAAACTGGGGTAGCCGCTGATTAGACATGAGGGAGCAGGCAGGCCTAGCCCTGAGGCAAAACATAGGAGTAAGACCTGTTTGAAATCGAGTCAGCCCTCCATCCACTCGACAGACTCAGGGTGAACATGAGTGCGACGCTAACAAAGCGGACAATCACATTTTTATCGAAGCTTTTCAGCCTCGAAGCCGTGCTGGAAGTCAAGATATTTGGCGAAGAGGCGTTTGCTTTTGACGGCTCGGCAGCGTTAACTCGCTATGGTCGTGATGATCACCAACTACTGTAACTAATCCTTAGATGTATCCTCGGCACGTTGGCCGGTACCAGCCCCTATCATTTTTGGACGCAGATTTGTGACTAGCTGCTGGTTTGAAACAGGGGAATCATGCGTATCCTGGTGGGTGTTGACTCGTTAAAACACCCCTTGAGACCGGAAAAGTTCACGGAGAGATGGTTCGGAAGAAGGTTTGGCTTCAAAGAAGAGACTATCGAATCCGCGGATAGGCGTAGCAAGGGTGGCGAAGTGGCATCTTGTGAATATAGTTATAGTTTTGTTTCCCTCCGCGCGAACGATGGGTTTGGACGGATGATACGGAGTACGGCCTGGTAGGTAATATCGGCTGCGGGAATGAGGGTTGTTGAAATTTGCTGTTCATGGGGGATTTAGAGTAAATTGATTCATCTTCGACCCTGGGCAGATATTAATTTAAGAGCGCCCTAAACAGACGAGCAAGGAAGCATCGTTGAAAACATAAAAAACAAAATTATGCACATTATAAGAAATATCTAGGTCGAATCCGCGGAGCCATTAAAGCAAAGAGGCCAGCGAAGCAAAAATGTAAGCGAAACATTGCATGTGAGTCCAGTAGAGTATAATCCTGCAAGCCCGAACAGAGACGGCCCGCATCCTATTCGTGGCCGTACATCCCGTCTCGGAGTACGCCTGAAGCTGAAGTTAAGGCACGCCCCTAATGGCCTGATTATGTCCTGCTGCTGGGGCATCCCACGTCCAGCGCAGCGATTTCCATCAGGTTTTTTAGACCGGGTGAGTTTTGAGTGTAACGAGCATTGTACTTGACAACCTTCTTGAGGGCGTTGAATGACGATACACTGATAGTGAGTGGAGCGGAACTGAGGTACCAATCTACCTTGTCGCTGCACGGAGGCGTCGTGAGCGATCCAGTATACGTGTAGATATCATGGGCATGAAAAAGCTTGACGAGCTTTGAGAAATCAAGTCGCCTTGTCTTTGTGACTGTGCCAGGGGTTGTGATCCGATGCAGATTCGCAAACACCTGAGTCAGAAGTGGAGTAGAACGGCCATACGGGGACAACTCCACGAAGAACGCAACCACAGCAATCGATTTTTCTGTACAGCATATGACATCCGTGTTAGCCGGTGGACATATATAAAAGGGGGGGATATATAGACTGGGGGGCTCGGATGTTCAGGGGAGATGTTCGAGGTGAGAAATAGGGTTAAGGTGTATATTGGATAAACTTAATGAACTTACCTGGAGTTTGGAACACGAAGTGAACCTCCATTGGGGAGTACTCCTCGTCAATTCGGTGCTCGCTTGGAGTATGGAAATGGAATTGTGCCAGCTCGTAGTCTTTGCCGTTGGCCTTCAGCTTTCCTCCGGCGATTACCTCCACAGTGGATCCTAGGTTTTCAAAGTCTGCCGATAAGACATTGGGAATGCTCATAGTAAGTGAACCTTTGGGTACCTGCGGAATGATCTGAGTGCTGATGACGATAGGAGACTGTGTTTGGCCATGCCCACACTCTCTGTTGGCGGTAGCATTGAGTCCAACCCAATGTAAGGGACCGCCTTCGCCAGTATAGTTGAACGTTGCGACTGGGACTGTGCCATCATGATTGACCCGACGTGGTGCTAAACTGGTTCCATACAAACATGAAGCAGAAGTAGATGTGACAATAGCAGCGAACGCTGCAAAATGACGGTAGAATATCATGCTAGAAGCGGAATTGTGCTCGAAAGGCACTTGTTAACGCAAACGAGAGGTCAACAAAGGCTATGGCAGAGGGGAGCCATGGCCTTTTATACCTCAGGGCTCCTCGGATAACCACTATTTGATGCCCTTGTAGTATCCATTCAGCCTTGAGTTTACCACATAAAAGCGGCCGTTATATATAAGTAAGGAAAAGAATGCCAGACAGCTCTAAACGGTTAGTACGTAACGTAAAAGGCCCGTCTAGTGCCGCTGTGCTTTGTGGCATGAGAAATAGTAAAGCCAGCCGATCTGTGGATCCGATATACTTTACTTCAAATTGGCTTTAAAGAACGCGGATGGTCGGTAGGTAGCCATGATTCTTCTGCCGTGTTGGCTGTGCTCCAGTTTTCGATCTTGCACCCCGTAATTCGCGCTCCTGCGGCCTACGAGAGTATCACAACTCTCTAACCTGTAGTAGCCACCGAATAAGGGTACAGCAGGGCTGTGACCCGAGGAGATATTTAGATATTGTGTGCAAAGCGTCATTTCTCCACGTATCAGGATATGCGGCCGTGTTAAGGCTGTTGTCCCATCACAATCACGGTTGCGGGAGATGAACTCAAGTATGAAAACAATACTTGGGCGTTCCAGAATATGTGAGTTCCCGTTCTGAAATGCTCAGAAGTATAAATGCCTTAATTCAAGGTTTATAAAGAAAGAAAATATAATAAACTGTAGTATTAGTAAGCAGACTGCCTTGGCGGCTGTGCCATCAAGCTGATATCTCTTCGACCAGAGGATGGCTGTGTAGATGGAAAGGCAGACGTCAAACATTTGTCTCCATTTACCAAAGGGCCTCATTTATCCGACGTGACACGTAAAAAGTGATTCATGAAGCTGATTTATCGACGCTGTTATCTGTCCAGGCCCACGCTGGAGGCAAGTTATTATGATACTACTTACATCAGAGTTGAAGCAGTTAGCGGAAATCATGGTAGTAAGTCTCTGGCAAAACTCCACTCAGGTTTATACAGAGTACTCTGTATGTGATCTCCCAATACTTTGGTAGGCCATCTCAGGCAACTTTCGCTCTGTAAATGCGACGCGATAAAGCGTGGCAGCTAGAGGAACCACAAACCATCCATGGCGTGATCGTAGCAGGGACATAATAGGGTCTTATAAAACGGAGGTACCATGGAAGCAAGTTAAGTAGCAAAATATCTTAATTGCTTTCGGTGCTACCTCACGTCATAATCTTCATGGAGGACTCCAGGTCATAGATCCGGTGCCAGGTCCCTCGTAGAAGAAGCCACCTCCCAGTTTCCCTCCATGGAATCTTGACTTTCCTGCTTATGAGAAAGTCAGACCATTACCAAAAGTAACCCTGATTTTATCCGTCTGGTTACGATAGGTTTTTCACCTGTATGTTGACATGCTTGTCGTATTGAGGTCATCTGCGCTGGTCATGTCAACCGTTAAATATAACAGTCTGGAAGACACCGCCGGCATCGATCGTCAGAGGCGGGAACTTGTGAAAATAATCCATCACGAGGAGGATATATAGCTGCCAGGAGCCTGATCAACTGTCGGTCGTTTCTCTCATCTCCTAATGATGTCTTTTTTCTTTCTCGACGTCTGGCCGTTTCTTATATTCTTTTCCTCTCCTTCTTTTAACGGCCTTCGCTTTTCATCAGCTTACTCATCCATGACTAAGCTATTATCGGATCAATATTTGTCCCTGGTCCCGTGACCGCCGCCCGCCCAAGCTAAGCGCGAAAGTCGAAATTCAGCGACGGCAAACGAAGCCGAAGACGAGGAGAAAAGCGACAAGGAGGATCTCAGCTTGAGGAGTGCGGCTGGATAGGTCTCTAAGGCGTCCGCTGGTCTTCTATGCTTTGCGCTGTCCCGCTCCCACCACTCCGGACCAGCAAGACCTGTCATGCAGTGGCCTGAGTGAAGCGCACCACATCGCTTTCGTCCTAGATCATGGCGGAGGATAACCCGGAACTCCAAGCGGCGCTGCGACAGCTTGACGCTGAACTGGAGGTATGACAGTTCTTTTCTATCTTTCGCTGTCTTGTGGCCGTGGGTTACTGACTGAACGTGTCGTATAGGATGGCGATATTACGGAGAAGGGGTAAGTGCCATAGCTCTCAGCTTATCAAGGCTGTCATAGCCCGATAGCTCCGCGGCGGGGGTTCGATAACCACGGCCATACATATGTTAACCGGAACCACTCGTGGCGTTCACTACGAGTGCCGGAAGCCTTGTATCATGACGATTGACCTCTGATATAGGTACCAGAAGCGCCGCGCACTCCTTCTATCGCAGTATATGCCGCAGCCTGCCGCCAGCCAGCCGGAAAACCCACCCCTGCATAGACCATTAAGCTTTGAGCAGATACCGCGCGGCTCTGAGACTATCAATGTCTCGTCTGGAGAACGCCCGACTGGTTCTGGAGCTCATGCACCGCTTCCTCTAAACGTTTCTCCGCCGAGCACCCGGCAGCAGCCAGAGCACCACATACCTTCGCATCTACTCGGGCCTTCTAGTGGCGAACATACAACGGGAGCAGACCCTAATTATGGCCCCTATCAGGGTAGCCAGCTTTCGAGGATTCAAGAACAGGAACTCGGCTTCTCCCTTGCACCTTCTGCACCACCACCTACAGCTCCCATTGGTGCTACTGGGAACCGAAACCAGTCAGTGGGTTCGTATGACTCGCTTTTCCTCCCAAGAGGCCCTACGGATAGCTATGAAGCTTCCCGGACGGGGACGCTGATAAGCCAGAATTATGCATTCAACCCGAACCAGCAGCCTGAGATCGAGCCGCCAACACGACACTCAACCATCGATTCGCAGCAAGCCTACTTCTCTGACTTTGCCGGCCACCAGCAAGAGCCCAGGAGAGATAGTTATGGACAGAACCTTCAAAGATATTCTCAAATGGAACCATTCTCTCCAACTGCGAACATACCTCCTGCTCCAATGCCACTGTCAGCCATGCCTGGCGGAGCTGCCGTCAACCATCTTCTTCCTCTCGAGCCCCGAGATATCCCATTTGATGTTCAAGACCCTCATAATCCCAATCTGCCAATGTCAAGCTTCGATAATATCCCAACTGTTCTCAGACATCGTGCCCGCATGCTGCCAAAACAGCCGGCGTATTGGGTTCTTGATCAGCGTGGCAAGGAAATTGCATCAATTACTTGGGAGAAACTAGGTAGTCGAGCAGAAAAGGTCGCTCAAGTTATAAGAGACAAAAGCAATCTATACAGAGGAGATAGGGTTGCCCTGGTCTATAGGGACAGTGAGCTCATCGAGTTCGCCGTGGCGCTAATGGGATGCTTTATTGCCGGCGTTGTCGCGGTCCCCATCAATAATCTGGAAGACTATGCGAGCCTAAACGTTATCCTTACCTCGACGCAAGCTCATCTCGCTTTGACGACAGAGAATAACCTGAAGACATTCCAGAGAGATATCACTACCCAAAAACTCAACTGGCCAAGAGGTGTAGAGTGGTGGAAGACAAATGAGTTTGGCAGCTATCATCCGAAGAAGAAAGATGATATTCCAGCACTCGTCGTCCCTGACCTGGCCTACATTGAGTTCTCTCGTGCTCCTACCGGTGACCTCAGAGGCGTTGTCCTGAGCCACCGGACAATCATGCATCAAATGGCCTCATTCAGTGCAGTCATTGCATCTGTCCCACCTTCCCCTGACCGCCCAAAATCTCCTGCTGAAATCTTGATGACCTATCTTGATCCTAGACAGGGAATCGGCATGATTCTGGGAGTGCTTCTAACTGTATACGGAGGACATACCACCGTATGGTTAGAGTCTCACGCTGTTGAAACTCCTGGTCTATACGCCAGTTTGATCACCAAATTTAGAGCTACTCTTTTGGCTGCAGATTATACTGGATTGAAACGTGCTGTGTACAACTATCAACAAGACCCCATGACGACGAGAAATTTCAAGAAAAACGTTGAACCGAACTTCTCCAGCTTGAAACTCTGTCTTATAGATGCATTGTCGGTTGATTGTGAGTTCCACGAAATCTTGGCTGATAGATGGTTACGCCCCTTACGAAACCCTCGAGCCCGGGAACTGGTAGCTGCTATGCTGTGTTTACCAGAGCATGGCGGAATGGTGATATCTATTCGGGACTGGCTTGGAGGCGAAGAGCGAATGGGCTGCCCCCTGACGCATGAAATGCACCCCGTAGAGGAAGACAAGGATAGTAAGACTGAAGAAAAGGAAAAAACTGACGAACCAAAATCTACTTTTGGAAGCAGCCTGATTGGTGGAGCTCCTACTGCTTCCCCAAAAACAGAAACCCCAAGGAACGAGCTGAGCGAGGTATTACTGGACAAAGAAGCATTGAAGAACAATGATGTTGTGGTACTCGCATTGGGTGAAGAAGCCCGGAAACTCGCAGACACCACTCCAAACTCAGTAAGAGTTGGCGCTTTTGGATACCCCCTTGCTGATGCCACTCTTGCTATCGTCGACCCAGAAACTGGACTTCTTTGCACACCAAATCTTATCGGAGAGATCTGGGTCGATTCCCCATCATTATCTGGAGGATTCTGGGCACTACCGAAACACACTGAAACTATTTTCCATGCTCGCCCCTTTAGGTTCCAAGAGGGCAGTCCTACTCCAGTAATCGTGGAACCAGAGTTCTTACGAACGGGCTTACTCGGGTGTATCATTGAAGGACAGGTTTTCGTTCTTGGTTTATACGAGGATAGATTGCGCCAAAAGGTAGAATGGGTGGAGCATGGAGTTGAAAACACCGAGCATCGTTATTACTTCGTTCAGCACTTGATTCTCAGCATCATGAAAAACGTTCCCAAAATCCACGACTGTTCTGCGTTCGACGTGTTTGTTAATGACGAGCATTTACCTGTTATCCTTTTGGAGTCATATGCTGCCTCTACCGCACCTATTACTTCTGGAGGCCCCCCACGTGTTCTTGATACCTTACTTCTAGACTCTCTTGCTGAGAGATGCATTGAAGTTCTGTATCAGGAGCATCATTTGAGGGTTTACTGTATCATGATCACGGCACCTAATACCCTCCCTCGATCGACTAGAAATGGCCGCCAGGAAATAGGAAATATGTTGTGTCGTAGGGAATTTGACAATGGCACCCTACCCTGTGTCCACGTCAAATTTGGTGTTGAAAGAGCAGTACTCAATCTGCCTATCGGCACCGATCCGGCAGGAGGAATCTGGTCTCCTTTATCATCTGCTGTTCGTCAGGAGGCACTAGCGATGCAAGAAAAGCAATATTCTGGCGTTGATATTAGAGATGTAATAATGGATGACCGGACATCTACCCCCCTAAACAATTTTGCCAGCATTGTTGATCTACTCCAATGGCGAGTCAGCAGGCAAGGAGAGGAGCTTTGCTATTGCTCTATTGATGGCCGTGGCCGTGAAGGCAAAGCTATTACATGGAAGAAATTCGATACCAAAGTCGCGGCTGTGGCAGCATATCTAAAGAATAAAGTCAAGCTTCGACAAGGAGACCATGTGATATTGATGTATACCCACTCTGAAGACTTCGTATATGCTGTTCACGCCTGTCTCTGCCTTGGTTTAGTTATAATACCAATGGCGCCGATTGACCAGAACCGACTGTCTGAGGACGCCCCAGCTTTGCTGCATTTGATTTCGGACTTTCACGTCAAGGTGATACTTGTCAACAGTGACGTAAATGACTTACTCAAACAAAAGGTCGTTGCCCAACATATTAAACAGTCTGCAAATGTTCTCCGGGTCAATGTGCCTCAGACCTATAACACCGCAAAACCACCCAAACAATCTCATGGATGCCGACATCTGGGCTTCACTCTCAGTGAAGCAGTTATTAAGTCCCATTTGCCAGCAATTGTGTGGACTTATTGGACGCCAGATCAAAGAAGGTTGTCAGTACATATTGGCCATGACACAATTATGGGCATGTGTAAGGTCCAGAAAGAGACTTGCCAAATGTCTAGCTCCCGTCCAGTGCTTGGAAGTGTTCGGAGTACTATGGGTCTCGGGTTCATCCATACGTGTCTAATGGGAATCTACGTCGGTAAGTTGTGTCTGTATAAATCCTAGATTTCGTTTTGACATTATTAACGGGCATTATTAGGCGCTCCTACTTACCTTGTATCTCCGGTTGATTTCGCTGCCAACCCGTCATCATTATTCCATACTTTGGCTAGGTATAAGATTAAAGATACATATGCCACTGGTCAAATGTTGAATTATGCAATGGGTAGCATGACCGCAAAGGGGTTCCAACTTCATGAGCTGAAGAACATGATGGTGGCAACTGACTCGAGGCCAAAGGTGGATGTTTGTATGTCTTCTAAATATCCGTTCTCCAAATTACCACAATGCTGACTGTATTGTTTAGACCAGAAAGTTCGACTGCATTTTGCGGCTGTCGGTCTCGATCGAACTGCTATTAACACTATTTATTCACACGTTCTTAACCCGATGATAGCTTCGAGGTCCTACATGTGTATAGAGCCAATTGAACTTTGGCTTGATACACTATATCTCAGACAAGGATACATATACCCTGTTGATCCTGAGACTGCAACCAATGCCCTCCTTGTCCAAGACTCAGGTATGGTTCCTGTAAGCACACAGATTGCCATCGTGAACCCTGAGACCTGCTGTCTGTCTCACGTTGGGGAATATGGAGAGATTTGGGTTCAATCTGAGGCGTGTGCGAAGGCCTTCTATGGATCTATGCAAGAGTTTGATCTAGAGCGGTTCCGAGGACGTATTGTTGATGGAGACCCAGATGCCGTCTATGTTCGTACAGGTGACCTGGGCTTCTTGCATACCGTGACAAGGCCAATTGGGCCAGGCGGACAGCCTGTTGAGATGCAAGTTCTATTTGTTCTTGGTGGTATAGGAGAAACATTCGAAATCAACGGCCTTAACCATTTCCCCGTCGACATCGAGGTTACTATCGAAAATTGCCATAGAAACATTGTCAAGGGCGGAAGGTAAGTGCCACGATTCACTATACGGCAAGTAGACCTTGCAGCAATATTCTAACGAAGGTTCATAGTGCTGTCTTCCAAGCAGGCGGTTTGACGGTCGCCTTGGTAGAAGTTAACCGCAAGGCATACTTGGCCTCCATGGTGCCTGTTATTGTGAACAGTGTACTGAATGAGCACCAAGTAGTTACGGATATTGTGGCTTTTGTCCCTCGTGGTCATTTCCCTCGATCTCGTTTGGGCGAAAAACAACGTGGAAAAATCCTTGCTACTTGGGTTACGCAGAAACTAAGAACAATCGCTCAATTCAACATCCGCGATGGCGGCAGCCACGAGATGAAGGGTGGGGAAGGGCCAGAACGACGCCAATCTTCTAAAGCTGGAAGTATCATGGATTCCAGCATCCTTCAGCCACAAACCCATTCCCCATACCCCGAACCAGAAGACTATGGTCAGATGCAACAGCCACCCGTTACTGGGCCTGCCGAGCATGCTGAACAGTATCCCCTTCCTTCTGAAGGTATTGTGGATTATATTGATCCACCCCCTGTAGGCACAGACAATGCTGAGCACTATCAGGATCCCAGCACGGTGAATCATGATGTGTCACATCATCAGCCTCTTCACGCCGAGGAGCAAACGCTTCCCATCGGAGAAGGTGTAGAAAGGAGGGTTTCACCTGTGGGTAATCCGGATTTTAAACGAGTCCAAAGCCCTGAAGGCTATGCTGGTAATGGTAGTGGTGGCAGCATCAACAGAACGGCTTCTCCAGCCGTTGCTCCTATTGCTGGTGAGGTTCCTCGCCACAACAGCACTTCCCCTCCTCGAAGCGGCCTGCGCCTTCATAATGGAGACGAACCTATTTCCCATCCACATTCAACAGCACCAGACTTCGGGATTTTCGAAAAGACACAATTACTACCTCCCGCCAAGAAAAATGAAGTGCCCACTACGTACACCCTACCTGTGAGAAATAGCAGTATTCAAAAAGATAATTTCCATGGCCCTAATCCCTCTATCGTCGGCCATGGAAATGGGGGTACTCATGACAATACGCAATATGATGACGAAATTTATGATATCATCGAAAATTGGACGGAGGATACAGGTGCTTCTCACCCTCGGCACCAATAATGAATGCTGCTTGGATAGAAGGGACTATGGCAGAAATCCCTTTGCGCTCAGCCATTTTAACGCTCTGACATCCCAGCGCATAATGATATGATGTACGCTATGTAAAATCCAACGAATAATTTATATTTGATTCTTATTAAAATAAACTATTATTATTATTATTTTTAACTACCACTCCACCTCGCAAATGATGAAACTAGTCGGCAATTTATTTGTAAATTGACGAAATTATTGTGCAGCTAGAAGTAAAAGCTAGACCACGGTGATATGCCAACGCCTGAGGGGCAATATTAAATAAGTCTGGCAAAAGAGCCATTTCAGATAAAGAAGGAGAGGCATGCATATAGACCTTTCGTTTCAAGAGAGAGAAAACATTACATTCACAGGTTCTCTGCTGCGGACTCCAAGGCGCTGATATTTACCTTTTTATTTTCTGGTCCATTAGGTGGAAGTGGCATATACCCTTGGAGCTGTTCTAAAGCGTCAATGTCCGCCTGACTAAAATTTTGCGTACGAGTTGGGCGGAATGGAGTGCTTGCTCGAGAGGTAAGGAACTAGACAGACATGATTAGCTTTTCCTACATTTGCATAGGGTGAAGGCGAAAATAGCTTACCGAGCTAGCAGCGCTCAACAAGGCGATTAAACTGGCTTGGACAACATCACGATGGACACCGACACCCCAGACGCTCTGAGAACAGCCTGCAGCAGTACATTCGATGTATGTTGCAGCCTTGACATCTCTAGTACGACCAATAGCGTGCTCAGTATAGTTAACAACGTCAAGGTCGATGCCTAGGGAATTCAAAGCGTGTGCAAGAGCAGATATAGCACCAGTTCCAACGCCAACAATACCATGTTGTATGCCGTCGATTTCGATGATGCCGGTGAAACGCCTCTTCAAGTTCTGAGTGTTGACAGCCTTGCCAGGAGCGGGGGGGGCAGGGGACATAGACCGATCCGCAGTGATATTGTAATCTATTAAGTTGAAGCGAGGGTTTGTCTTGAGATGATAAGCCTCTTCGAACAAAGTAACGATCTCGTTGGGTTTCAATTCGCGGTTTAGACGGTCTGCATCCTTTTGTACAATCTTGCTGAATGCAACTTGCAAGCCACGAGGGAGGTCCATTTCCAGACTGCGGAGAATAACCCAAGCAACGCCACCCTTTCCGCTCTGGGAGTTGACGCGGATGATAGCCTCGTAGTCTCGGCCAACATCCTGTGGATCGAGAGGAAGGTATGGCATCTCCCATGGATCGTCGTCTTTGAGGCCAGCGGCGGCACGAGCTTGGAATCCCTTTTTGATAGCATCTTGATGGCTGCCGCTGAATGCACAGAAAACCAGTTTTCCGGCATAAGGCCAGCGTTCGTTGACCGGAATCTTATTGCACTCTTCTACCACCCTAATGATGGAGAGAATGTCAGAGAAGTCAACACCAGGTGAGATGCCCTGCGTATACAGGTTGAGAGCGAGGGTGACAAGGTCAACATTGCCAGTTCTCTCTCCATTTCCAAACAAGGTACCTTCGACACGCTGTGCACCGGCCATCTGGGCCAGCTCTGCTGCAGCAACAGCACATCCACGGTCATTGTGGGGATGTAAGGAAATACAGACTTTCTTTCTTTCGGAGATGTGGGTGGAGAAATATTCAATCAGGTCAGCGTATATATTAGGGGTAGACATCTCCACTGTAGCTGGTAGGTTAAAGATAATGGGAGCCTCTTCACTTGGCCCCCATGCTTCCTTGACGGCCTCACATATTTGCAGAGCAAATTCAGGGTCGGTATCAGAGAAAGTCTCAGGGGAGAATTCAAATCGCCACTCTGTGCCAGCAGTTGCTGGATCATCCTTTGTAATAGATCGAGCGTACTTTGTACACCGTACCGCCATTTCCATACTCTGTTCTTTGGTCATGTTGAAGATGATTCGTCGAAAGCATGAACTTGTGGCAAGGTAAATGTGGAGAATAGCTTTCTTTGCACCTTTAAGGGAGTCGACGGTGCGTCGAATGAACTCCTCACGGCAAGGTGAGAGAACCTGCAGCCAGACATCATCTGGGACAGTTCCAGGAGTTTTGATTAGGTCTTGTGTAAAGTCGAAATCAGTCTGGGAGGCTGATGGAAACGAGACTTCTATCTCCTTATATCCAATGCCCACTAGCATACGAAAGAATCGTAGTTTTTGCTCCCCATTCTATGAGTCAGATGTTAGCAGAGCCACTTGAATTTATAACAATTTTGGAAATATATGCAGCAAGAAATCGAGTAGACACTATATACTCACCATTGGGTCTACCAGACTCTGATTGCCATCTCTAAGATCTGTGGCCAGCCATCGCGGCGGTTTGTCGATCGTCTTGCTTGGCCATTGACGGTTTGGCAGGTCAATCGGCTGGAATTTTTTGTACTTTTTGGAGGGATCCTTGAGCCTGTGCCAAAATGCAAACGAATTAATCACCACCTCACATAGTTGTAGGAATGATGACAAAAAGTCCCTTACATCGGCATTTTTAATAAAGATGCTCAGCTGGGGCCGGGGGGAGCTCAACTTTGGCGGAAAGGTGAGATAAGGTCTTATCAGATGTTGCAGGGGAAGAAGCAATTGGACAGGGAACTAAGTACTTGCAAGGGTCGTGTGTCCCAACAAAAAGATGGTGATACGATATCCAGACAGCACCTCTCGAAGGTCTCAACCTGAAGACAACAAGAAATATAGAAGAAGTTCATTCAAGAAACTAAAAGCTTCAGGTTTTGTCTGCTTTAAGTCTTTTTCTGCCACCGATTATGTAACCAGCTGTGCTCGACGCGGTGAGTCAAAAATAGGCATGCGACTGCGGTCCGAGCTCACGCCGATATCGGTCTTAGCCATTAGCATGTGAGTGCCAATCGGTATATTATCATTGGTCATTTGACGCGCGGCAATATTCCCGTGAGACGCGTTAGCCGCTGCTTATTTTCCGCTTAACTATTACTCGTTGAGAGCCGTCGTTGGAGTTGATAGCTGAGTTGATTTTAATATCTTTGCCATATGGAGCGTGGCTACTTTAAGCTAATCATGTAGTACGCCCGTTGCCCATTGCTCATTAAAACTGCGGCATCTTCTATTTTTATCGCCTAAGAATCCGGAATGTCTGGCTATGCAAAAGGAGGTCTAGGTCTAGCGCTTCTTCCCTGCTTTGCCGCTATTCTTCTTCTTTTTACCCTTATTTTGGCTGCCAGGTTTAGCTTCTCGCTCAGCCTTGCCCTTCTTCCATACACGGCCTTCCTCTCGCATCCGTGCATCATCCAGCTTCTTCTTATCCTTGCCGCTGAGTTTTTTCTTTCCCTTCTTCACAGAATCTGGTCCATTAAGCTCCATCAGACCTCGCTTCTTTGATTCTCGCTTTTCCTTCTCCGACTCAAACCACGTGCGCTTGGGCCTGGACATGATCTCCTCCTGGTGGTCGATCAAGTTCTTCCCACGAGTGACCTGCATCTCTGCCTGTGCAAGCTGCTTCTCCTCCTTCTCTTCTTGAAGAACTTCTTCAACTTCTGTAGCTAGGTCGTTGACTTGTTCCGCCCATTTGTCAGCAACGGCTGGCTCTATTACTCGGCTCACTATTTTTGCGCCTTGTGCACGCCCTGCTTTAACGGCTTCTTTGACCACCTTTCTGTCCGGTTCCGCAGCGATAGTACATGCGCGACCACTCCGGCCAGCACGGGCAGTACGTCCGACTCTGTGTAGATAGATTTCGTGTGATTGAGGTGCTTCGTAGTTGATGACGGTCTCAACACCCTTGATATCAAGACCACGAGATGCAAGATCCGTCGCCAGGAGGTATGATACCTTGGCATCTCTAAAGTCTTCCACACTTTTAATTCTCTGCAAAATAAGACGTCAGTATTTGAAATGACTTATTACTGTTGGTATATAAATAGACGGCTTACCTGCTCTTGGCTCATGCTTCCATGAAGTTCAGCCGCCTTCAAGCCCATAAGCCCGAAAATGATTCGAACCCTATGTGCTTCTTTCTTTTGGCGGAAGAATACAATAACCCTGTTTGTATAAACAGTTTTGCACAAGAACATGAGATAACCCAATCGTTTATCCTCTCTTCCAGGCCTTAATCTTACAAACTCCTGAACAAGGGTGCCCACGGTCTGTTTCTTTGAGTCAACCATTAATCGAACAGGTTTGTTAAGGCCAAGACGAATGAGTTTATCGACAGAGCTAGTCATGGTGGCAGAGAAGAGCATCGTCTGCCTTGACTTTGGTATCGTAGTCAAAATCTCGTTCAATTCCTCCGCAAATCCATCTTCAAGCATGCGATCGGCTTCATCAAGAACCAATATTTCCAAGGTGTCTACCGTGAAACTTGCTGAATTCCTCATATGGTCAATGAATCGACCAGGTGTAGCAATTATGACATCAGGACGCTTCTTCAGGATATTCTCTTGTTCTCGCAGACTGAAACCACCTACAAGCTGACAAAAAGTGATGTCAGTGAACGTAGCCAGTTTTGTCGCAACGTTATAACACTGCACAGCCAGTTCTCGTGTCGGCATTAGAATAGCAACTCGACTTGTCGGGACCTTTCTCGGTCTGTAAAGTAAACGTTCAAGAATAGGGACGATGAAGGCGCCAGTTTTACCCGAACCAGTCACAGCACCGCCAACCACGTCCTTGCCAAGCAAGGCAACCGGTATCGTTTTTCTCTGAATAGGCGTAGGCGTTGAGAATCCTACAGATGCGAGGCCTCGGAGGATGGGACGAGACAGAGAAAGATTCTGGAAAGAAGCAGGCGCTCTAGAAGTAGACTTTAATTCAGTCACTTGTTCCTCGGGAGCAAAAAACTCATTTTGCTTGCGGATCTCGTCATCGTCTTCACTTTCACTGCCTGAACCATCTTCATCAGACGCAAGGTCATCTGGATGTGGTACTGCCGAAGCCACAGAGTTGGTATCATCATCGTCATCATCACCGCCCTCCTCTTCATCTTCAGGATTGCTTTCTTCTCCATCTTCATCAGACTCGGCTTCCTCACCTTCCGCCTCACTTTCTGAGGCGTCCTGAGCGCCCATTCCAAACGCATCAGGAGCAAGGAGTTCGTCATCATCAAGGTCCACCTGCACATCGTTATCGTCCTCCGCCTCTGCTTCATCGTTATCCATATCTTCGCGCTCCTCAGAAGCTCTCTTTTCAGCTTTCTTTCTCTCACGCTCTTCCTTTTCGAGTTTCTTTTGTCTCCTTCGATCAAGGATATCATCAATGTCGACACCTTTCTTTTCTACTACTTTGGTCTTGTTTCTTTCTTCATCTCCCCATCCATCAAAGTCTTCCACTAATCCACCATTCGCAACCCCGCCAACGTCGAACTCGAAATCAGGGTCCAAAACACCATTTTCGTCTTCGCCGAATTCATCCTCTTCTTCCGCATCATCGTTGGCGCCCTTGTCTGTTTTATTGCTATTTGTAGCATTCATTCCACCTTTTTTCTGCTTCTTCCGCTTCTTCGAGTTTGTGCTTTGTTCAGCTTGGGTGTTTTCAGGTTCGTCTCTTCTTCGTTTAGTACCTGTAACTTTTCCCTTATTATTAACAACGATTTCGGCATCCGAGTCGACGTTTGGGGCTTCCTCATCGGACAGTGTGAAGACGAAGTCGTCTTCAGGATCGAGTCGCGCCATATTGTTTAGGATTATCTTCAATTGTAGGATATTTGGGGGAGACTTAAAGCTGTATCTCGCGCCCACGAGTCAATTGCACGTTCCAGGGCCGGGAGACCAGTACAGCTATTCTCTAATACAATGAAGAGCAACTGAAATATTTTCTTGATATAAAATTGGACCCAAAGTTTTTTTTTTTTCTTTTTTACTTTTTTTTCTGCCACGATGCCTTCGAAAGCGGTGAGACTTGCAATGTTTAGTCATCAACCTAAATTGAACCGCCAAAAGACAACGTCAAGAGAACAACCGAAACGAAAAGAAAAAGCATGTAGATACATCAAAGCCCATAGACACGTTTGAAACCCGTCGGTCTTCTGTGAAAACACGAAATGACTATGGCTGTTGACATACTAAACCCACTGGCGACGCTTGAATCCACTTTGATACCAGAAATCCACGAATTGATCGACATAATGCACTGAGCATTTCGTTGGCATTGACATGGGCATACCAAGTAAAGAAACCCAAGGCTTAGGACCGACTTGGTATTACCTTATCAGAATGGTGGAATGCTGTCTATTCGCTCTCTGGGATGTCGATGCCAGTGCTGTACACCATGTAGCCAGCGTTGACGCTAATGAAGTACCGTTAGCAAAAATCTCAACGGTGATATCATTGTTACTTACAGGGCCTTTTTGTTGACACCGAATCCTCTAAGGTAACCCTGTTCTTCGAAACTGAACTTCTTGCCGAGCCATTCCTTGACCCAAGTATACTCTGCAAACTCCTCGTCCGAGTGGTGGACGACTGCGCAGAGCCTCATAGCCGGACGAGACAGCCCACAAGTGTACACATCCTTACCCCGAGAGGAACAGTCAAAGATGTACCCTCCTCGAGCACTGTATTTAGGATCACAGATCTCGAGCAGCTCTCCGGGGTCGTCTTTGCGAAGGTAATAAGGCGGAAGGATGTCAAGGGCCGACAGCAGGCCAATGGACAACCTGAGCAAGGAGACAAACAGGACCATCCCCAGGGAGCAGAAACCGTACAACATTTCCGCTTCGTGGTTCATGGCATGCCAGGCTCGAGGATGTCTCTGCACAGCAACAATGAAAGGGTAGTTGTCGTGCTGAAGTGCCTCGATGTGCTCTCTCATTTCATCAAAGGATATCTCTTCCGTATCAGCTCGGCGTACCGTGTTTTTCACATACCAGTTGAAAATCTCAACAAGGGCATTGATATCCTTTGGCTCGACTGGACGGATATACATGTTGAGCTTCGGCTCCAATGGTTTAGGTTCATTGAAAGCGGAGTCCGACTTTGGCATAATGGCCAGGAGTTTTCTTTGCTGCTGCTCTGCTTCTTTGCGCTCTTCCTCTTGACGGATTCTGAGATTCCAGTTATGAACATAACCAATTGCCGTTTCGTGAGCGTGCTTCAAGGTCTCAGGGTCGGAAATATCTCTCAAAGTTTCAGGGCAGACAAATGTTGAAGGGCTCATTCCGGTATCAAGGTTAGCATGATATTCTCCGTTCCTAAAATCTTCCTGGGTCATGTCCACGATGAAACCAACTCTCATAGTCTTGTCCAACCAATTACGGAATTTCTGAGCAAAGAACTCGTCGCCGTATTTTTCCCATGGACGATATTGCCAGTCCACTGCAACAGCGCCAGCTGTATTTCCAAGGGCCCATTCATTCATAGCGGGGCCGGATTGCTGATCGTCGTCAGTTGAACGAGCATCTCCTCTTTCAAGCCTACCCTGAGCCTCGTCAGTCTTGGCCTTCAGGCTCTCTGCCAAATCGGTCAGGAGGTATAACGGATGCTGTTTGCAGAATATGGAATCTGGGTCTACCCCAGGGCCTTGGCGGGCGAGACTCAATGCGATGGATTCTGGAGACTCTTCTGGCAAGAGTCCCATCACTTTCTTTCCGTATCGCTCCATTTCCTTTTTCTGAAATTCAAGCAACTCCGCCTTCGCAGCCTCCTTGATACGGTCGATGGCGGCGACCGGGGCCTTCAAAACAACGCCATTAGTTTCCGAACCTTGCTTATGGGTTGACCTTGCCGGAGCGTTGTGCTTCCTGTAGTTACGTCCACGGCTAGGACGGCGTCTATGAGGAGGATGGTTATCATTATTCTCCTGCCCCTGAGGATAGTTCATCTTGATCTGGCCAACAGACTTAGGACCCTTCAGAGTTTCGTTTTTACGAAAGCCGTATGGAATGTTGGGCCCGACCATTCGCAGTTCGTCTTGTCGAAACACCACCTCATCCGAACCATCAGAGCCTCCTGCTCGGTTACAGTGAAATTTCAGTTGAGGCTCACGAGGCACGTTTATGTTCCAGAGCAAGTACTCACCGGTTAACTGAGAATTCTGTGCCTTGTTGCTGTCACCGGCAGGTGTTTGGCTTGCTTCAGCTCGCTCTCCCTCCATCATCACGGAAGATGTATCTTTGGCGGTTGCAGCGGAAGATAGACGTGGTGTCATTCCCTCAGACGGACTGATGGCAGCTAAACTGGACGCGCCAGAATCTTCTTGATCACTGAATGCTTCGTTGCTAGTGGTAACGGCTCTGCTCGCGTTTGACGAAACGTGAAGTGAAGGTTCTGCCTCCGCCGGGGCACTTAAAGTCCGAACTGGAGCTTCAGTTGGAGCTAGGGCTGGAACAGCAATTTTGCTGGGGCGAGGAACTGCTATGTTGGTAGCTGATGCGAGGGCCTTTGACTTGTGTGGTGGCCTGTAAATGTTACTCGCAATGGCTTTGAAAGCATTCATGGCTGCAATATAATCACCCCACTGCTCAACGCCGCTGATTCGCTCCTGGCCATTCTCCTGGCCCTGCTGACTGGACTCTGCCATTGTGGCTGTTCCGGAGCGTTCCTATCTAGATGACAGGTCAGCTAAGGGAACCAAAGGAGGAAGAAATGAAGGCCAACGCGAGCTTTCCCAGCTCTCTCACGGGCCAGAGAGCCAGGAGCCTTTCCCAACAGTCTAGGAGACTATGAAGGAGCTGGAAATAATACTCTATCTGTCTGGGAAGGGTTTGCGTTCTTTGCTTGACTTGCCTGATGGGGGTCTGCACTTTCGCCGAGAGAGCGTGATGTTGTTGTTTTTATATCTAGATCCAGGAGCAAAAGAAAAACGCGTAGTTAGTGGTTAGTCTAGTAGAACTTTTATATCTTTATTGCAACCACCACAGTTCACTATGATCTTGCTCAGAGCCACACCCAGGGGTTATATGTTAAGTTAATTTTGACAGGCAGACATTCATATTTTATGATTATACTTTTACACTATAAGATTATCAAGCTGGAGACTGACTAAACGGATAGACAAATAAGTTACCAACTTTGCATATAAAGTGACCAAACTGCAGCCAACTACCTACAACCAACCATTCACTACCTCTAGAGTTAGAGAAGAGAGAAAGAGAAGAAGAAAAATGCTGTCTGTCCTGAGAAAGGCCCGGCTAAAGGACAAAGAGATGAGAGTCTTGATGCTGTAAGACGACTCTTCGAGCCGGCTGCTAAGATGTCCATTTACTGACGCAGAGCACCCAGCGGACTCGACAATGCCGGCAAGACAACAATAGTAAAGAGTATTATGGGGGAAGATATCACTACGGTGAGCCCTACGCTGGGTTTTATAATCAAGTCCATCGACTTTGAGGGGTGAGTGTCCGCGGTGGTGGATTATCAAGTTCGTTACGAGCAATGCTGACTCCCTGCAACAGGTACAAATTGAATATATGTGAGTTTTCACATAGTTATAGCTACTGGCCACGCAGACAAATAGATCGTCTGACACTGTATAGGGGATGTGGGTGGTCAAAGAACACTACGGTCCTACTGGAGGAATTACTTTGAAAAGACAGATACGTTGATATGGATTGTTGACGCCACTGACCGATTCCGACTCGATGACTGTCGACGCGAGCTTGCCGGGCTTCTTACAGAAGAGGTAAGACTGGTCACTATCTTAACTACTAGTTGCTAGAAAGGGGAGAACGGTGTTATTTTGGCTAATGATATGTACAGCGGCTGATGGGAGCAAGCCTTCTTGTCTTTCTCAACAAGACGGATGTCGACGGTTGCATGACCGAGGAAGAAGTTCGAAAAGTAATTACTTCTTCCCACCCGTCCATTGTCCTCTTCTATGGATCTAATTAGCTATACGTTATAACTAGGGACTTGAGCTCGACGCCATCAAGACGCACAAGTGGACGATTATGCCTTGCAGTGCCGTGACGGGGCTGAACCTGACCAAGGGTCTCTCCTGGGTCGTCCAAGATGCAAAGGACCGGCTTTTCCTTTACTGAACTCGCCCTGACAGGCGATCTGCAATTGTTTATTTATCGTCACGCTCGCTTCTAACTAACTAACTTGTTGGTTAAACCAGCGGATAACTGGTTATCCACAGGTTGGCAGGGCATCCCGACCTCTCGAGCAACCATCATGCATCCCATCCCAACTCATGAACCCGCCGCCCAACCTAACCCAGCGTATACGAGACCTTCTCGAGTTCCCACCAGATCTCAGCTCGCCCCCGATCATTGGCCATGGCAAGCTGGAAAAAGAAACGAGACTGGCCAGCAGGGGGGCCAATCACTTATTTCAACGAGGTGGACTTTTGTTTTCTTCACGAGCATCGCAAACATTCAAATCGGCTTGGATTCGCTTTTGGCGGTTGTTTCATCTTTTGCTACATTTCATCATTCTTCCCTCAAACAGTCGCCGGATCTTCCCCCCCGACACGCTGCGAGCCTGGTGCCTCTGCTGTCGATAGCTCTTCTATTCTTCATAAATAAATTATATATATATCTTGCCGCCCGCCTGTTTTATGCTTATCCGTATTCGGTGTCACCCGCTTAGTTCTTGTTGTCCGTCCGGCGTTGGGAAACAAATAATAAACAAATAAAATAACAACAATGGCTACCTCGCACGACGCCGACGGGTCGGAAGACGTTAACGACTTTCTGGTTCGCATCCGAGAGCTGGGGAACAAGCGGGACAAGGAAGACGAAGAGCGCACGCGAAAACTGGAGGAGGAGATCCTGCAGGGCCGCCGCGAGAGACAGGCCAGGAGAGCTGGTACGCTTGCTGCACTCCCCAGGCATACACATATAACATACACACACACACCACATACCCCTTTTTGCTTTCGCCTCTTCCATTGACCTGTTAACTTGTTTCTTGCCGTACCGCTGCTGCATCTAAGCTAGTTTACTGACTACGGTCCTTGGTTGTTGATGTAGAGCGCGCTCGATCAATTTCTCCAACCAAGGACTCGCCCCTCCAGCAACAACTTGACGAGCTGATACAGAGGGACTCCGGGCCGTCAACGCCACTTTCCCACTCAATACAGCCTCCTGTCGACCTGCTACCGTCATCTTCCGCCTCAAGGGACAATAGCGGCCTACCAAGACGTGATTCCGAGGCGCACCAGGCGGAAACACCACCCAAGCAGCCCTCTCCGGATACCATGAAGTCTTCTCCTCTAGGAGGCCGGCCATTGTCCTGGAAACAACGTCCTATGTCGCGAGACCAGGGCTCGCCGACTCCTGTCACTTTAAAGCCAGCCATACAAGAAGAGGATGTGAAAACTGCTACCGATAGCAGAACTGTCGACGGCGCTGAGGGAAAGGAGGACGAGGACGCTGCAGTGTCTCGCACACAGATTGCTCAATCCCTCGGGTCGAAGGACCCGGCTTTCTTTAAGCAGACCAGTGATAGAGGAGAAGGCTCGCGTGCGTATAGAAGAGCCCATAATTCTTCCTTTTCTGAAGCTTCTACAAGCCGATCGAATGTGAAGCTGCCGGGACTTAGCCGGGAAGCTATCAGTGATCTCGGTACGCGTCCAGCCTCCGAGCTGGGTGAAGAGAGACCGCGCTCACCATCGAGGACAAGCTCTGTATATGGAGGCAGTAGCTTAGGGAACAGATACTCGAGCGTGTCTTCTGTGGCCACAGCGGGACTAGGCTCTCCTGTGCCATTGACAAGCCCTCGGAGACACGAACGAGCATCATCAATATATGAAGAACAGCAGACAGGTGACCACTTTACAATGTCTCCTACGCAGGGTCGTTTGGCCTCCGATAGACCTTCTTCACCAACTAAGGGCCTCGGCGGGTTCGTCCAGAGTGCCATGCTTAAACGGTCAGACAGTGTATCTAAACGCTGGAGTGCCCAGCTCCCTACGAATTCTGTGCGTGGAGGCAGTGTTAGGCCTCCTCCGTCCCCCGCAATGTCTCCTGATGGTTTTTCAGGCATGCCTTCGCGGCCTGGCTCACGGCCTGACTCTCGACCCGGATCCAGCCATAGTGATGCAACAGTTGTGCGCGGGGAAGGAGACGACGCATCAGTGATAAGTAGGTCAACAGATGCGTATGCAAGGCCTCCATCTCGACGGAGGGAATCGGTGAGCACAGCTAGTGGACGAGATTCGGGCCTACCCGTCAGCCCGACTAAGACTATGGATCCAAGAAGATGGAGTCCAACAAAAGCATCCTGGTTAGAGAGTGCGCTCAGCAAGCCAGACTCCCCCAAACCAAAACCTCGTGTCCCAGAGGAGCCGGAATGGAAGAAGGACCTAACGGACAGGCTGAGAAAGGCTAAGGAACTGAATCAGCCGGAGAAAACAGCTACTCCTGAGCCCGAAAAGACTGTATCACCCGCAACAAAACAACCGGACCCTCCCAGTTCACCGGAAAAATCTCAGAGTCCAATATTGAAGAAGTCATCTTCTGATATGAAAATAGATCCGCCTCAGGATGCCATAGAATCTTCAAATCCAAGCCCATCTGAAGTCCCACCTCCCAAAGATTCCACCAAGTCACCTCCAATCCCAGCAAAAAGTGAATTCCTGAAGTCAGAAACAAAGGATCCAGTCTCATCTCCAGCCCAGGATACCCCCTCCAAACCAACTGCACCTAGTGTGAAGTCATCCCAAATTGATTTTCGCGGCAACCTGCGCCGTCGTGAAACAGTCGGCGATAGCGTTAAAAAGGACGAGCCAGAATTTAAGGCAGTCTTTGGTAAATTACGGCGCGCTGAAACTAAGAATTATGTTGCCCCTGACGAACTCAAAGGCAATATACTTCGTGGTAAAGCCGGACTGACTGTGACCGGCGGCCCCAAGAAAACAGAGCGAGTGGACGAATTCAAAGAGAGCCTCTTGAAGCGCAAGGAGGCAATGAAAGCTGCCGGTGGATCAATTCGCCCGGATCACACTGGGCCTTCCAATACTCCCCCACCGCAAGATTCTACCCCAGAAGCCATTCTCGTGAGACAGAATCTTGGTAGGTCGAATAGTATAAGGACCACAGCTGGATCAAAAAACGCGCCTGCCAAACCATTGTCAAAGCCAGCAGCCCTTCGTTCATCTTCTTCTGAAGAGATCCCCAAGGAAAAAGAGAACCGGCCGCCTCAGGCTTTAGAATCACCGCCGGCGAAATCACCTGTCCCATCACCGCCTGCAGAAACAGAAACCCCTACCACCACCCTTGTTGGTTCGACTGTAACCATGACAGCAGGTCCTCCTAGCCACGACACTTCGTCTCCCGCAGCCAAGGGCAAGCTTGGTAATCGAATGAACCCAATGTTAGCAAATCTCATTGCTCGAGGGCCTCCAGCTCCATCAAAGGCTGCCCCTTCAGCGTCCGTGTCAACAATATCAACCTCTGAGCCATCTACTCCGGAAGCACTAACACACATGACTAAATCTCGCGCTAGAGGGCCCAAGAGACGCTTACCTAAAGGTACTGCAAAGGAGTCGAATGCTGGAGCTGCCAAACCCGATGACCCTGCTCCAGAAAAGCTATCTGAAGCCAGGCCGGCTGTGGCCAGTCGTTTACCATCCACCGAAAAGGAACATGTTACCGCACCAAAACCGTTGAACTCGGAAATGAAGAATAAATTTCTAACATCAAATAGCCAAGAGAAGAAACCTGAGGTTCCTCTTCACTCGTCCCTTCCTTCTACTCCCTTGGTGGCGTCCCAATCATCTAAAGCAGAGCTCGCAGTACCCAATCGATCAAACAGCAGCCCTGCTGAGAATAAGGACAAGCCCAGCCCTCCACCCAAATCTGCAACCCTTTCTACTTCTCCTCTCAGTCTTAAAAAGCAGACCCCGGTAGATGACTCTCCCGTACCACAAAAGGCACGACTACATTCTCCGTTAGAGAAGAAGCCAGTTCAATCTGAGGCGAAGGCTGGGCTAACAGATTTCACTACTTTAGCTCCGCCACGCCTGGGAAAGCCCTCGTTCTTATCAGGTTTAAATGCTAATCGAACAAGAGAGCAATCTCGCTCCCCGTCGCCGACGAAGACCCCAGCATTTGCCCAAAGTTCCGAAGTATCTCAAATGTTTTCCAACTTCTTCCTCAACCGGCCTACTGCTGAAGATAAAGTAGAGATTGATCCCGCACCAGTTATGATGGGCAAACCCGAGGCATATCCTAAGACCACAACCCTTGCCAAGCATGTATGGGAGTTGACTGGTGATGGAAAGAGAAAAGATTTACCTGGCAACCAAGAGTATATTTTGTTCGATGAGAGCATGTACCTTTGCGTTCATACGTTCGAGAAATCTTCTGGTGGCAGAGCAACAGAGGTACACCTATGGTGTGGTGACGGAGTTGGAGAAGCGACCACTGAAGATGCACAGCTCTTTGCTCGCAAAGTCGCAAGAGAGCACAACTGCAAACTTGAGCTCTTGAAGCAAGGTAAAGAAACACCAAACTTCATCCAAGCCCTCGGTGGTATCATGATCACGCGGCGAGGACCGAGCAGTCGATCCGGCTCGTCAGCTCAATACATGCTCTGCGGAAGAAGACACATGGGCCAAATAGCATTTGACGAGGTCGACCTGTCAATCAGCAACCTCTGCTCAGGATTCACCTACATAATATCCGGCAAGAACGATAAGCTATTCCTATGGCAAGGGCGGGGAAGCACGGCCGACGAAATTGGTTGTGCGCGTTTGATTGGCATGGGCATCGGGCCAACAGGTGAGATCGAAGAGGTCGCCGAAGGGGAAGAACCGAGTAGCTTCTTCGAATCCTTCCCTGGCCAGGAAAAAGCAGTGCCACCGTCAGCAGACTACTGGCAACTGAAACCGAAGCACGATAAATACTCGTGCCGACTGTACCGTATCGACCATGAGCTAGGCCAGTGGTTTGGAGCGAGCTTTTTCAACCGTCGTGGAGCCTCATCGCCAGTATCTCGACCGAATGACACAGTTCAGGAGATCGAACCATTCTGCCAACGTGATCTCGACCCAGCGCATATTTACGTTCTTGATGCGTTTTTTGAAATCTATGTGTAAGTCCGCCTCATGTAGCAGCTGACACCCTTTTTCCCGCGATTCTAACCAATCTCTAGTATTGTTGGTGATCGATCAAACGCACGTTCGGCAGAGTTTGCTTCCGCTCTCGTATTCGCCCAGGAATATGGAATTCTCGCTGTCTCTGAGCAAGACCGCCCATTTCTACCAAAGAGCCATGTTGTTCTCGAAGGTCTACCGACAGAGTGCAAACGAGCGTTCAGAAACTGGAACGGTAGACACTCCCCAGGCACGCTGAACAAGACTCCTGTCATTATCCCACTGGCTGTGGCTATCGATGCAATCCGATGAGCTACCATGATTTACCATATACTCTTTCGCACCATTTTCTACTAGCATTATCTTCTCTTCTCCCCTTGCTCTTCACTTTTTATTCCATATTAGCGGTTTTTGGAGGTTATCAATTCTTGCTTTATACTTCGTCTACTCTCTTCTTACTGGCTACCCGTCTTTTCTGTCAGCTCGGGTTATGTACAACTTTTATCGGCACTCAGAAGTAGGGTCGTCAAAATCATTGGATGCTACATGGCATAGACTGCATAGAATAGCATGAATCTTGTACTTTTTGTTTCCTCTTGAATCTTGATAAACCATTTCTTGCAACATGACTGGCTGCATGAGTGAACAAATCAGAGCCACCAGCCATTTTGAAGGTGGGACTTCGATATGAACATCAGATAAGTATCAAGACTGTTCTTTGCTGGGCTCCTGGCTCTATTAATGTGCCCATCACCTTTACAACACCGGTTAATTAGTGCTAACTTCTTCTATATACAGTTGCGCCTTTTATTCACCCAACGGAACCGCTTAAGGTTAAACTAATCCGGTGGCTCTCCAAGGTTTAGCTAATTGTCGAGACGTCTCACCTTTGTCCATCTCAACCTCAACCTCCGAAGAACATCACACTCGCGGGAAGGAAGACGAAAAGACAAGATCATCGTCCAGACAGCTGGCATCCTCTCCTACGCCACCGCTGTCATGCATTGATCGAGTAGACTTTGCTGCCACCCTGCTGAGAGGTACTTCCTGGTTTTAGATATCGTGGTGGGGAAACGGATTCTCCCTCCAGACGAACGACCGGCTCTTGAACAGCAGCCAGCAGGCAAGATCCAGACTCGAAAGCCTGGCAAAGGGGCCAGGAAAAGGAAATTTGGATAAGGGAAAAGGACAAGAGTAGGAGAGGAGCGGAAGAAACAAGCAAAAATGGACGCTCTCATAACCGCCGAACTCGCCAAACTAGACCCCTCAGTGCCATTTCGAGCGACCAAGTCACACCTCCATCACACCTGGGCAAAAACGTTCTACTCTCGACCGGAACTTTACATTCAGCCCGAGTCAGTTGCCGAAATTGAAAAGGTCATCACTCTTGCTCGCAGATGTCGCCGACGCATAGTAACCGTCGGCAGTGGTCACTCGCCGTCTGATCTTACCTGCACGTCATCATGGGTTGTCAACCTGGACAATTACCGTCGGGTCCTCTCGTTTTCGCGTGATACAGGTGTTGTTACGGTTGAGTCTGGTATACGGCTGAGACAGCTTGGCATTGAGCTGGAGAAGAATGGACTGATGCTTCCTAATCTCGGCAGCATCGATGAGCAGTCTATAGCAGGAGTGATTTCAACGGGGACACATGGCAGCTCACTCAAGTATGGCTTGCTGTCCGAACGTGTGTTGGGATTGTCAATAATGCTTGCGAATGGCCAGGTTGTCCGATGTAGCGAGGCGACCAATCCGTCGCTGTTTCGTGCCGCCCTGGTGTCCCTTGGAGCCATTGGTATCATCACGGAGATGACCTTGCAGGCAGTTCCAACTTTCAATATCGCCTGGCAGCAGTCCCTGAAGACATTGCCACAGGTATTGGATACGTGGGACTCTGGCTTATGGACATCTACGGAGTATGTGAGGGTGTGGTGGATGCCTTATATGAAGCGCGCGATTGTCTGGCGTGCGGACAAGACCGACCTCCCGACTCGTGATCCCCCTGCAAGCTGGTACGGTGGTGCGTTAGGTTACTTCATCTACCATAACCTATTGTATCTCTCCAACTACGTGCCCCGGATCTTGCCTTGGGTTGAGTGGTTTGTGTTCGGCATGCAATATGGTTTTACGCCCGGAAAGACTATTACGGAGGCAGTTCAACCCGCTCGCACTGGTCTGTTGATGGACTGCCTGTATTCTCAATTTGTGAACGAATGGGCACTTCCATTAGAAAAGGGTCCAGAGGCCATTACCCGACTGTCCGCCTGGTTCCATGGCGATGAGGAAACTGCACGTATACCATTTAGTTCCGAGTCTGTCTGGGTACATTGCCCCATTGAAGTACGTGTCTCCGATACTTCGATCTCAAAGACCCCTCGCCCGTACCTGGACTCCACTTATCCTGATGGCCCTACTCTCTTCCTCAACGCCACTTTATATCGGCCTTATCTGCGTGATCCTCCTTGCAGGGAAAGGTACTATGAGGCATTTGAATGGCTCATGCGGGAGCTAGGTGGGAAACCACATTGGGCTAAAAATTTTGGAGAAGACCTTGGGTATGAGGCCCTCCGAGAAATGTACGGGGACAGCTTGGATCAATGGCTACAGGCCAGAAATGAGGCTGATCCTGATGGAATGTTTCTGGGTGCGTGGCACAGAAGACACCTACTTCCCCCCTCTACAGCTGCATCGAAATCACCTGGCCAGACTTTAGCGTTTGAAGAACAGCTCAAGGAGCAACGGGTGCTAGGTGCTCCCGGTGCCGGGGATGGCATTGAGTGGATTGGCACTATCCCCGGCTGTACCCCACACGGCAATGCGGATATGGAGGACGGTGCGAATGCAGCCGGCAGTCATCCAAGCCCACCAACAACCTCTGCAAGCGAGGAAAGTTTTGACCACCTCGCGAAAGGGGAAGCAAGCATCACTCTGCCTTAGCAAGGCGACCATAAATTCGAGAGATCACTTCGCGGCATCATCTTCACCTGTATTTTGAGTATGCAGAATAATTTATCCCTGATTTTTGTTATTTTATTTTATCTGCTCTAACGCAGATTTGTGCCTGTAGGCATGTTTTGGTATCGTATGGGAAGGGTGGAAAATTGTTGACGCCCTGTACAGTGACATGCAGGCGCGCCGCCTACGCACCTCAAATCAATTTAATTTAGTTAACTAACAATTAAATGAGCCTGGTGGTTGGACACCGAGTCGCTTGAAATGCACCAACGGGATTACTCCCAATGCGCCACTTTTAGCAGCCCTTGCTGGGTTAGAATCTACGCTATTCAATTCCTTCTCTCTGATCTCTCGTTGCCCAGGGCCCGGGAAGAAAGGCGACGGAGGGTAGATATATATGACTCTTTGCTATATATACCGTCCGTGTGTCTAATGAAGACATACTTTCCTCAAGAGCTTTCTGTAAAACTTACCCCGGCGGCAGATCAACTCTTCTCCCTTGCTCCGCTCAGAGTACATCGTATATAACTCGCAGGGAGGCCGCATGTCCGTGTCTAAACATAGCGAATTCAGCATATAAGCCGTTCAGTAGGGTTACCTAAGTCAGCAGTCATCCTTTCTGGTAGGTATTTTTCTTTTGTTATGTTTCTAACTTTTTCGGCGTTGACTCTGCTTAGTTTTTCAATTTGTAATGAGGAGTCGAAGATGACGCTGCCAAAGAAGGAAGAAAGAAAGCAAAAAAGCGGGAAGTATATCGGCTAAACCAGCTGCCGGAAAATGAATCAATAGCCGACTTCATGATATGACTGGCCCGCAGACAGATATGTACCCTGCCTTAGCTTCTGTCGGCATTTGATTAAGGCCCTTATCCTGCAGCCCCCTGACCACAACCTTCCCCTACCCCTGCACATTGACCACACCCTGTTGCACGGACGCTGTTCGCCAAGTTGTCTCTTGGACGCTGCCCTTCCACAATAATATGGCTCTAGTAGTGGGTATAACAGCCATCTTAGTATGTAGACGCAGTATACAATGCAAGTATTCAATCTGTCCCGGGGAATCGTCGAATACATACAGCGAGCACAGCGTGAAATCAAGGGAAAGAACCCGCTATACGGAGTAGAGGCAACCGCGAAGGAAAAGCCGCCAGCCGCACTTACAGCCTTAGCTGCAGGGTGGAGGTAAAAAAAGTACGCGCATATATGCACGTCTGCTAGCAAAGTATCAGGTTTGTCGCCCACGGTTTACATGGGTTGATTCGTAATGATCTCCATCGGCTGTGAAGTGTAGGATCGAGCTTTGTACATGAGAACAACCCCGAAAAAGAAACGAAGGCCTGTTCCTGCACAAAACGGGAATTATACTCCACTGCTATGTCCCATGGGATAGGAAACTCTGTCACAACAAGTAAAACGGCATGGATAGAGTAACCTCCGACACGGGGTATACTCCCGTCGCCCGGATGTTTCTGGTATAAATCTTCCGCTAGTTCTAGACTATTCAGCAGACATTCTGACAGAAGGCTAACTATATTCTCACGGATTGTTAATTGAACCTGAAGCCACGATGCCTAAATGCAACATCAAGGCTGCATCTTTCAGAGAATTTCACCTGTTAGCAAGTAACCACAATCCATGCACATATTTTGCAAGGCAGCACAATGGTTTACAATGTTATTGGTGGTTTGAATTAACAACCAACAAATAACAACCCCAACCCAGAAGGCAACCCTTGGCTATGGCGTTGCATGCCAAGATATGTATGTGAGACCGCTATTTTTGACGGAGACAAGTTGCGAGTCAATAACATGCATATGTTCCTTTACAGAACCAATATAACGAGGTGATCATGGAATTGCTTTTCGGCGGGCGCGTATCCAGGGCATCAATATTAGCTGGAGAAATGTGAGATATGATCGGAAGTACAAACGGAGTACGCAGATCTCGTCATTCTGCTGGTATCGAACAAGCCAACCAAGCTGTTTAGATGGTAGCCTGTCGGTCCTGGTTCGAAATAACAAAGAGCTCATTGGACGAAGAAAGATACCATGAATAAGAAGCATGTGGGTACAAAGCAGGTTTCTGTCAGAGTACTGTATGCGCGGCCAATGTCGTACATCATTGACATACATAACACTTAACTATCATGCACATGAAAAAAGGACAGTTTTACGCGCAGACGTCGTTTTCGGGAGTCGTTCTTGTGGTGGAGGCAGATAGACTGTGAGCTATCACTTTTTTGTTACGAGGTAGTTTTAAGCTTATCTAAGCTCGGGGCGGCCCGTGATTCGAGGTTAATCTTATCTATTACCACGTGATTCTGTCAGTTTATCGAGGATCCCAATTAGGACGTCGCTTGCGACCTCCGTCCCCGGACGACCGATGACCATAACCTGCATCAAAGCACTGCCAGCGCCAAACGAAAAATACGCTCCAAGGCGTTGTACGTACCAGGGGCCCTGTCCCTGTACCTCAGGCCTATGAGGCCCGTCACACGCCATCACTAACACCGACATGAACGCTGCATGGCCGATACGGTCCCACTACTGCCGCCTCAACGCAATTCCAGCCGTGTCCTCAAGGGGGCTAGAAGGGACTACCAAGTGCATTTGCTTGTTGGAACGCGGTTCACTCGAGAAGAGACGCTGATACATCTTGGTACTAGTTACAATGCGAGAAACAACACCACCGCTGCGGAGTACAATCTTACCCCTCTGTTGTACCGGACAACGTAGTTCTGCAACCCCCTCACTGCGCTCAGCCCCTGGTCTACTCCGTTTATTGGCCATACGAGAAAGGAGGTTATGTTAATCCAGCTATCGGGTTGCAGGTTACGGTGGTACAATTTCTGCCATTTTATGGGCGCACGTGAAGAGACGGATCATTTTAACTTGGACTTTTGCGCTCTCTGTCAAAGCTGCTATCAGGAGTCCATGACCGATTTATTTACCTTACAGGCACGGTTTGCGTATGTAAAAATGCTAGGATTGTTCTTCTTCCCTCCTTTCTTTTCTTTTCTAAGCAAAATGGCAGATCTTGCTCTCTCTGCCTTTTCCTGCTGCCACGACTCGAATTGGAACGCCCATTCCCAACCCAACTGGGAATTATCAACTACTTCCTGCAGATGAAACATTTTCATCGCGTTTATCTTGGAAGTCAACTTCGGAGCACCAGATCTGATAATCTCATAAATTTATTCCGTCGTCGTGTGACTGGCCCTAGTCAGAGGGACAGAGCGGACGGAACCTGCCAACCATTAGGTCGCTAGTAAGCCTCGGTTTCCTTACAAGCTGAAATTGCGAGCTAAATACCCCCTGGCTCAACATTTAAAAATAAAAAATAAAAACGCAAAATGAAAAAGCGACAGCGGTTGAAAATAGAGCCCTCTTTTTAGGCCGTTGTTTGCTTTTTTGATCCGTCGGCTATTCCCATTGCCTTTAGGATGCAGCTTTTGAAATCCTCTCGGCTGTCCAAGTTGCTGCCCAAGTCCTCCTTGTCAGCAAAAGTCCTAGGCTAGCTTTCCTATGCTACACGCCCGCCTCGCTTCATCTCCATGCATACATTACCCCCCCTTCCCATTGTGGAAACCGGGTCGGCCCGTTATAAGTGGCTGCGGTACTGGAATTCTCCACTAATTAGTACAAGCCAAGTCACCCTTCCATCAGAGCTGCTGCGGTGAAGATCGGGAATGACCCGTGGAAAAGGATGTCATTTATGGAAGACCATCCCCATGCATACAAGGACAACCGCTAGTTAGCTAGCTTAAGTGGGTATCCTTGTCTCCTCCCCCCTCCCCTTTTTACCTATTTCCGAGCCACTACAAAGGTACTTCTTTTTTATTTCCGTGTGAGGTGTCGAGCTTCATTAAATTGAGGGAACAAAACATTCCGGTACATAAGAGTGACGAGAACGGATTTCTCCACGTCATCCCCACTGTTTGGGGCTTTTTGAGGCGATCGTTTCCAGAAAACAGCCATATAGGTATGTTTAAAAACTTGCAGTGCATCTACATCCTACATCGGCTGTCATCTACAACATAAATCAACCTCACTATATCACAGGACACTCTTCCCCTTTCATATTTCCAACCAAGCCATTTCCGTACTCACCTCACACGAACCCCTTCTTATGTTCAAATAGGGGACAAGTTTATTTGCTCTCATTTTTGGTTACTCTTCGCCTGATAACACTTATTGACTGTTTGAAATTCCAATCCCCCGGCGTGTAAAACATTCCTCTTCCCCCATCCGGTCGATTAAATTACGTCTCAATGCCGCAACCACACCCAATCTATCCGAAACTCCATGTCTCGTCCAGACTGCCGGACTCGTTGCCCATACCCGGGGCCATGGTAGCTATCCCCAGCTATGGACATATCCCACGTCCCCTGGACATGAATCAACGCCATCAGATTTTACGAACGAAGCGGAAGCACGTTCTAAAAGCCTGTGATCGATGTAGGGTGAAGAAGACAAAGGTATATATATTCATCCAGCAATGTCTTTTGGCATCTGTGGCTTTGTTTTTATGCTTTTGTGTCCAAGTTCAACTATTTTGTGAATACTTAATTGACGCTGATATATGAAACGTGTTTATAGTGTGACGGAAACCAACCATGTTATCGATGTGCTGTGTATAACCATCCGTGCCTGTTCCGGGAGAGGAAGGCAACACAGACCAAGGCATATTCCAGAGGGTGAGGAGAACGGTGTCTCATATACTTCCGTCTTGAGGGGAATCATCTTAGGAGAAAACAACCGGCCGTCATTGCAAATAACTTACTCTGTGGCATTGTATAGCTTCGTTGAAATGCTGGAGTCCCACCACGCTCTAGTTGTCAAGGCACTTCAGCAGTTATATACACATTGCATCAACAACAAGTGTTTTCCAGGCGAACCCATCGAGCTCGTGGATGGGTACCCCTTAACCCACGCGATCTTGGACCGACTTGGCCTTATCAAGCAAGCCGAGGAGCAGAATATTACACATAACGTAGAAGCCGAGCTGATGGCAGCTTCGAAGTATTGGAAAAACGAGTCGTCGGGACCAAATTCACCGGAACACGACAATTCCCCCATCGAGCCATGCTGTGCGCTTGGCCGGTCCCGGTCCAGCGATTCGTGCTCGACATCTACCCCATCCGAGTCTGACCTAGTGAAATGCGAGTCTTCACCTACCAGTGGCGCACACGAAGCGTTCCGGGCATTCGGACGTGAAGAGGCGTTTTGGCCTATGAACGGCGAAGCTGCCCTCGCACACGTTGCTCCTGAGTATAACCGGGCTGGACTGGACTCTACCAGCTTCAACAATGTGTCGGGTAACTACTCTCCCACGCACTCCAGCCACCAAGCGAGTACCATAGCTTGTAACAGCCTTCCATCCCCAGTTTCGGTGAACAATGCAACCATGACGCCTAGTACCTGTCCGCAGACAGATCCCCGGATGAGCTATCCTGCCGTGACTGCTGTCCAGTACCCAGGGTATCACCATCCGTATTCTGAGGTAGAGCAACAAGCTACCTGGAACACACAGCAGGGATGGTCGGCATAATTTGATTTGCCCGCTACTCGGACTCAATATGACAGGAGATACTGGTTACCGATGGTTTACGTGTATTAGATTCCGGCAGCTACCCACCTAGAGTGGTTCGAACTCAAGGGTTACACCCCTCAGGAGAGTATGTAGCTATGATACACCTATCCCAGTTTCCTTCATGATTTTTACGCCAGCGAGGAGCAATCACTTTCTGTCAACCAGTTACTGCCCGAATTCCGGGGGCCATCCTGCGCTCTTCGATAAATCGTTTCTCTCACGAGGCCATGAGATACCCATAAAACATTGTTTCATTATAACATTTTACCACTTCCCTACTGCTATGGATGTATACATTGCGTCGATTTCGTTGATCTCTCGAAAACAATGAGTAAGTACTTATGTGAGAGGCAGATTGTACGATTGTCCTACCAAACATGTTACAGCCAGTGGCTCTATCAACAAGCCAGCACTTCGGTACAAGGAACTTCCTCGCCACATGGCCTATTATTGTGTCTGATTTTGGTTATTATTATCCTTCACTCCTTTGATTTTCTTGCTTTTTTAGTCTAGTTTTATTTTATTTTATTTTTTACTTTACCTGTAGGTTAACTATCGGGACTGTAGGATTTTGCATGGGGTTTTTGGTGTGTATTGGTTAACCACTATGTATATCGCGAAGGAACTGCACCAAAAACAAGGAACCAGGGAAAGGGGGGACTTTACGATAGGCTAGGTACTTTCATATGTATCCTGACGGGCGCAGGAGGTGTTTATAAATAACTAACAACTGACGTTATTCATCTGTAAGTGGACAATGAATTGACTTCTATGCCGTTAGGGACATTTTGATGGGGTGAAAGAAAGAGTGAAAAAAAAAAATAGCAAAAAAGAAACTCTCCTGACCCAGAATCGAACTAGGGACCCTTCAGTTACAATTTTTCAGTTACAGCCGAATGTCATAAACCAACTAGACCATCAGGAGATGTTTTTGTTGAAGGGCCCTTGTTTGACGTCCCTTTGACTGATCTTCCTGCCGCCCGGGACCGAAGACTTCTCATACAACAGTCGCCGGCGAGGTCGCAAAGTTGATTACACTTAAAAACCGACAATCACAGATGTAAGTAAGGTATCTTAGGTGGGCTTTATGCTGTTTTTGCACTTGTTACTCACATATCCAGCGTCCTCTCCCTCTTCTTATTTGCGACCGCTGAATTTGCCATCTTACTAAGAAGATTAGCCGCGAATCACGTGCATCTCGGGTAAATGTTTATCTACCCGCCGGCTAGCCGCGCTTTTATATCCATGTCCACAAAGCGAGCGAGAAAAAAAAATATCAACACAAAAAATGAGACAAAAAAAGGAAGAAACTCCCCTGGGCTGGAGTCGAACCAGCGATTTCTCGGTTTCATGAGTTAACAATTACAGCCGAGCGCCTTAAACCAACTAGACGACCAGGGGCGTTCAGGTACCTGCAGCCCGGAACGAGGTGCCTATCAGCAGACGAGGGCGCTTCCCAAACCGGCAGCCATAACACCACCTCCGGGATAATCGAATATACTCTATACATCATACGTTTAACTTCAGGAGAAGAAAAAACTAGGCGCCTTTCCATGGCTGTTTTTTATAACAGTGCCCCGTTAAAGGTTTACTTGACAGATCACATAACTTACAGGCCAAAATGGGATACATCTAAAGAAAAGGAGACTCTATTATAGCCGTCCCTTCTTCTACTCACTTGGAAGAATAACTTACTCTATGTTAGAGGCTCAATTAACTACAAAGGTGTAAGTCCAGAAATCAAGGAATTAAGTATCAATTTATTTAGGGGGATGGAGTTACCAACAAATTATTATCTATAAAGGTATCCACATAGAATTACGACCTCACCACGAGAACCAAATCCTCTTACAGATATTAATCTCCTACAGTGGCCATATACTGATTCGGAGGCTTAGATTGAGATGGATATTCTTTCAGGAGAGACCAGAAACTAGCATATAAACATACACAGAAACAGCGTGCTACTGCTGATCTGAGTTCAGGGCTGATTCATAGTTATTAGCTTCCACATAAGAAGAGGCTATATTGATGAATCATTACTAGGTGGCCCTTGGAATCTCTAGAAAGAGGCTAAAAATCTCCAAATTAGAAGACGCATTCAAGAAGTACCCCCCTACAACCTGTCTTCAAAACGATCTTATTCCTCAATCAAGCTAGATCTGGAACGAAGAATATATCCAGATTTTACTACGCTAAGATACTGCTCCAGGGCTTGTCAAAAGCTTCTTTTTGCTCTCCCAGAAAAAGAAATTTCAGGAGAGCGTCAGAGTACCTAAGGAAAAGTCAACTTGCGGTTTAGTTTTTGGGCGCGCCGCTCAACTTAGACGCGCTGCATCTCTTAGCCTATCATCTTCAACGTCACTTTGAGCCAACATCGTCAAATACACCCAACGATTGTGAAGATACCGATAATACCGCTTCACCGTCCTACAGTCTCTCCCTGATAATCCAGTGTTGTTCGTTGCAGAGCGCAATGTTTCTCGTCGGTTTCGGGCGGCTCATACAAGGTCGACTGTTCCCACCTGCCAACCCAACAGCCTCGCTTGAAGGGAAGACAGTCCTCCTCACCGGCGGTACATCTGGCCTGGGGCTCGAAGCAGCCATAAAATATATAAACTTGGGAGTTTCCTCGTTGATAATTGCCTGCCGTAGCATTGAACGGGGCAATGAAGCGAAAAAGGTTATTGAACAACGTACAAAGCGTGCGAGTAGCCCCGCCAGTTTTGACATTCAAATATGGCCCCTAGACATGGCCAGCTACCAAAGCGTGACATCTTTTGCTCAAAAAATCAATAATGAAGTCCCGCGGCTTGATATAGCACTGTTAAATGCTGGTGTCATGCATAGAAAATATACCCTCACACCAGACGGATGGGAAGAAACGCTTCAAGTCAACGCACTTTCAACCGCACTGCTGGGGCTACTCTTACTCCCAAAGCTAAGAGAGAGCCGTGATGCCGCAACGGGAGCCCCTGCTCATCTCACCTTTGTCTCAAGCGGATCTTACAGACATGCAAAGGCAGGGGAGCTACAGCCTGATGGAGCGAACAGCATCCTCCTACACTTGAATAGCGAGGAAAACTTCCGTGCGCACTCTCAGTACCGATTATCCAAGGTCATTGTCGAATACACTGCAAAGAGAATTGCTGGTTTAACCCGTTGCGATGATGGCTCACTGGGAGTCATCGTCAACTCTGCCTGTCCGGGGTTCTGTCGTTCCCGCTTAGGTCGCGAGTACGACGCATGGCACGAGAGGATGTTCGTTGCTGTGTTTGAACTCATCTTTGGCCGTACATCAGAGCAAGGTAGCAGGACCCTTGTGAGCGCTACCATGCTCGGCGAGGAATCCCATGGTAAATGGTGGAGAAGTGACCAATATCCAGAGTAAGATCACCAAGTTATATATATCCTTCCCCACCATTCAGGGTATGAAGCCCTCTTTCCGTTCTATATTTGGGAACTAACCGTCACAGCATCTCGGCTACTCTTACTGGAACAAGCGAGGGGAAAGTGTTACAGATACGAGCCTGGGAAGAGATCGTGGGGGAGCTCAAGCTTCGATCTCCCGAGGTTGAACGGCTCGGCCGACGCAATTGACAACATATGATAAATCTTGTCTGAGGTTCTAATTCCTGTGAATTCCTCCTATAGTTTACCATATCTGTTTATTATTTTTCTTACGTGCCCCACCACACAAACATACCCCTCTCCAAATTCATATTGTAACTTATCTTGGTACCATCATTGAACAAAACCTTTTTTGCTACCATGCTGTCTATCTTGATGCGAAGAGAGCAATACCTGGAGTGTCAGCAGAGCGGTGTGAGCTTCATTGCCAAGTCACTACACAGCTGCTCGTGACCTGAAATGATGTCAATTCTGATTTGAGGCTGGCTTAAGCACTTCTCTTCCATGTTTCCCTTTAAGCCAAGTCGCATATGCAGGTTTCTTGCCAATGCTGGGGGATCAAGCGTCCAGAGCCAACCAGACTAAACAAGCGACGACGTCTCGATACGAAGAAAGATAGTGTCCGGGGGATATGAAATACGATAAGCTCCGAATCTAAAGCAGCAAAAGGCGTTGGATACCTCTAGATCCATGCTGTGGTAGAGTGTGCATGGGCTTGGCCTCGACTCAAGGTAATCTAAATCTCACGAATTCGTTCTTCCTGCTTCCCCCTTGCTGTGGAGATATGTACCCCAGAGGGGCAGATGCAAGGCTGCAACGTTGGAAATCGATCGTTTAGTGGGACCAGATGTTCCAAATCCCGAGATGGGGGAAGGACCCAAGACTCAGTGGTGTCGAACAAAGCTGAAACGGACAGCTTGAAAAAAAAAAAAAAAAAAATTTAAAAGCCCTCACATGATGGCATGTATATCAAGGATATTCAACGTCGAAGGAGCTTCACTACGTCAGTATTAGCCAATGAGTACCTTCTTCGACATTGGGGCCCATCGACAGGGATATCAAACGAGACTTTGAGAGCTGAGGCTGGAGCTTTGCGTCTAGAGGGTATAAGTTAAATGGCGGAATTGCAGCCGTTATCTATGGAGGCTGACCCCAGCAACGATGTTGAACCTTTATCTTATCGGCAAGAGGCACACAGCTTCTCTTCTGGCGGCCAGGGCAGGAGGGGGGGTGCAATGAAACTGTGTCGTGCTGCCTATCCTTTTGCAAGGACACGGAGCCAAGGGGTCAGTGCACCATCCTTTGGGCAAGTCAACTGTCTATCGCCGCTGCTCCCATGATGGACTTCGGCCACGAGATCCCGTGGAAAGCCCATCCGGAAAAAGGAATTCGGGGTCGGATGAATGGATAGATATGGCCGCAAGAGGCCGCGTTGGATCAGAACCGTTTTAACCCAAGCAAAGAACCATCATATTTATCGATGTTGTAGTCTGCCAGGGGTGCAGGAAGCCAGGGCCCTTGAGACACGCCAATCCCAGGCGTACTCCGTGTCAGCACTACCTCTCAGAAACGTCTCCATGAAGTGTAGTAGTGGGTATTCGCCCGATAAACAAAGGATGGTGGTGATATTGCTCCTTGGTCCTGCAGAAGGAAATCCAATTCGTTCGAGACGATGATCCCTGGCCTATCGACATGGAAATAGATGCAGTGTGCATTTGTGCATCACATTGGCCGTATACGAACGAGATCCGTGTGAGCCCAATCGACCCCACGGGAGCTGACTGAATCGGTTGGAAGCAGGAAAACAAAGGAATACGGGGTTGTTCCATTGACCTGCTAAGCCAGGTGAGGCATCGATACCATTAGTCTTGCGGTCTGCAAGGCTAAGCATTGCTTTCCTCAGATGTAGCCTTGTTTTGGCCAGGGAGCAGGCATTCTCCTGCTACTGCACATATAGCTGCTACACGTCCGTCTCCATGTGCGTTTCTCTGTTTGGCTCGGTCCATCATTCTTGGATGTTGAATCGCATGAGGGTGAGCAACTCAGGGAGATATAGAGAATAACTAGAGAAACGATAAAGAAGGTGCAAGAGTGCACAACAGCAACAACTTGGCTACAAAGTTGGCCCATCGATGGCCCAACCACCCGGTCCGCGCCGCCAAGCCAGAGCTTCGATTCAATATCAACGTCAACCTGAGAACTTCACAGCTTCCTCTTCAGCTTCAGCTTCATCATCCTCCTTTGCTTCTCCATCAGCCGCGCGGCTAGCAAGCAACCCGGCAGGAACCCCCACTGAGGGCAAAGTAGCCATCCCCCGCCTACCCGGAGTGGCACAGCAGTCGCCGGCTCCAGACCGGAATCGAGTGAACCATGCATGCGAACCATGCCGAAAACGCAAATCCAAGTGCGATGGTGTACATCCGATTTCTTCTCGTTGCAAGAACCAGGGCGTTGATTGCATATATGCAGACGGAAAGCGAGAAAGGCTGAAACGGTCCGTTTTCTCCCTCTCTCCTATGCACTTTCGCTACTACTCTCTCGCTACATCTATACCCCATACTATGCGCTTACGACTGTTTATTCTTGATATTCTTTCTAAATAAAGAGGTCTAGAAATGTACAAACGATGGCCATGAAGATAAGCGTGTACGAGAAACTCCTCACGAAACTCATACCTAGCCAAAGTCCTGACGTACAGCAGGCGATTAGAAACGCACTGCACGAGGTATATATATGTACAGCGACGGCCACTTCATGTTCAGATTGTCGAATCTAATCTCTTTTTAGAATTCTATGGTAGCTGAAGACGATGTCTCAATGTCAGACGAAAACTCACCGTCAGCCGAAGACACTATTGAGGATGAAAATTCCGTCCTACTGGGAGTTGCCTCTCCCCTACGGGCTTATTCCGAGCGCAGTAAACCAGTGGAATGTGTAGGCGAAACCTCGACTATTAGGTGGCTGGGAATGCTTCTGGTAAAGCTACAATTACCGAATTTTATGTCTGAAGGTATGCGATAGACTTCAAATAACCGTCTTTTTATTTGATTATGATCAACTAAAATAAAGTCACCGCGTTACTAGAGCATATTATGTCCATGGCTTCATATGATTTTTCCTGGAAGTTGGAAACAACTGCGAAGATAGACGATGTCAATGAAAAATGCAACTATTTCTCCGGCGAGGTTGAACTCCCCCAGCTTGACATGATGCACAATCTGACTACTTTACCACCAAAAGATGTTGCTGATCTGCTGGTAAATGCATACTTCACCACCGTTCATCCTCTATTCCCCATTCTTCCAAAGGTAAGATTCCTGTCTCGATATAATTCCTACTACCACAACGGGAGCGACCCGCTTGCTGTTTACCCCTGGCTGGCTCTCTTAAATATGGTGCTTGCTCTCGGATCTTTGTGGGCTCGTTATACACAGATACCGACAGGTGAAGTAGAAGACCACAGCATATACTGTGCTAGATCACAGGCTTTGGCACAGGGAATAGTCGATCCCCGCGGATATCCGGACACATACTCCTCGTTAGAACCGATACAACTTATCGCCATTAGGGGAGTTTATCAGCTTTCAACATATCAAATTGCAGGGTAACTATTTCAACGTCCGATCTTCCCAATGATGGCTGCTTGCAGCTTTTCAAGTACTAATTTGACGTTGCCAGAGCATGGACATCAGTCACTACAGCGCTGAAGTTTGCGTATAATCGATCTCTCAATGTACAAGCCACTGCCTCTGAACTCTCCGGAGAATCCAAACAACTTGAAGCTCGCGTTTGGTACTCACTTCGATCTCTAGAGCAGTTCCTCTGCATACTTACAGGATATCCATCTGAATTTCAAGGTCAGCCAATTCACATTAGGCCGTTCCAAACTACTGAGCCATCTTTTATCAGAAGTCCTCTTCCTCTGGCCAACTTCAATATCCTAGATAACCCATTAGACTTGGAACTCTCCGCCGTCTACTCCTTTGACGAGGAATACCCATCTAGCAATTTCATCACCGGGCTCCGACTAGATGAAATTGTAAGCGAAGCCATAATCTCGCTGTACGGCATGAAGTCTCTCGATAGTACATGGGCACATATCCAGGGCCTGATAAGCGAATTAGACAACAAGTTAAGCCAATGGTACGCAAGCATTGACCCTGGATTCCCATACACCGTCCAATCCATAGACATCTGCGCTCCTCCCTCCACGAGCCTAACATACCTGCACCTCCGCTACCTTAGCGCAAGGATACTGATCAACAAACCTGTTCTGTGTGATCCGTCCGAACTAATTCTAACCATTCCTTACCAATCCGAGGCGTCAAGGCAGATGGACTCCGATGCAGCTGTGCGTTGCATATCGGCTGCTAGACAGGTACTGCAGCTCCTGCCGCTGAATATCGATATCGTCGAACTACATGGCAAGACACCTTGGTGGTGTATACTGCATTACATAGTGCAGGCCAGTAGTGTACTGATAACGGAACTTTCGTTCGATGAGCCCCATTTACCGATGGAAATGGATGATATTATTAGCCAGTCGGACCTAGCTATTCGTTGGCTATCCACTCTCGCTGGTACATGTGAGTCAGCTAGCAAGGCATGTCATTGTATGAATAGCCTGCACCATCTTGCGCTGGAGAAGCGCGAGAGAGCTACTCAGGGACACGGCCAGTGAGAGCGAATCTGCGCCTTGAAACAAATTGATTCCTTGATCATACATCTTACTCTTAATATCCATTCAAACATATTTGGCATATACACACACACACACATATATATATATATCCATCTGCGCTTTTACAATAGTAGATACTTGGTAATAATACTGTCTAAACACGGGGGTCTCACTATCCTAACACTACTCGTTTCATAAGAGGTACATGAACTAAGGATATCAGACATCAATGCTGGGCACCGTAACCAAAGCAAGCAACGCAAAGCGAAGCAAAGTAGTTAACATGAAGAAAAGGGAAAAAAAGAAAGTCAAAAAAAGGTCATACATGCCATCCAATCATCACCTGCAAGGGCCGTATACCATCTTTTTATCCTCCATACCACCCACCCTAGCAAGAAAGCAAGCAAAAAAGGTTCAAAAAAAACAACGCCATCCAAACATCCCAAGAGAGAGTCGTTGCAAAAAACATCATCTCATATCCGGCCTTTCCGGTCATGCTAGATGAACACTCCCTCACCTGACAAGGGAGCGTGGAATTCGCATCCCAAACCGGCTTCTTCACCTAACTGACGTAGTTCAGCTAGGATCTGGTCCCGGGGAGGACCGTCGTCTGTAAGGGTATCTTTGACATGTATTATGTACACTGTTAGATCCTGTAGAGGTAGAGGGCGAGTAGTTCCGCCTATTGATGTGCGGTAACGGGTCTGAGGGCCTGAGGTTGTAGGTGAATCTGTCGTGGTATCCATGGCCATTGGGTCGGAGACTCCGGCGGCAGAAGAAGTGGAATGTGAATGTTTCTTCCCTTGGGGTTGGGGAGCGTAGGTCGTAGGGAATTCAACCCTCTCGGCGGACTGGCGGGTGTTATGCCGTGATGTAGCGGAATCTGCTATTGTGGCCGACCTTGTCTTGGGAGCTGAAGGAGCGGCAAACGGCGATTTGTTCTCCTTTGACTTTGGACTCAGCGGTGCGTTGGACTGCTCTGCTGCCGGTGCCGCTGGGGGAGGAAGCCCGGTAAAAGAAGATGCTCGCTTCCGCTTTCTTGAGTCTCCCTTGTGAGGCTTTTGGGAATCAAGGACCTTCCCGGCGAGCACTTCCAATTCCGCAATCAGATGGCGAGGACATAAATGGCCGTAGAGAGCATTATCTTCCACGGCGTCCGCATATGAGCATTCAATGAATATCGCACGCAGACAGCCATCGTTGATTTTCGGAGCAGCTGCTTCCCAGACTCGCTCGTTGCGAGGCTCCAGCGATATCGAGTCCGGCTCTATGTCTCCGAAGATGATAATTTCGGCGCCCGTTAAATCATCCCGGATGAAGAACGCCGAGCTCTCGACCGTCGCGTATATCGAGCTATCCTTCCCGTTTGTGCTAAGAGAGAGTTGCTGCGCTTGAGTTGATGGAGAATACGACCTGTCAGCAACAAGTTTAGTTAGTTAGATGTATCATATTGGTACCAGAGCAAAGCAAAGCAAAGCAAAGCAAAGCAATTCCGTAGACCTACCGTAATGATGAGGCGTCGATTGAAACCCGCCGTGACGGGAACAGTACAGGATCAGTCATAAACACAGTGCTTTCAGCTCGATGATGCTTCTCTGTCTCGGGATTGTACCGCTGCCGACACCTCCCATGGCTCACACCGAGACATTTGATCATCAATCCGTCGCAAGCCCTCACATATCCCTTTGCCGGTCCACGTCCGAGACGCTGATTCCCTCCGTCCACCAGCCGCTGGTACGTAATCAGTCCAGCACCGCCGTCTTCATCCGACAGATTCGGCCAGGTGATGTCGTTGAACAGATGGTTCTTCAACGCCGCTATGGTCGAGGGCAGCGCCGCGACCGTCTTAGGACCCGACTGGGCCTCGACGGCGGGCGTATTCATGGCCAGACCGGAAACGTGGTCGAGATGCGGGTGTGTGATGAGCACGGCGGCGAGGATGTCGCGGAAGATATACGCTGCGTTTGCCTCAGCGGAGACAAACGGCAGCTCCAGGCCGGCGAAGGGCCCCGAGGAGACCACCCTCCGCTGTCCGTGGAGGTGTGTACGGGCGTGGGACGAGTCTGTGTCGAGCTCGGAGGGCGAGTCGGTCTCGAGGATGCGGATGATGGCTGACAGCAGCGTTCCTGCGTCAACGGCCACGACAGAGCCCCTGGCCCAGTCTGTAGCTGTGGATCGGACAAGCATGCCCGTTGCTGTATCTTCTCGCGGTCCTCCCGATGCTCCCTAGACGTCTGTTAGCAATGGATAGAAATCGTACAGGACGGGGGCATGCGACTCACCAGGACGACGACATGGAAGACATGCCCGTCCGCGCTGCCGTTCGGTATCATCCTGCCAGAGCCAGGACCAGAGCCGGACGACGAGGGTCTGCGAGCTCGAGCTCGAGGCATCAGCGAGAAGGAGGGAGTGAAGCCGTGCTGCTGCTGCTGCTGCTGGCTGGCTGGCTGGCTGTTTGTTATGCGGCGATGAGGCGAAGATGAAGCCGACCTGCTCGCATCCCGTCCGCCAAAGAAGAAGCTCAACGACGCCGTCCTCGGTCACGCTGTAACCACCCCGTCGACGACCAGAATCGAATGCTGCAGGGCTCTAACGAGGTAACGAACTATTATAGATTAATTTGTCGTTTCGTATCGTGTAGCGCGCCACGGCCTGCGACTTGCGACGGCGGGTGAAGGGAAGCGACAGGCTAGTTAAATAACCCGCTGGCTAGCTAAGCAGCTAAACCGCCGGCCTGCTTAGCTAGCCAGCGGGTCATTATTTATGATATCGATCTCGATCCTGCAGACAGCGACGACGGAGCAGATAGCAGGCTGTGGCTTGCTGCAGGGCGAGGTCTCTTTGTCCTGGTTCTTTCATCGTCGAGGAGCTTGCTTAACTACTTAGTTACTAGAAGGATGTCGAGATCGAAAGGCAGGGATGGCAGAGATGGCTATCGACAGGGAGCAGGCAGTTATGTACATGGACAGGCTGCGTATGTTATTACTTATTAACCTCCGTCTCGTTAGTTACAGCAAAGCATGGGTGTATGTAGGTGGAAATAGGCAGTGAGAGAATAAGCAAGCGTCTTATTGCACTGGGGGTGGTTGGGAGTTTGATAGGAGACTGCGCCGCCGGCAGGGCTGCATCAGGGGGGGAAGACAAAAGAGATAAAGATAGATATCCACTGGGGAAAGGCAGGCAAGCAGAGAGTCAAGAGCGTCAAGGGAAAATAGGAGCGAGAGAAAGGACAAGGACGGGCAGGAAACGCCGTGTAAGAAGAGCAGACTTGAACAGAGCATAGGAAATATCAATGAAAAAAAGAGACCGCACCAGCACCGAGAAGGAGACCGCACCCGTACCACACCGTGTTCCGTCCAGATCGAATGAGTCGCTAATTTTGCAGGGGAATAAACGAGCATAGATTTGATAGGGATGTAAAGCAAGGAAAAGGGGAGCAACGATATAAAAAGTAGACAGACGGCCATGAGCAAAAAGAGTCACAAAAGCAAAGAAATGAAAGCAAGAGGAGGATGTATCAAGAGTCGTCTTGATCTCGCGGGCCGTCTCGTTCCCTGGACTGACGAACCGCTGCATCGTAGGTTGGTATAGGCGGGACCTCGCCCGGGGGACCTCCGGCCTGGCCGCACGGCGGCGAGTGACCTGGGCTACGGTATTCTGGTGGAGGAACGTCATCGAGTGGAGGACGGCTATTACTGGCGCTGTGGCTGTGGCTGTTGCTGTTGCCGTTGCTGTCATTATTGCCTACCAGAACAACGGTCGTTGCCTCAGACGTCTCGGAACCAGCGGGGGCGTCTGAAGTGACGGTCGAGGGTGACGCAGCTGCAGCCCCGGCAGTCGAGGAGGCCGCTGGCGAGGTTATATGGGGCAAGGGACCCAGTGAGATGTCTGTTGGCGTCCGGACGGGTGCAGACGGCGCCTGGGCGGATGGATGCAGACTGTGTCCTCGTACTGTCCCACTGCGGGTTCGTGCATGTGTTTGTGACTGCTGCTGCTGCTGCTGCTGCTGCTGTTGCTGCTGTTGACGCTGGTGCTGCAGTACCTGATGAGCATGCTGGGCGTGGTGTTGGATGTACTCTGGATGCCACCATTGCTGTACAGGCGCAGTGGTAGAGCCGTGCGTCTGGTGGCCGTGGAGATGATGGCTGTGACCGGCAGCTTCCTGGGCCGCGACTGAGCTCTCGCCTCCGGCCTCGAGAAGAATGCTTCCCTGCTCGCTGCCGTAAGGTGGCGGAGGAGCCAGGCTTCCGGTCATGGGCGCAAGACCCCATTTCTTGACGTTGGCCTCGATGAAGACGAAGCCCATCTGGCCGAAGTTGACGTGCACGGTAGCTGGCCCGTTGGCACCAACAGTCGGGAAGAAGTTCTGCGACCGGAGGCCGTGGACTACATCGTCGAGCTTCTTGCCGTTGCGAGTGAAGAAGATGGTTCCGCTGCGAGGTCGGTAGCCCACGCCTACAACGTCTCCCTGGACATAAGGCGGTGCGTAGGGCGTTGGATTGAAGGGCTGGTTGTGTCTCCTGTGGCCGGTAGATTGATACGCAACCGATGACTTGTGGAAGCCTAACCCGATACCAATTAGCATTAGTATATGTACAGAGCAAACTGGATGCAAACGAAAAAAATTAAATAAGCGTACCAGGCAGTCTAAAAAGCGGATAGGGCTTGGTAGTCATGCCGATGCTGATGAGCGTAGTCTCCGGTTTGTCGTAAATCTTCGCCTCCCAGTAGTAAACGTCATTCTGCTTCGGGACAGGCAGGTTGCTCTGGACGCCACACTCGGAGTCGAAGAACTCGATCTCGGTGCGTCCCTCGACAAAGCAGTTGGCAATCTCGAGCTCCGGCTCAAACTCCCATGCCGACACGCCCTTTTCCTGGATCGCAAGGAACTGGGAGAGTGATATATCGGTCTGCATTGTCTCTGGGGGGTTTGCCTGAACAAAGGCTGTCGTCCGTAGTTAGCACCCCATCATCGTATCAATCAAATACAAGAAGTAGAGTAGACCAACCTTTTGCTCTAAAGTACTCGGCAGCCTGCAGCTCGTCCATGGACTCGAGGGCCTCTGCCTCTTCGCGGGCAAACTCCTGCTCGTCGTCGTACTCGCCCGGCCGGCCGATGCGGTCGAGCAGGATGCGGCCTCGGTGGGTGTATCTGAAGAAGAAGAAGAGGGCGAGCACCAGCAGGGCGACTCCGGCCGAGCCAAAGGCCGACAGCAGGCCGATCACGATGCCTCTGCCGGTGCCGTCGCTGCCCTCGCCGGCGCCAGGAGGGCTCTCTGGGATGCCAACGGGGCCATTGCCGGCGGCGTCGAAGGGCAGCTGAACGGGCTGCTGGTGTCTCATCTTTGCGAACTGGTCGTCAGTCAGCTGCGGACGGACATTGTTGAAGAGGAGGCGGTAGTGAGACAGCTGCTCGCGCGGTCGTGAGCTCGATCTCGGCGGTGTTGGAGTCGGCGTGGGCGTGGGCGATGGCGATGGCGTAGATGTTGTAGTTGTAGTTGTGGTTGTGGTTGTGGTTGTGGTTGTGGAGGCGGCAGCCTTGGACTTGGGCTGGGTCGACCTGGGCCGGACGGAGGTGGTGAAGCGGGACGGCGCGGAGAGTCGCATCTCAGCGAGTCGACATCGCCTGCTGGTCGTCTGGTCGTCTTTCTGTCTCGTCTCGCGGTCTCTCGATGTCTTTTATCTTCGTCTACTCGTTCTTCTCCCGCTTGTTCTGCTGTTTCTGCTGCTTCAACTGCTTGTGGCGTCGAAAGTCACAGAAGAAAGTCGGCGGTTAGCTGCTGACTAAGCGAGTCGCTTGACGGCTTTTAACTAACTTTTAGTTAAAGCTTTAACTGGAAAGCGGCGGCCTTTAACTAGTCTTTAACTAATCTTTAACTAATCTTTAACTGGAGATACTCGCTTTAACTGGGGTTTAACTGAGAATCGCTGACTCCCGCTGTTTCAACAAGGTCTCACCTGTCTTTCCCTGCCTTTAGCGCTGTTTCCACGTCATGGCCGGCTCGAGCCGATCAGGCCGCCACACCTATAAATAGCAGGACAGCCAATTAACTACCCAAGCCAGCGGCCGATCCCTCCGAGACGGCCTGGAGATATACGATGATCTGGGGGCCATATTGCCCTTGTCGGGGAGGACGATTGCAAGAAGAGTATAGCTTGCTGTGATTGAATCCTATATACAGTCTTTTTTTCTTTTTGTTTAAACCGAAGAGACACCAACCCATGACTAACCCCCCTGCCTGGCCCTTTGCCATTGCCATTTTTCCCAATTTGACTATTTAGAATGTACATGTCGTTAAAAACCCCCATAGAATGCATGCCTGCTTGCCGTAACCCAACCCCAACGAATGGAAGGGGTATGCAAAAAATGAACATACAAAAGAAAAAAGAGAGAGCACATCGTCATCACGTTATTCGATCGATGATGGCCAGCATCATGAAGAAGTCAGTTTGTCTGTTGGTTGTTGGTTGTGGTCGTTGGTTTTGGCCCCCCCCCGAGTTACCAACTGGCCTAGGCAGCAGTGCCAAACGGAGCTCAAGCAACACAGGCGAACTCAGATATGCCCCTTCCATCTACTTTGAGAAGAAAAAGAAGAGAAAAGGCATGCAGTGCTCAAAGCCGTGCGTGCGAGCTCATCTAGGCACCCACTCAGTGCCGTGGCGGCGTTGGGGGCCGTGTTTCTTGTTCCTTCAAGGTCGAGAGTCCAGTCTCCATGTGCGGTGGTGGACATCAACGTATCCCCGTAAGTTAGACCAGGTCGAAGCCCATCTAGGGCCGTCCTTGCTGCAAGTCATGGGGCGCATGTCCGTGGAATCTCGATCCATCGTCGTGTGATGGAGATGTTATGGGGATGTAGGATGAAGTGGAGTCGTTGAGGAGAGTAAGAGGAGAGAATAATTGCGAGAGAGAGAGAGGGAAAGATGAAAATAAAGCGAGAAGAGAGGTTCACTCGATAAAGTCAAGACCGCCAAAAAACTCCAGCATGCGAAAACAAAGCGCCACGTCGTCTCCGGGCTCGCCGCCAAACAGTCGGCACTGCTCTGCCTCTAGCTTGTCACTCGCTTCTTGACCTTGCTGGTGCTGGTGCTGGTGCTGCTGCTGCTGCTGCTGCGAGGTGGGAGAGGATGCCCCAGAGCCTCGACCATGCCATGCCATGTACCGATTATGCCAGAGTTGGGCCGAGGGCACACGGTCATGGCAGTGGTTTCGAGCACTGGGGAGCAATCCAGGAGGTGGAGGGATCGAGGAAGCAGCAAAGCATGAAGAGCTGTATACCTCTGGCAGCGGAGGTACGGCCGGCTGAAGCCGCGAGGCAGAGCTGTTTATGTTGTTGTTGTTCATCCGTCGTCGAGAGCGAGGCCTTGTCCGGCGCCGATTGTGTCTCTGGCCCATCGTGGGGGTGTCCAAGCGGTGTATATATATTTTGTATGTATATATAGAGAGGGTATAGAGGTGTAGGCTAAAAATAGCAAGAGGCCGGCGCTTAAACGATGCAGGCAAAAAGCAAGGAACAACTTTTGGTTATGCGTTATGCGTCGTGGCAAGCATTAAAAAAATGGGAGAAGACGAAGAATCGAAGGAGGGACAGGAACAGAAATAGAAACGGAAGAGAGAGAGAGAGAATCTTCTTCTGCTAGCCGCCGTGGTGGACCGTCATCCCTCGTCTAGAGCAAACAGGGCCATGGCCACGCTTATATACCACAACCTCCCCCTTCTCGTTTTCCACCCCCGGCCAGGCAGAAGTCGACGACTTACGACTCAGTTTTGCCTCGTCGGCAGAGTCGGAGCCCAGTCGTAAGGGGGAGAATAAGAGACCAACTGCTCGAAGGGGGTGGAAGGAGTCATATAAATAAGGCAGCCCTACGGTGCTAACTTTTGCCGCTGTCGGGAGCCTATCAGCCGTGACTCAGACGGGCGTGGAGCTGCCTGACTTGCTGCTCGGGCGGAAGCTAAGCTCGCTAAGCTGGCGCTGGCCAGTCAGACGCTGCCAAAGCTGCCTGCTGGTGGAGCGGCCGGCGAGTTGGCCAGGTGAAAAAGTGGGCGGCTAGGCTATGAGACGGATGGTGCGGCGTGAGTCAAGGAAATTCTGCAGCTTGGCCGTGGGTGGTGTGATGTTGGCGGATGATGGCAGCAGCCTGCGATCGGTCACTCGTTGATCACGCTATCTCGTGGCCTGACGGGACAATCTCCCGTCTCGCAAGCTGCTTGTTGACTTGCATATCCCAGACGTCATGCTCACGCTAGATGGCGCAGTCTTCTCGATGTAGTCTTGATGTCGTCTTAAGATGTCGTCTTGATGTCGAAAAACTAAGTTACAGCATCTTTTAACTCGTTATTATGACTAACAGAGTTTGAAATTTTTATTTCAGTCATCGGGTGCTTAGTCATCTTCACTTACCTAAGCTACCAGGACAGGTGACTGTCACGTGGCTGCTTCTTTTATTTTAGTCTTTAACTAGCCTAAAGAAGAACATCTTCATCGCCATCACCATCAAAAGGACGTGCAACACGTTCTAAGAACTCTTCATACTACTAAGACTATTTTCTATTCCTTCCTAGCCCTTAGGTACCCAAGGACAGGCTTCGGATTGGTTTCATTGCCCGGAACGCCACGAATCGTGCCCTACGAAGAACTACAGTCCCTGGCCCTTGGTCTTGTGGTCCTTGCAAAGTAGTTAATGATGTCAAACCGGCCTGCTCTCTCCGGAACGCACCAACACAACAACATAAAACCAGCAGATCCTCCTGCATCGACTATCAAGGATTTCTTTTATAGGAAAAGTTATGAGCAACGACGCTGCCTTCTAACCAACACATAGGAGCATCACTCAACCATTCCACATACATCAGATACAACCGACTTACTTGTAGCCTCCACAGCTCTCGTAGTTATCAATAAAATGGTCGGAGTCAGGAGAGCTAACTTGTCTGAAGATCCCGGCCATACTAGCTGTAGGTTCGCGTCCGTTCTTAGTCTAGAAGTGGCTAATATATAATTCTGAATAATAGCGACTATAGAAGAATGGGTAGCGCAGAAAGATAGATTTCGGGTTGTTGCCTTTGGCACCCCGATGATATATCCTGTTATCATCCGCAATAGCCCTCCAGAGTTGCAGCAAATCTTCAATGCCAAAGTGAAACCAGAGATAGCTCGAATACTGGCAGAGTATAATGTGCCCTTATCTCTGTCACGCCTCGACGATTGGCGTGAAAATAGCCGTGACAGCCCGAGACATACTATTTTGATCGAATCGAATGACGAACATACCGCCAACTGGCAAGCGGCGTCAAGATGCGTACTCTCGATTTTCAACCAGGTACTCTCTCCTCAGTTTGCTGGCCAGACGCAGGTGGAAATCCAAAACAAACACCGCATGTATTCCGATGTTTCTCGTGTTCTACCCAATGATCTGCTTCTGCTCCACGATATGAGGTCCATCAGGCCAGATGTTTCCAAGATTGTCCATACTCGGATGGTGGGTATGTCATCCATTGCATACCATTTGCGCGCCCCTCGAGGATCGAACTTGGATGAGGCCCTTTGGAAACCTACCATTGTGGTGTTCTGCTATCCTGAAACGTCCTGCGATTTTAAAACGGCGGAGGCGGAGATTCTCCAAGTCTTAGAGAAAGTGCCCTCTCGCATTTACGTCGAATTTCTTCCGGGACAAGTTCATCTCTCTCAGCCCAATGAATTGCCAATACACCTGAGCGGGTTGTCTGAATATCCCGAGAATGGCTCATCCATTGGAGTTAAAGGGAATAGTAAGGAAGCTGCTTCTCTTGGTGGATGGCTCCTGTTAAATATGCCTCAAGAGAAGCAGGCAATCCCTTGTGCTCTGACTTGTTATCATGATGTAAGGCCTACAGACAATGCAACCTCCATATATACAGATATGAACGGTGTTGTTCGTGGTGATCCGCGCGGGCAGGTCGAAGTCGAATACCCAGCAGCTTATGACTCTCAATATACTATGCGGCGACTTGAACGGATATATAAAGATTCTCCAGGTAATATTAGTAACGATCAGACTTACCAGGCGCTCTTATCTCGACTTCAAAGTCCCAGCATTGGGAATGTCATATTCGCTTCAGGTTACCAGCGAACCGCTAAAGATACCAGGCTAGATTGGGCGCTGGTTTCAAGCCCGAAGACTTATACCGCAAATAAGCCAACCCCAGGCGATGCTATCCAACCTCCTTTCGAACTTCCCTACAATAAGGCCTACACTCAGAACGCCGACTCTAAAGTAAAGCGGTTTGCCCAGCTTCGTTTGGGGGATTGGGTAACAAAACGCGGTCGTTCTACTGGGTATACTACGGGGGAGGTCAATCATATGCATAGGGAAGTGCGGTGGCCATCAGGCGAAACCACATTTGAGATTGAAATCTTGTCTTATACAGCGAATTTCGCCGCTCCTGGAGACTCTGGTTCGTTTGTAACCAATGTGCGCGGTGAACTTGTTGGAATGGTGTCTGCGACTGATCATCGAGCAGGACAATTCGACGTTACATTCGTCACCCCTATTGACGTTATCCAAGATGATGTCAAAAGAATGACAGGCGGTCTCTTAAGCTTGGACTAATGATAGAAGAAGCGCAAGCAGTAAAATATCTATAAAGGCTACGGGGGACGAATATAGGCTTATCCTGGTACTGCTGATGATGATAGTAGTATTGATGGACTTCCGTAATCAGAGCACATACCTACTTACATACTTCTGCATCATTGGCCTCTTCATACATAATACATGGGAACCATCTTCAGTAGGTATATCATCTCACTCACTTATAAGTAAAGACGATATACATATGCCTTCTCAGACTAACAACTTGCAGCCCGGGATTGTTTGCTGAACCAGGTTGGGCTGTAGTAATGTCGCTGCAACTTACTCTTTAAATATACCTTAGCCCAACGATTTAAGTCATCATTGCGAAAAGAGAGCTCATCTTGCTTAATGTAGACCAGTCTGAACCTGAATACATACCTAACTTATACCGTCAAGCTCACAAATCCATCTTCAATCAGACTACTCTCCCCCACCCCGTTAGTAAACGCTTTTGGTAGCTTGTTGACCCGAACCCTTATTTTTAGGTTAAGGTTGACATCCGACCCCTAAATTGGTTTCACGTGATCAAAAGCTTAAAATGGAGAGCTGTATAAGAGCTCATCCATCTGCTTTTCGTCTCCTTTTTCTCTCTCCATGCATTTTCTGTTGCCTAACGCCCTTTCATCCGGTGAATCTACTTTATCCCAGGTTGATGGCACTCCTAGTTACCTTTTGGCCGATACTTGCACTGCACGACCTTCTCTCCGATTTCCCGCCAGGTACCGTCCGCACCACCATGGACGTTTGGTGACAGACTTGGTGTAAAGTACGGCTTGGAGCCGACTCAGGGGAGGGTATAAAGGGCAGGCTGACACCACAGAGCACGCGATTCCAGCTAGCCCTAATTGTGTGGCATCCCTTCGCTGCCAGACATCTCCAGCACCTCCAGACGAATGCTTCTATACTTCGAGTCTGATGTTCACGTGATATGAGGCTTGATAGCGGCTGGGGTGGCCGTTTGCGAGCGACCGCTGGCAGTCGGCCATACGTTACCCCGGGCTGACCACCCGGCCTCCGCATCAGCTACGTGGGCGAAGGGGACCCTTTTCGAGCGCGCGCTCGAAGGCTGCCAAGGCTTCACTTCTTGGCATCCGGAAAAAGCAACCGACACCGAAACTTTAAATTTTCACGTGATATATCTTGGCATTTACGGGCCTACCTACTGGGCATCCATGGGACATAGGACTGACCCTCTACCTGTCCTGTCTCGAACTAGACTATACCCTGGAGCACGATGTCATCCACTCCTTGATATTCCATCAGCTGTGATGCATTGTCTTAAGATACTGGCGGGGAGCTTGAGTCCTACCATCCCGACATCGACCACCACCCGATGCCCATCCCTGTTGGTGCAAGCCTGCCGCCATATTGCATCACAGCCTGGAGATTGAGCACACCGTGAAGCTCGTGACCTACATGGGTACAACTCCAACAAGGCTAAGGATAAGTTTTTGGGAGTTCAATGTCTTTTCCAAGACATAATGAAAGGTATGCTAACTCTGCAGTTACCCTTATTATGTTTCCACTTGCTAATTTATACTAGTTATTGGCATACATACCACAATATTCAGCATACGCTGGCCTTTATCACAGAGTCAGCTTGATATGCATTTTACTTCGGAAGAGGATTATGACCGAGATACAACCTGGTATAAAAACAAAGGCAGCAGCGAATAACCACTACATATATTTTAATTTAGCTAGGCTCGAGCCTGCTTCAACCACTACATGTACGATCTCTATTATCACCAAGTCGGTTTATAACGGTTTAACACTAGAACAACGGGAGCATTACATAGTCCTTTGGCCTGGATGAGTGTTGGCCAGCTGGCATAAACCATCATTGATTGCAACCATTCCACCCTCGAGAATCTTATGAGGATATCCCGGAGAGCATCGCATGTATCCCCTACAGGAGTTAGCGACTGAGGTTAAAAGTAGCGAGGATATAGTGGAGAGAATCCAGAACCTGATCTGTGAAATTATGCAAGCAGAGCATCCAATGACAGAAGATGGGCTGCGAGTCAGTCTAGCTTCTCACAGCAACACCCTTGCTCAACATGGCTTCAGATCTGGTGGGCCACCTCAAGTTGATCCATGAGGAGTCATGGCCTCGGCTACCCGATATTAAGCCCACTAATAAGATAGCCCTAAATAAGGAGATATGAAATTTCCAAATAGGGAGCATTGAGCAAAGGGAAATATATCCACTAGAGCTACTTGTTCCTGAGCTATGTGGCACTATAATAGATAAGGGAGATATAACTTGCCCTAGAAGTTATTATTTAGCTCCTAGGATTATAGCTATAATCTCCCTCAAACGCTATGTGGAGGACCTAACTACTAATATTAGTAGTAGTGGCTATAAAGTTATTCGTATTGGGAAGAGTAATCCACAATACCGTATCGCAACTATTGAGGTTAAGCACACGGGGCTATCGAGGGAACGCCACGATAATTTCTATAATTCATTAACTACAAGTTTACGCAGAAAACTACGGCGGCTATACGAATATACATTCTTAGAGACTACTAGGCCTTATAACAGTTGACTTGAAGCTAATACTTGTTTATACCCCGACGTGCGAAAATGGCAGAATTACAATGACTTTAGCGCAACGTTCTATCACAAATATTCCTATGTTGATAACTGTATGGCCCTCTCAAAAAGCTAGGATGAGCTTGCTATCTATATTGCACGGATGTCCCCCAGACTTTGCCAGCTGGTTACTCTCTTACACTAGAAGTCCTAGGTAAACCAAAAAGCCTGGCCTTGTTCCGGTCCCCTACGATCTTTAGGTTGGCCTAGGTCTTCTTAAGATGCTCGAGTTCAAGACACTCTCTATTCATACTAGTATATCTATAGATAAACAAGAGGTGTGCAACAGCCTTTAACGACAAAAGTTATAAGTGTGATTTCAATATTATATAGGTAATTAGCCGTGTCCATCGAGTTGGGTAGGAGAGGATATAGGATGTGTATATTGAGCCTCCCCACTCCTTTGACCGCTATATCGAGGCGAACGCGGCGGTTAACATGGGGAGATAGATTGCCGGTTGTGCCGAACACCGAGCCAAACTACGGGTATTGCTGCGGTAGGGAGACTATCTATAATATTGCATAAGAGAACAATGAGTTGTTCTCTGCTGATACCCCAACAGTCTGTGGCGAGGTGTTCAGCCGGATCTACCCTACAGAGGCTGGCTCGATCAGGATAGCTAGTTTCTGTCAGGATATGTAGCTTAATCATCCAGCATCCATATATTGGATTGGCGCTACAAATTCTGCATGTAACTACTGCTTAGCAAGCTCATCGTTATCACTAATTACACACGGGTATTCATTCGAATATTGCTTGTCACTCGAACATTACTATGTGCCCTATATATATAACTAACTGGTCTTTACGAGCTTGTGGGTGTGGAATAGGTGGGAAAGGGAGCGTCAGATTTAGGGGACAATCTTAAGGAGCTGATGGGACAGTCATGCACTGATCGCAGTGATTCCAAGTGGTGCGGGTCATATATATCCGGGAAGGAAATACAAGACTGCTATTTCTACCTGCTTATATTTCGAGCAGTGTTATAATCTATACATATACCTGGGCTTTACGAGCTTGTGGGTACAAAATGGGCAGGAAGGGGGGGGGGGGGGGGGGGGGGGGTATCGGATTTAGATGAGCAATTAATGGGGCTGCCTTGCACTGATCACAGTGCCTCTAACAGATCTAAAGGGTGTGTGAGTAGTTTTAAAATTTGTGGAACAAGGACATGGCTTTGATAAGTAGTTAGGGGGTAAAAAATTCATGCAAGATCGTGCCTGTGTTTAGTCATAGTGTCATTCTGATATGAAGGAAACTAGTCTATGTAGGTAGGTGTATGCATGTTGAGCTATTGAAGCCTCTAACCACCACTTAAACGTCTACACAAATTATACCAAGCTTACTTACCTGCCATAGATCAAATCAAGCATTTCCTTCCCCTTAGGTGCATCGGTGAGATTCCTGTTACCATCCTTTGTAACAAGTACATCATCCTCGATACGCACGCCTCCAACATCCACATACCGCTCCACTACATCAAAATTGACAAACCTGCCTTTCGAGTTGGGCTCGTCTCGCTCAGCTCGTGCCTGGTCGATGGCCAGTCGGTTAAAGTACAGCCCTGGCTCCACGGTGATGACCATTCCGGAGGCCAATGGTGGTGCAGAGAGCGTGCATGGCGGTCGATGTTCCGTGACACTCATTAGTCCTTTCTCCCGTTCTATGGCAAGTTCGACGGGTATGGTGCCGCTATCAGGTGAGACGTCATGCACTTCCAAGCCAAGATGGTGGCCTAGACCATGCGGAAAGAAGAGAGCTGTGACTTCTGCCTTGATCAGATCGGCCTTGGTTGAACCCCGCGGGATACGCAGTATTCCTAGCTTGAGTAATTCCTCCAGTGCGATAGCATGAGCTCGCTGATGGATCGAGAAGAACAAAGCTCCCTCTTTTACTCTGCTGATGCATTCTTCTTGCATGCGCTGCACAATGGCGTAGATTTGTTCAGCCTCACGACTTGGCCAGTCTTCCCCCCCGATTACGCTTGAAGGGATAGGAAACGATCGTGTCACGTCGCTTGCATAGCAACTCCATTCAGCACCGGCATCAAGTACAACCATCTGTCGGCCGGCTAGAGGTTCATTGTTGCGGGTGTAATGCAGTGTGGCACCATTAGATCCCGAGCCTGCTATTGTCTGGTATGCCGTCCCCTTCGAGCGCAGGGACAGACAGACATCAATGAAGAGACCGGCTATCTGCGCCTCGTTCTTGAAATGACGCAGATTAGCTAGAATGCTCCGATGAGCAGCCCCAGAGATACGGTTCGCTCGCTGGATCAATTGGATTTCATGCTCGTCTTTGATCACTCGACACGCATCCATTGCGTGCTTCAGTGACTTTGACTCATAGAGATACGCCACCGTCAGCGGAGTCACCGGCCGCTGGTCTGGGTGTAGTATATATATGGGCAGCGATGGGTTCGCTTGAGACCATCGCAGAACATTGCCTTCTAGCGCAGAGAAGTATTCCACTTGGTCAACGTCATACCTGCACTCAGGTCAATATCCCCGTTGGAGGTTTATGAAGCGCATGATATACACACCTCTGGCTAGCCTCGTCTTTTCCAAGCGTAGGTCCTGTCCAGATAGTCCGCTTGAAGTCAAAATCCGGCACGTATAACGTCAACTTATCCTCTGCGATGTCATATGTAACATGGCAATCCGGCTCCACGACGCCGGTCACGTAGAAGAAATAGCGGCGCTGTTTGAATGGCCTGGCCTGGTCTGAGTCTTCAGACAGCACAGTCTGCTGGCCCGGTAGATAAATGAGGCCCTGCTGCTTCGGCAGGTAGGCGGCTACTCTGCGGGCGTGCTGTTTCCCTGGATCGTACGAGTCAGCCGTCGTAGCTACAGGGGACATAGCTAGGTCTAACCCCGCGACCCAGCTAATTAACTAGTCATGTAATCTGTTACTTACCAGGATACTTATTTATGCTGGTTCCCCCGACCGAAACAGTGACCGAGTAGGACGCCATCTTGACATGTATCCTTTGCTGGTCGTGTTGTGGATGGAGTTTGGGAGGTTGAACTAAGCTAGTCACTAGCTGAGGAGCCTAACCAACCCTAACTCTAACCGAGGCTTAGCCCGCGCCTAGCCAGAGAATTGCGGAGAAGAGAGCAAGGAAGAGATGATAGAGACAGGGAGCTAAGCAAAGAGGACAACGAGGGATTTCATTTCCTCTTAGCGACTGCAGCTCTTTATAAGATGATAACTAGAATCTCGGACAACTAAAAGAAATCAACTACGTCGTCTACTCCCTGTAGCTGAATTCTCATTATCTCCCAAGTGCCAAGTCCAAGTACATAGCCATATTGTCCTTCTCTACAAGTCTACTTGGATCATCAGAGTTTTTCACTAATAGCTAGCCCCCGGGCTGCTGTTGTATATCGTAGAGAAGCAAGGCCACGCCTAGCTCGCTCCAGTTCGAATCTCAGGATATCCCAGTTCAAAACTAGCTCCTTATGATACCGCTCGTCGTCCGATTGCACGCAGTCCGATAGACTTGTATTCAAAGAAAAATACGGTTCGTAGTCGAATAGCTCCCTACTTGAAGCCTTTGGGTGGCCAAAGAAAGTCTAAATAGAATTAACATTTGTTAGGTGAAGTAGAGGAGTTTATGGTTACTCACTACTCTGGGAGTACGTGCTACTGCCTCCCCCGTGGCAGTGTCCTTACCAAATACCTGCACCGCGGCAGTAAGCTCGCCCATCCATCGAACGCCGTATAAGAACACGGGGCTATAGGGAGTCCTTCCTTTACAGTACTGCCGAATTAGTACAGTAGAATTTCCCGGGTTAGCAATTCTCTCAGAGTGATAGATCTTTTTATTTTCTTCCGTTCGGAGGGGGTTTTTATAATTAGGAGTTTCCTTAATGTCAAACAGCATAGCGACCTTGACTCTATTCATTTCAATAAGATATCTGACTCTCTTCTCCAGGTCCGCACTGGTCTGGGAGAGCCAAACCTCAACAGCAAGAACGGATTCCATGCCGGAGTCTTCTGAGTCTCTGAGCATCAGAATGTCTGGGTTGGAGACTTCATCGGATGTCTCTGAATCACAGTAAAACGAAAATTCATCGAGAGGTATGAGTCTCCAGAGTTGATAAGAAATGGAACTGGTTAAAATGCATGCAGGGGGACTTGATTGTGCATGATGGTGGTGCTGTGGAAACCCTCATTAAATTTCACAGTGGAATTTTGACTTGTCCTATTTCTCCAGTGAGAACGTAAGCATGCAACATAATTAAAGTGGGTAGGGGCAAACGTACTTGTCTGTTGAGTCTCTAAATGCCTTTGCTATGTGGTGAAATTCTTGTCTTGTTGTTTTGAAGGATATCACTTCACCCGAAAAGTCAGCAGAGAACACTCCATTGAATATTTATTCCCTTTGCTCTGGACTGAAGAAATCGTCATCTAGAGATGTTTCCGGTCCCATTGTACTATAGGGGGTATAGTGCTGGGGCTGTCCCATTCGAGCCCGGTCATGGCTTATCCGTGAGGAATGCCGAGTGGGATAGACATTGGCGGCCCTCGTAGAAAATAATTAACTTAACATAAAAGGAGGGCTATGCAATCGAGACATCAATCGATGTATTGGTGCAAACATCATGGAAAGAAACCTCAAGTACGGCTTGAGAACAGGTAAGTTTGGAGCGAGGTCAGAATTCGGGAAGCAGAATTGTAGCTGGCGTTTCTGATGCTGAGAATGAAAACGATGGGAGCATGACTGAAGGAGCTCTAGCTTTATCAAAAAATGACGCGCAGGAAACTCTGAATAGGTCCCAAAGGCAATGTGTTAAAGTTGGGCGTATACTGTACATATATACGCATACCCTCAGAGCGAAATAGCAGGTGTAGCCATTAACTGCTTCGATAAACTGAGGTGTAGACCATCAGAAACAGGTAATTATAGTCGATGACTGTTACCTTCACTTATAGACATAGATAGTGTCCCCCTTCTTCACTTTATCCAGGGAATGAAGTTAATTCACAGCCAAACGGCCAAGCAATGTTCTTTCAGCATTGCGCTTTCCAATATCAAAATCCGTTAACTCTTAGCTCTGCCATCATCCACTGTAGCTCTAAACTACGGCAAAAACCGTCCGGATAAACTGAGCCTGAAGAGTTGACGACGATGACACGATATCGCCGCTGGCGGACTCTCGGTACAAACCTCCTGCTTAGTCATCCATGCTTCCTCCGGGCAAACTATCCTAACATGGTTAGACAATTACTTACGCCTTTCCATATTAGGACTAGTGCTTTAGCTTAAATCCACGTTTAAACCATGACGCTAGTCCCGATCAGGCGATCTATCAAAAGAGGCCACGGATGTGACATCGAGATCGCAAAGATCAAGCCGAAGAAGACGACAGAGAGAGCAACGGGTCGATAGGTTGCCGCCAGCCAGATATTGCGATATTTCCATGTCGAGGATATAGGGGGCCGCGAGACTGAGGTGCTAGTTTCATTACGATCTCTTTCAGAGCTGTGTTCGCTTGTGAGAACCGCCGGAGGAGCGAGATATACGGGAGGACCACACCCTATGAGCCCTTGTGCTCACCCGGAGACATACATTCGACCCTTTTTAGAGAGCTGGAGCATCCGCAGCCATGTCGACTGACTATAACTACGACGAGCAGGTTGGCATTGCCCAATGCAGCGTGTATATTCTGTAGTGTCCGTGACTGACCCGTCCGCCTGCTTTGTCTAGGGCCAATTCTTCCCTTTCTTCATCCTCACCCTGACTGGCCTCGTTACCCTCCCTCTCACATATACCCTTCTGAGGCCTGTCAAAGGTTTGTCAACCTTTGTCTTGAGGCCGTTGCCTGTCGTGCGTTTTGCAGCTTTGCTGATATTGCCTCCCCCGCGTGTAGGACTCGAAAATTCTGCCCCTCGAATCAAGTCTGATTTTAAGCCACAGCATGACGATATCATACAGAGTCAGAAGCAGAAGCTTCTGCGAAAGGAGCGCCGTATCAAGAGGATTATTACCGTGATAGTTGGCTATGCAGTCATGGCCTGGATGGTTTACCTGATCACCGTGACTGCAAGATCTGCCCCCAAGATCTGGGATCCCTATGAAATTCTCGGAATTTCAAGAGTGAGATTACCTTTACTTTTCAAATAACAATTTTTTTACTGTCTAACCATGGCTGGCTATTGGTTTAGAGCGCGGATGAGAGAGCTATAAGCAAACACTACAAACGCCTTTCCGTCAAATTCCACCCAGACAAGATCAAGCCGGACCCTGCAAAAAATGAAACCGTTGAGATGCTTAACGAACGTTTCGTCGAACTTACAAAGGCGTACAAGACACTCACAGACGAAGAAATTAGAAACAACTACATCCAATTCGGCCACCCTGACGGAAAACAGAGCTTCAGCATTGGTATCGCCCTGCCCAAATTTATCGTCACCGAAGGAAATGGAAAGTTTGTCCTTTTGCTCTATGGAATCCTCTTTGGTGTTCTCCTTCCGTATACCGTTGGAAGGTGGTGGTACGGTAACCAGCGCTATACCAAGGACAACGTTCTTGTGGCCAGCGCAGGGAACCTTTTCCGAGAGTATAAACCGGGCCTGACTGGCGGGGATATGATTGGCACCATGAGCATAGGAGATGAATATACAGAACTCCTCAATGGGGATCATGCGCATTCAGGGTTAGCTAAGATTGAGAAGAAAATCTTTGAGTCAGTGGATATGTCACCCACGGATAAACTTGCTCTAAGCAAATTGGATGATGAGAGGAGGAGAAAGGCTCTTGCGCTGTTATGGGCCTATCTTGGAAGGGTAGACCTCGAGGACAATACCCTTAACAACGGTAGGTTTATGTCAATTTTTCTCCAAACGCGCGGCCACCTGACATAGCTAATCCGATAAACCTCCATAGAAAAGTTCCAAGTCGCACCCCCTGCCGTTACCCTCAACAACGCATTCACCACCATCGCCCTGGCTTTCGGGAACCTACAACCTATCATGACATCACTCCATACATCCCAAAACCTCATTCAAGCTATTGCACCGAACTCCTCGCCGCTTCTTCAGCTTCCCTACTTTACCCCTAACGTTGTCCGATCCGTGGAAGGCGAACATTCTAAAACCCACATGACCATTCAAAAGTTCATGAAATTGCCGGAAGTCAAGCGACGAAGCATGACTATCGGTAGTGGACTCTTGACAGACTCGCAGTATCAAACCGCAGTATCGGTAGCAAGGAGAATACCCGCCTTGGAACTGTGCAAGGCTGTTCTCAGAGTGCAAAGCGAAAAAGTCATAACTCCTAGCAGCTTAGTACAACTTGTTGTAAAAGCCCGCTTTGTCCCACCTGGCTGCGAATACGTGCCACCGGTCAAGGAGTCGGACCTCGTAATTGAAGATATCGACGAAGACGCCATAGCAGACGCCCAGACAGGAAATGCTACCGTTGACCCTAAGGAGAAAGAGAAGAAGACCCAGAGTGAAAAGGAAGATGAGCCTGAGATTCAACCTCCGCTTGCCCACGCCCCTTACTTCGCCCGAGACCACTCCCCGAGATGGCACATATTCCTCGCGGATGTTAAGCAGGACCGTATGGCCGTCCCTCCTTTCACATTCACCAAATTTGACAAGCCCATATTTGACGATGAGGGCAAACCAACTTTCAACGTACAGACGATGAAGATGCAGTTCCAGGCTCCCCCACAGGTCGGAAGTTTCCCATTCGTCCTTAACATCGTTTGCGACAGCTACATCGGGTTTGACCAGGAGCAAGAAATTACTCTTGAAGTTGAGGATCTAGAGAAGGCCGCTGCTGTAGCTCAGGAAGATGACATCAGTGAACCAGACGAAGGTATGCATTGAACTTACTACCAATATCTTGGCCCCACTTTATAATGCATATATATTCTAACAACCCTCCAGATTCCATTGCCGGACAGATGCAAGCCTTAAAAACCGGTCAAGCACCTCCCAAGAAGAAGCGTGTCGCCGAATCCAGCGAAGATGATGAGAGTGACACCGACGGTGACGCTGCCGACGACACAAGCGAAACAGACACCGAAACAGACACTGACGGAGAATAAACTTACATACACCCGACCCTTTAACCAAGAATTTACAATGCCATCATGTTCCCTTTTACCCTTTTTTAAGGTCATGTTTTATTCTAAAGTTGATATCTTTACCTTTTTTCTATCATTCTTAAAATTCAGTTTCAAGACGATCAAAGCTCACTCATGGTTTATCTCACGTTAGCCAATTGATACGGTTTTCCATTTATTTATATTTATCTGCTATTCTTTGTTGTCCTTTTTAATACCCTCTTCCTTTTGACATGGGAATATTAGAAGACGCAGGACGAGGGCGCAGCTGGTATCCATTTATCTTGCTGTCTGGCAGCTGTTTGACTGGTATGTACTATTTTGTTACCAATAACTATCATCTGTTTGACTCGAGCATGAATATGGAGTTTCATCAGCTTGAATGAAAAGACTGGTGTTTGACCTTGGCTACATTTTCTGGATGTTCATGATCCAGTTCTTTACATTGAAGTGCGACCATTTCAGTAGTTTCATATTATTGGTAGGCAGTCATTAGGAATATACAATTACTAGAACTAGTCGAAGAAAAAGGCGACCATAGCAGGTACTGCTAAATATAAAAGAGGCGTAAGTGAAATAACTCAGAAGCCTGGAGAAAGTATGGTGTCAGGCAATATCAGACAAACGCAAACCGTCCGTCGCTTCAGTCAGTGCTTGGGTTAAGTGCCAAATTAATAGCATCAAGCCACTTTCCGCCCTTCTCCTTATTAGGCGCTCTCAAACCCTTATCACCTAGCATTCCCTCGCCGTCACGAGCCCATTCCATCAAAGCCTCCTCGCTGCCCCATTCTCCCATACCCATCAGGCCAACGGGGACGGAAGGTTCATCATCATAGCCCATTGGACATGAAATGGCAGGACACCCAGTGAAGTTGGCGAGGTATACATATTCCATGGATTGTAGGGTTGCATTGGAATCACTGATTCCATTGGTAAGATCAGCTTCGCCCCCAGAAATCTTGGAGCCAGCTGTGGGTGTTGTGGGAGTTGCAATGACAATGCCGGGGTATTTTTGGAAGAGGAAAGAAAGGTGGTTCATGAGGAGATGGCGCATCCTCTGGCTGGCGAAGTAGTCCTGTGCAAGACCTTGGGTTCCGCCCACGGAGACGACGATCCTTGTAGGAGCAGATAGTTGGGATATTTGTTCTTTGGTAAGACCACTTGATATCTCATTTAGAATTGATAGAGCATGGCATTTTCCACCTTCGGGGATGTATGGAATGGTGATGTCGACGATTTGGTAGCCTTGCTCGTCACGGTAGTAGTCAATAGCCTTATTGAACATGGCTAGGACATCTGGGTTAGACCGCTCAACCCAGTCCTTGTATACACCGATAACCTTGCCCCTAGAGGAAGACGGAGATGGGATACTCAGCAAGGGGTCAGGGAATGCCGCCGACACAGGATTGTTCGGGTCAGGTGCGCTCATGATACGGTAGCCCATAGCCAGGTCATCGATACTGGATGCCATTGGGCCAAAGACTCCTACAGTTGTCGCCAGTCTACACGTTGGAGCAGCTGAAACTCGGCCGTGAGTTGTCTTGAGCCCATATATACCGCAGTAGTTAGAGGGAATGCGGATAGAGCCACCACCATCAGCTCCGAGGGCAAGAGGCACAACACCAGCACCAACTGCATACCCAGAGCCTCCTGAAGAGCCTCCAGTGTAGTATCCTGGATTATGGGGGTTTCTTGGGGTTCCAACAACGGGATTATTGTTTGTAGTGTCTAGAAAAAACGTCAATTCAAGTAAACCACAAGAACAAACTGCCATTTTTTTTGGATCAAGACGATAGACGTACCAAGTCCAATTTCATGCATAACGGTTTTTCCAATTACTATAGCCCCGGCTTCCTCCCATTTCTTCACACACCAGGAAGTGAAGCTAGGATTAGCTGTGAAGTTGACCTTGCTCGACAGGTACTTATCATATCCATCAATGTCAACTTCATCCTTGATAGCAACAGGTATACCATCCATCGGCCCCAATGGCGTGCCATTAGCCCATCTTTGTGTGGAAGCCTCTGCGGAGGCACGAACGAGATCAATCTTTGACTGAGAGAAACCCGCCGAAAACTCGCCAGGAGGAGAAGTATCACGTCGGATCACAGGCAGCAACGCCTCCACAACAGCAGTAGGAGTCAGCTTGCCGGTCTTGTAAAGCTCACGGTAATCAGCAGAGGTATAGTAGTCGCCCTTGCCATCCTGGCGGCGTCTGGTAGGGGCCGGTAGCTCGGGTGTCTCAGTGCCAGATTGCTGGGTCAGCGGGGGGAGGACAGTAGGGTCGAATTTCGGTTCGTATGCCGTTAGGTGTTGGATGTCACGGATGGTAGAGAAGCCTGCATTGCGCCAGAGAATGGACTGGATAAAACTTGAATATTGGACTCTGTAGATATTAAGCGTTAAAACGACCGTTGTTAGCTTCAAGCCAGCTACCGTCAAACACAGCTCACGCAAGGATATAAAACCCGACGGCCATAACAGACATGGGGATGGACTGACAGAGCAGCAGCTATTTCCAGCATGCGGCCACGTAGGATGGGGTTCGATTCTTGCGCAGCCTTGTATGGTACATTCGGGCCTTCAACGGGCCTGGGGAATGTCCGGTACGGGTTCTTATTGGCAGCCATCTTCAGCCAATTAATTCCTCGGCGTCGGTTCTTCAATGCAGGACGGAAGTCGACAGAGCAGGTTTTTGCAAGTCGATCGATGTCGATGTCGCTGTTGTCGTCCGTTATGCCTCGATGTCCCTATACCATCATTTAGAAAGGAGGTGAGGTCGTTAACTTTAGCGGCCATAGCAGCCGAGCTACCAACCAGTGCAAACCAACCTCGGCCAAAAAAGCCATCCCTGAGCTTTGTTGACTCCGACAGCTCAGAGGTACCTAAAGTAACTAAAGAAAAAGAAAACATTTGACAAGCGCCAAAAGACGCATGTGAAGGAAAAAGAAAATGTGTTGACGTTTCAAAAGCTGCTGTCCAATTATGTATTTATTCCGTCTCTATTTTATTTATAGCCTGAGTTTTACATTCCAGAAATCAAGCGCCAATGCGCTGGCAGTCAGGATGACCGAATATAGCATCAAAACCGCCATGGCCAGTTCCTTTCGGGCGTCGAGCGTGTTCATGCCCAGGTTGACAGCCCCTGTAAGCAAGTTCGCAATGAGGAAGATGGCCAGCCCGTTCTTGTTGAATGACCGCATGACCCTGCTCGTTGCATACTCGCTTTGTTCCGCCTCTTCTTTCTTATTTGACGCCTTCTCCACCGACGGGAAGACGACGGTCTCTATGAGGCAGTAGAGCAGCATATGGGTCATGTTGAATGCATTAACCCAAAAGACATACGGCATATTAGCCAGTCGGCGGGAGACCGGGATTCCCGCACCGTACCCGAAGAAGTAGGAGGAGTTGAGAATGAATAAGGTCGCCCACACTGCTGACCATGAGACCAGCTGGATGAGTAAGGTTCTGCGCGGTTTGCGAGGTATTATCCGCAAACCGGCTGCTCGGCCAGACAGGAAGATGGCAAGATACCCAAGAAAGGAAAACACTCCCTCTCGGTTCTTGGACAGCAGAGACGGGCCCCGTGGAGAGACCAAGATGTACTCCTTCAAGCTCGTGGATTCTAGCGCTACCTGGTACGCTCCGATAACGAGCAGCGAGAGGGCCTCATACCACGGGATCAGTGCGGTCATGGCATGAAATATCTCCACAAAGGGCGGGAGGAGTCCTAGAGTAAAGAAGAAATTCCAGTGCACACCATATTCCGTTACGTGCTCTGCATAGTCCAGCCCCTTGACACTGTACAGACGAATCAGGCCCAGTACCAGGAGAGGAATGGAGTGGCGTGCAGATGCAAGTAAGCGCTTTGCGAACGAGCCCCGGGAGGCGGCACTACCACGTCCCAGTATCGAACGCGCTGAAACGACGCCCCCCGAGAAGACGAACGAGCCTACTCCCAGGTCCATGAGGGAGGTCCCCCAGTTTTCCACCTTTGCGAACCGCCGAGGAAACACAGTGAAGTCAACCGCCAGGATCGACAGACAGGTACTTATCATCAGACTTGCTCGGTAGTGGGTGAGAAATGGACGCTGTGGGAGGGCGTCTAACGCAGCATCAGAGCTTCCCTGGCCCTGGTGTGCCGTGCTCTTTGTAGACCCTGGTGGAGGCTTTGCCTTTTGCCGTACATTTTTGGGCTTGGTGCTTAACAGGAGGAGAGCGGCGGGAGAGAGAAGCAGTATATTCAGCACTATCGGCGAGGAAGAGTATGCCGTCACTGCGAATAGTACAGTCACAACGGTCAAAAGGAAGTCTGCTATCACAGCCGGTAGTTCATAGGGAGTAAATAGCGAGCGGCGCGATTGAAGGACGGACCAGAGCAGAACCGCACTCTACCGAAAGAACCGTTAGCCAGCAGCCCTGTATTACGAGAAAAAGAGACCCATAAATCCGCGTATACTCACCGGGACAACAGCTGAAACCGTGTGGATATCCCATACGCTGCTGCCCGAGAGGTTCGAGACGAAGGCCTCCTTTCTAGCTTTGTAGCTCTCAGCCATGATGGATGCGCGATGCGGTCGTTCTAGCAAACACCGTCAGCAGACAACCCTCGTCGAGTAGTAGATATCTATCATCTGGCAAGCCGGGCTCCTCGTCTCTTTAATAGCTGCCAATGCCACGAAGAAGCCAGCCTGGTCACTTTTCTCTTTTTCGACGTCTGTTCTTTTCTTCTTCTTCGTTGAAGCCGGTGAAGCTGCTGACTAAGCTAGACTACTTGTTCATTTCTTCGGCATTTTTGGTGATGACGTCGATATTGATTTGACCAGACAGCAAATAAATGAGTGAATGCGTTTTATTCGACATTAAATCATGAGTTCATAAGATACAAAAGAGAGTCATAAAGAAACTGGAGCGAGAGTAGCTGTACAAGCGCAGAGAAGCAGACTACTAACCATCAATATCAAATCAAAAACGACCGCCATGCCAGAGTGTTCAAACGAGGGTATCAAGCCGTCTTACGACCAGACGGAACATGCAAGGGAAGCCAGATCAAAAGATGCAGGAAAAGAGTGCAGAAAATGTAGGAAGATAATGCAGGAAAAGCAAAGGAAAAGAAATATGAACCTGAGCAGCTATAAATGCTGCAAAACTGAGTTGCCTCGATAATCTATTGTCAGTTCAAAAACAGCTCCGTTTATGGGATATTGACTGTCGAGCTGCTTGTTTCTTGACTCAAAGGTCAAGAAAGACGCTTGGCTACACCGTGCACAGGAGGACTCTCTCGTCTCCCGTCATCATCACCCAGCACGAAACGGACCTTCTTCTTCCCAGCTTTGGGTGAGGACGTAGCATTGCCCTTGGTTGCTTCAGACGTCGTATTCCTGGGCACTGTTGGCTTGACTCTTGGAGTGATGACGACGGGATCACCCCTGCGGCAGGCAGAGGGGGACACTTCTCTGAAGCGTCTCGATTTGACGGGTAGTTCCTTGAATTCCGGGATATGTACAACCGGCACGACCTCCTTGAACTTATTCAGCGGCTTCATGATAGTGGCCTTCTTCCTGGAGGGACGAGTGATCTCCTCGGTAGATGAGGTTGATGTCATTGAAGGGGTAGGAGAAGGAGACCGTTTCCTGCGGAGGCCAGCTATCGAGCTGTTGTTGGTCAGGGAAAACGTAGTGCTCCGCGGTTCATCGTATTCAATGTCTCGTTGAATGCTGGAGGACCGACGATGGCCTTTTCCTTGTGGGCTGACGGAGATGCGGATGCGGACTCGGGAGGACTGAGACGCCCTTATAGAGTCCCGGGGACAGCCTGTAAGATTGACAGCGTCGTCCATATCACTCAATTCCTCTTCCGCAAAGAATCCATGTGCGGCCATGTCCTCGCATAGGTGCTGTGTGAATCCCTTGGGACTGAACAGCACCCTCTTCTGGTAGCCATCACCTGTGCTTCGGCGGCGTTCAATGAACATGGTGATGGTGTTGGACTTGTGGATGGTATAGTAAAGAGCAGACGCCGAGCCCAAAGGAAGTGGTCAATTAAACAATAAACAAGTATCTTGGAATATAAAGCGTGTAGCAGAGTTATCAAAAGCCGCGGTGGTTGAGATCTGGATTGAAAGACTCCAGTTCAAGGACCAACTCAGTCGACTTTATAATGATTAGAGTTAAGGAAGAAAAGGCAGATACAGCCTCCTTCGAATGTTCGAAAGAGGATAATCTAGCAATTGAGTAGGAATAAAAAGCAGAGGCCAGATGCAGCCTCTGCCAGGACAGGCGCCTGAGTTCAGCAGAAAGGAGAGCTGCCATCCTATCAATTCCAAAAATTGAGAAGCGTATGAAATTCCGGCGCAGCGCTCGGAGCATTCCCAGCCCCAAGAATAGGATCTTAACCGCGAAACAGGAAGAACCAGAGCACCGGGACAGATATCTGGCCATAAGAAACAGCAGAGGTATGATCTCGCGCCGGCCTCAGGGCTGCTCTATACCCCCCCTAGACGACCGAGATGGTGGCGCGGCCAATGAGCAAGCCAGGAGCAAGCAAAGAGCAGGAGGATATCAAACACGAAGAAAAGGGTGGATATGATAAAAATAGACCCCCATGGGCGGAGCATCTGAGTGGTATCTGGCCGTCCATGGCTATTAGACACATTTCGCAGAGGGCATTGAGAAAGTAAATAGGCGCTGGCCTGCAGGTCTTCCCCTAGGACACTCCACCAGTTTCATCTTGCACTCTCTTCTTCATGCCATTATTTCTTTTTTTTTTTTTTTTTTTCCAGGCAAGACGATGAGCAGATGCTATGAATAAGTACATTCCTGTATTCGTTGGATATGAGCATGGCTAACGCTGAGCATAGGACGAGGACTCCAATCAGAAGCGCAAAGCTGGCTGTGGCGTTGGTTTGTTTATCAAAAGAAACACCTTGCCGCCGGCACGGATAACTAACTGTTACGAGTCAAACCGGCCGGGAGACACAGGCAGAGCAAAGAGTGTCCAGAGGCACCGCTAGCCGCCGCACATGCAAGTTCATGCAGTGAAAGACATTCTATGCGACCTGAAACCGTGGCGAGTCCGCTAGGTTAACTAAGGTGCCTCCCAGGGGCTGCGGCACATCGCATCAACAACGCAGGCAGTGCGCACCCAGCGGCTGAAAAACGAGGGCACCTTGAGGAATTAACTAGTCAGCTAGCCAACGAGGGCCCCTGGCTAGTTACAGCCGGACTCGTCTATGCATGGCTAGGATATAAGGAGCAGGTCTTCTGGCCGAGTAGCGTCACTGGCCCCCATCCCCCAAGGGCGTCTCTCAGCCATTCGATTCCTCAAACTGCCTCAGAGCGACTCCATCCGATCAACGCTGGTGCTGCTGGTGCCAGGGTGCTTTACCCACCCGTTCTCATGCAAGAACAGGAACTGATCCCAGGGTATATTTACGCGGAACCCTTGCTCCTCTACAGGTCTCCGGGTTACCATCACCATCCACCATGAAGAACCGCCGGTCACTGACCTGCCCACTCATCCAACTCCGAATGGCTAACCCGTAGCTACTCAACATCCAACGGCGGGCCTGAGCAGTACTCCGCTGTAGTTATAGTTACATGCCCGTCGGCCGGGGCATAATCTAGCTAGCAACACCCGCCAAGTCAGACCAGGGGGTAAAAAAAGATGGATCTCAACTCTACCAAAAAACACACACACACACACACCCCTGTTGTGGAGGGAATGAGAACTTGGTGAGCAAAGGAATGACACCATAACTATCCTCCCCCAGCCTAGCTTTCTGATGGGCCAGATAGGAATGAAATAATTTCACAATTTAGCTCTGTCACCCCCCCTTCCCTTACCGTTCTCTTGCCCACGGATCCAGTCTGGCCGGCAATCAGGGCTGGCTTTAACCCGTACGGGAAAAAAAATTGGGTCGAGAGAAGACGAGGAGAAAGGGGAAGAAACGGTCCCTTTGTCCATCCAGATGTCTGGTTATCCCTTATCCGTGTGAAGGGGAAGGTATTAAAATATATATATATATGTATATATATATAACAAGCTGAGCTGTCGCGGCAATTTGGCATCCCTTAAATAGCTCCAGCCAGACTCCGTATTTCATCCATTCATCGCGAGAGTCGGCTCTTCTTCCTTCGCCTCTCCTTTCAATGTCGCTATCTAACTAATAACTACCTTAAACCGGCCTCAGACAACACGTCTATACATATACTTGCCTTGTCTGCCGGCTGTTCGTCGTTTTCGGACCTCACCAACCACTATCACTTTTCACCGTCAGCCACGCAGTCAACTATCAACTGAAAGGAAACGGCCGCCTGGCAAGCTCCCTCGCTTCTCTCATTCTTTATTTTTATTTATTTTTTTTTTTTTTTCTCCATATACCATTCACAGTCGTTTCCATCTGCGCCGGGAGAGTTCCAATCGCGCGAAAAAAGTCTTACCTGAAGCTATCCGGCCGAAGACCAGGCATCCCCTAGTTCTGGAGTTGCTGTACCACCAGCGGAGCAGCAGCCAGAGAGTATTCTATTTACCAGTGCTGGCACATCTACAGTCTACTCTGAAATCAACATATTCACTACTGCTTCTGCTGCTACAGCTCTTTTTCATACGCCGAAGCCGGCGGGTTTGAAGCCATGGATCTACTCGTGCAGGCCATGTTCATCATCGGCTTTGCCTGGGCCTGTCTAGTCGGATATCTCGTCTTAGGCATGTTTCGACAGCGATATACGCAGGCAAACGTCTCGAGACAGTGCCGCCAGGCCCTCGAATGCGCAAATGCAAAGAATACAACCCCGGATGCAAAGGCCGGGGCGCCGAAGAAGGCCTGAGGACGGCCGCAGACTGCGTTCTCTTCCCTCCGAGCCCATCATCGTGCTGCTTGACTACCACTCCGGTAGATGTCTCTGAGTCGGTACATATACATCAACATCTAAGCCTATGTCTACATCTGCTCAATGCCAACTGCCTACCGACTCGAGCCTCACCGTTTTTCCTCTTCATGAACCATTGAAGTCATCCCGATAAATGAGAATATTCTGGAACAGCCGGCTAACCCGTTTTACAAGCGGCAGACAAGGTACATACATCCTGGCCCAATCTGTGACAGAACTCGGTGTATCAGGTTTCATGCCAGCAACCCAACGCTCAAGGGGGCTGGAAAGAAAGAATGAATGAAAAAAGCATATCCTTCCATCCCGATCTCCCCGTTCGGCTTTCCTGGGCCGACATTAATCATTTTTTTTTTTTTTTTCCTTTTTATTTCTTTTAAAACCGTTAACTATTTACCTCGCCCCTTTTTTGCTTTTTTTTGCTCTCCTTTGCTCTCGCTTTCTCTCCCCCGAACAGCCATCTCCGCCTGCGTCCCTGGCGCTAGGGCGCTGTGCTGTCCTTCTTCATATCCGATGAAGCATGACCATGATCTCGACCGGTGCTGCTCACCGCTGGGCTGATGGGCCCGGCTCTTTCGTGCCTGGCAACTTATCGCATTCCCTCCCTCCCTCTTGGCCTCCGATATCTCCATAATTCGTTTAATTTGGGGAAGTCTTCCCGTTGTACCATTAGCTTTTCTTCTTAACTCTGGGCGTGCAGCGTATGTTCTGCAAGGTGTTTAGGATGGCAGATATTAGATAGACCTGGGAAATGATATCTTTTGGGCCGTTTCTCTCTCTCTCACTCACTCTCTCTCTCTCTCTCTCGCTCTTATAAGACTTCAAAAACAGGATGACAAATAACTGTTATCATTATGCAGCTGCAGATAAGGCATCCCAGCCTATCTCATTCGTACCCCTCCCATTACTACAGCGGATGGAGGATGCAATGATGGTTGTGAGAGATGTTTGACGTTTGATAGCAGGGAGCCATCCCTCGGCCATCGACGATGGGGATAACCAATGGCTTCATAGGAGTATCAGATAAGGCGGGCGATTTCATTTTTTATGAAACAGGCTGAATCCGACTACTGATGACCACTCTATACTCTAGAAAACTAACGGTTCAACGGCTAGATAGTCATATACAAGACTCTCGAATTCACTATGGGGATCCTCTACTGCACTAGTTATGATACTCTATTTGCAAAGAACTCCTTTAAACGTTCATATTCATGCCATTCATAACTATCTAGTTGAGACCTCATGAAACAGGACACATCAACGTCTCCATACATCATCATCTCTGATACCACAAGTATCATAAACAAACCCACTGCTACTGACAACATGACCCTGAAACCGTCTTGCCGTTGGAGATCAGTCCATCGGGCAGAACAACAAATGCTGTACCAGTACCCCATACTTGCGCGTCAAGTTATACATGGATAATCGACCATGTCGTCATTCCCATCCGCCGTCGAGCTGACGGCTACGGTTCACCCTGTATAGAAGGCTTGCGCTTCTCTCCGCGCCGGCTTTCATACATAAGAGCAGCGCCCGCAACGGCATTTAATATAGCAAAACCGGACATAGTCCACCAAGCAACACCGACAATACCCTGCCTCAGTCCCACACCATTCGTCCAACCCGTAATCAATGGGCCTACTATTGTGGCAGCAGCCGCAACACTTTGGGCGATACCATTAACGGTGCCAAGTGAGGTTTCATCCGGACTAGCTGCGTTGAGAATCATGCGTGAGGCAGGCGTAACGAAGGAGCGAGCGGCCGTCTGAAGGGATAAGGTGATGGCGATGAAAATCCAGAGCAGTGCTCCTGACGCTGGTAAGGGAGGTGGTGTAGCTGACGGGACGGTAGCCCAGTATGGGATAGCAAAATATGTCACGGGAAATACCAGGAGAGAGTACAGGTATAGCCGGAGAAGGCCAAAGATTCTCTTCAAGTAAGGGAAGAAAAGAAGTTGCAGCAACAATCCGATGACACCTCGAATAGCAAGGGCAAAAGCGATGTTGTTTGGCTTAAAGGAAAGTCCTCCGGTGAAAACAAAAGGCGCATGTGGATGGTAGTTGAGCGGCACGGACAGAACACCGTTGGCTGCAGTGGACTGCTCGTCGGTGGCGTTTGGAGATGTGCTTGCTGCCGATGAGAATTCGGTCGGGTCATAACGGGGTGTAGAGAGGAATATCGCAAGTAATGCGGGAAAGATACCAACATGCATAATCATGAGTCCATTGGAGAAAAGAGTCATGATCAATCGCCGGGTCCAAATACTGACTGCTACTGGCTTTGCAAGATCAGCTTTCGATGAATCATCCTCCCTTAGGCCAGCCATCTCGATACGCTCATGCTCTTCGGTAGAGAGCTTTTCATATCCTCCCCAGGGCAACCGTCTACCCAGATTCTTCGCCCAGCCCGGAATGACAGACAGGGACCGCTGCCCTTTGCCCGGATGTGTTTCTTCAAACTGGAAGGCCGTCAATATCGCACATATAATCATGGCTATGCCGTTGACCATGTTTGGCAAAGCATATGGCCATCTCTCCAACAACCAAGTCAGAGAACTTCCAGGGACGAATGCGTTTGGATACGTTCTAACAGGGTCACTGAGTATTCCACCTAGCAGAGGGCCGACTGTAGATCCAAGATTGAAAGCAGTTGGCATCAGCAATATCGCTCGTGACTCAAACTTTTCTCCACTGATATCCCTGACAATAGTTCTCATCACAGCAATCTTGTTGTTGGCTAGACCGATCAAAAGGTGGCATGCCACAACCCCCAGTAAACTATTACAGAATGCAAGCCCCAGCCAGGAGATACCAGTCGTAAAAAGGCTCATTAGCAGAACCTTCTTGCGGCCTACCCGGGGTGAATCTACCAGTACCCCCAAAATAGGCGAGAGGAAGAGCTGTGGGATGGCGATTGCAACACTTAGGAGGGAGACCTGGAAAGCCAGGCTTGCTGCGCTGGGCACGGAACCATCAGGAAGTTTGAACATCCTAAGCTGAAAGAGGATGTAGGTCCCTCGACTGCCCATTGCCGCATTCTCCCAAAACCAGGAAAGCACTATGATAGCCAACTGCCATTTCTTCGGCATTGAGGCCCACGATGCAGTGGCCTCGTCATCATCTTCGCCTAGCTTGTTCGTGGTATCTAACTGAGAAGAGGAAGAACCAGGCCTTTTGTAGATAGGGGTCTTTTCTTCGTCGTTTCTCATCTTGAGCTTTGTGACTGCAGCTCGAAATAATTCCCACTCCAGCATGGGTCGCACCAGCCTCTACCGCCGTCTAGGAAAACGTCGACACCTCTCCGTCATTCCAACCTCCAGGAAGAAAGGAGAAGCAGAAAAAAACTCATGTCGTGCGAGAATGTGCCAGATCAGAGCCTGAAGATCCTAGTTCTGATTATGCTTAACTAGTTGTGGACGCCATCTGGAGACGTCTCTCGGCGGTGATCTGCCTCCAGCGAATTCCCACCGAGGTTCCGCGCCATTATTGAGTCTAACACGCCTGGGCGGTTCCAAAGGCACACGCCAAACCCTAGTCACCTGTTCTATTGAGCTGCGGCCGAAGAATTGGATCCTGATGGTGATATCGACTGGACGGTACGCTGTAAGTGCGTAAGCCTTCACGTCACCCGCCGTTGTGCCGGGAAATGGAGCGACCTTACGGAGTGGGATTTAACCAAAACTCTTAAAAAATCAATCGAGATGGATATCATTCCTGTAGCTAGCTGGCTATGGATAGCGATCCTGTGGTCCGGTTCAGACATCCCCGGGTAGATATTTCTGTCATGCTGGGTTGAGGTTGTTCTGGCAGGCTTGGGCATCTGCAACTCCTGCCCGGCGTGGGTTATTGTGTAACTGCTCGACGTGGACAAGTACAGAGTAAGCGAACATGGAATTCACTTTACGTATGCGTCAACGGCTCGTCATCTGACAGTCGTGATGCTGGTGTGGATGTTTCAGACCGGTGGCCGAGTTGTAGTTGAAGTCGTTGGTTGTTGATGTGGGAAATTATATTTTGACTCCTTGTTTGCTTCTTGACGCTTCGCTGCATGAAAGAAGACTTAACGAGCAACGGCATCAACATAACCACAGACAAGTATTCTATATTCTTTGTTCGGTCTATAGATTTATATCATGATACTCGAGACCTCCAGGTCGACTCAAAAAAGAACAATAACAATGATACTCCATATCAAAGCAGGAAAAAGGTCCTTGCCAAAGCAGAAATTAATCAATCAATCCCCTTGGCACATATTCATACATGCATTAAAATAATCAGAAACAAACACCAGGCGTCCTCATTTTAATACTTTCTGTCTTCTGGAACTCTCATTGGAGTTAAGGTAATATTGGAGATGCTTATATTTATTTAGTGTATGTCTTCTGCAGGGATTTGGCAATAGTTTGGAGCTGAATGTTGCTTGTTCCCTCGTAGATGGCACCGATCTTGCTGTCTCGGAACATCTTCTCAGCAATACCCTCGCGGACGAAGCCCATGCCTCCCATCCATTCGACAGCGAGACCGGACACGCGGCCGGCGACCTGGGAGGCGTAGAGCTTGGCCATGGCGGCATCCTGGACAAAATCCTGACCGGCCTCCTTCTTGCGAGCGGCGTTGAAGACGAGGGCACGCGCAGCGGCAATTTCAGTGTATGACTGAGCAACCTGGTGCTGCATTCCCTGGAAAGTACCAATGAGCTGGCCGAACTGCTTGCGGTCGTTCCAGATGTAACTATGATCATAATTAGTATTGCATGTGTCAAGTTCAGTAAAAAAAAAAAAAAAAAAAAAAAACATACCCAGCAGCATTCTCCCAGGCACCGAGGGCCAAACCGGTCATCTGGGCAGCAATACCGATACGGCCTTCGTTCAACAAGCTGATGGCATACTTGTATCCCTGGCCCTCCTCGCCTAGGAGGTTCTCCTTTGGAACTTCGACATCATCGAAGTTGAGAACGCAGGTGCTGCTAGCCCGGATACCAAGCTTCTTCTCCTTCTTGGCAATGCTGAATCCTGGCATGTCCTTCTCAACGACGAAGGCAGTGATACCCTTATATCCTTTGCTTGGGTCTAGGTTGGCAAAGACAATGAAAAACCCAGCCTCCATGGAGTTGGTGATCCACATCTTGCTGCCGTTGAGCTTGTATCCGGAAGAAGTCTTCTCTGCTTTGGTCTGGAGGGCAAAAGCATCGGATCCGGAGACGGGCTCGGACAAGCAGAACGATCCCACGGTATCGGTGGCCAGTCTAGGAAGCCATCTCTTCTTGATAGCGGCGCTACCGTACTTCAGCACAGCGGTGTTGACCAAGGTGTTGTGCACATCTACCATGACACTGACGCTGGGGTCGACACGAGCGAGTTCCTCGATGCCAATGATTGCCGAGGTGAAGTTCATGCCGGCACCACCGTACTCCTCTGGGATCTCAATGCCCATCAACCCTTGCTCGAACAGCTGCTCGACAACAGCAGGGTCCATGGTCTCGGCCTCGTCCATATCTCTAACCTTGGGGCCGATCTCTTCCACGGCAAACTTGGAAACAGACTCTGCCATCATGGACTCGGTTTCGGAGAGGTAGGTGATGGGGGTGGGGGTGAGGTCGGCATCACGGCGGAGGGGGGTAGCAGAGAACGCTCGGGAGCTGCACCCAGGCCAGTCAAGTCAGCATACATGTACCGGAGCTGTGAAATAACCACCAGCATTGGCTTCCAAGGGAATATGTGCCTTGACGTACCATTGTGCGGCCCTGGAGACCGTAGCTCTGTTTGCCGTGGATAGGAGAGGCGCATATACCCTCCTGGACAAGGGTCGCAGCGCACGGGTTATGGATGCCATGTTGGAGCGATAGAGATTATACGGGGTATAACGACGCAAGAAGAGGCTCCTGGCAAGCACTCCAACGGCGAAGAAATCGATCAAACGTTCGGCCTGGAGAAGAAGAATCAGGATCAAAAAGCGGACCAGAAAGGCCGAAAGTTGAAGGCAACGAGAAGAGCCACGTGATTTTCTATTTAACCTCGGCTAGACACGGTTATAGAGTTGGCACGTGATATTATCTGAGCTCTAGATGACTAATAGCATTATCACGTGGTAAAGCTTAAATTATCGCGATGCTAAAGATAGAAACCTAGAACTTAGCTTGAGATCTGAAATTATTAGCAAGTCGATGTACTTATGATGGCAACTGGATTCCTACAGTCCGGTGCCTGGACTTACTGCGCAATAAGCTAGCCAAGCTGAAGCTAAATTGCTCCAGAAAATCCAATCCACCTCCCCTTAACTAGTGTGATCAACTCTCCAGTGTCCTGTTTGTTTCTCACACGGCTCTAGGGTCTACCGCCGTGTTCCCCGCGACGGCAATATACAGTGGGATGAGCCTTGAAAAGCCTGGCTTTGGCCATCGAATACCCATATCATATACTGCCCTACCCGATTCCCGGATCCAATCTTTAAGTTAGCGTTTGTCCTCCGACGCAAATCCCATCTATTTTCTCGACTTACCTCCCTTTGTTATCTGTGGCAAAAAAACAATCCATAGCTACTACTGGCTCTCACGAATCAACGTGTCATCCATATCACTACGTGGTGAAGATCCAGTTATTCCTCTTTCCTGGAGTTGGGTTTTATACACAAAATAAGCTTGAAATTCGGATGAATGCAACCAGAGCGGTGTTCATTGATAACCTGATGGAAGGCTTGATGATACCGCAGCATCAGGTATTAACGCTCTATTTGGAAATAGTATGGGTTCAGTACTTGAATTGTCGCCCACGCGTGTTGCTGATGGACAATCTTGCTATCATATACTGCACTGTCTAATGTTTCACCTTGGAGAGATGTATTGGCTTTCCAGCCAGGCCATCTCTACCTGGAAAGTACGGGATGGGAATCCAATCTCTGGATGAAAAAAACCATGAAAGTCACATCAAGCAGCAAACCATGATCCTCACTCTTCGCTTCAAAAAAGGTGTGTTTACATATATTGAGGTCTGGTAAGATTCTGTGTAACCTAAGATATATTCAACGCTAACCTAAATTATCGTACGTTGAACCATGGATGAGTCGAAAGCTACCCAGAGTTACATTTCTGTTACTCTGGTTACTGTCAAGATACGACTTGAAAACACCCTCACGCGTCCTTGCTCGTGATCCGTCCTTCCGCGTTTTCAATGAAGTGATTCCTGATTAACCAAAGGTAAAATTCGACACATCCACCTGCGGCCTCAAGTGTTGCAATAAGAGCTTCTACGCTACCAAACAGGCCTTCGACGCCTACGGTATCGAGGATAAGTAACCAGTCGGATGGTGGGAGGGTGCACAAGCCGTTGTCGAGATAACAGAAGGGATGTGTCCCAAAGGCGTACTTCCGGATCGCGTCGCAGCTGGCTTGTTTTTGTCCAGTCGCGTATGGTACAAGTTTGCTCTGCAGGCAGTACATGGCATTGCTGACCCAGACTTTACCTTGGTCAGAGAACTTCTGCTGCACTGACTGAAATTTGCGGCAGTAATGGTCGCCATAGGCGGTAGCGTAGCCTTCGGGCCCACATGGTACCGCGGTCTCGAGACAGGATAGGTAGAAGGCACAGTTATCTCTTTCCGGAACGGAGCAAGAGGCTAGCCGACGAATATCATGCTGAACGGACGGAGTCTTGCTGTCGCCCTGGAATACTATTAGCTACTGCGGTCGTGGAGTAGGACTCAAGGCTGGCCGCACTTTGTGGTAGGGCTCATCTGCTTTGACAAAAGCCTCTGGTAGAAGTCCCAGACCGAATACAAGGAGGTGCGGCCGCATGTTGTTGATGTCGTCGGAATGTAGTAACATTTGTTGTTCAGTTGGACTTCTCTTCAACCATCTTTTTCACAAACTTATCGTCGAAATAGACATGTCAATGGATGGACAGCCCATTTTGCCCCCGAGAGGCGGACATATATTTTGTCTTTTGTCTTGCGGAGGATTGCTAGCAACCCCGTATATGCACAGCCTTGGTCCCGAGGCCCAGCATCTGGTCCAGCAGCCTGACTCGCTATCCCTTGCTGGTGTTGTTCCCCTGCAGGGTCAGGCTGTCTCCGTCACCCGAGCATCGTTCGGCCTCGACCTTCTCCCTGCTTCCTCTCCCTCACTCTCTATAGCAACTGTTTACTCCTACGGAGTTTTGTCAACTTAAACTCCATCTTTATCTTATCAGTTCGTGCCTGCCAAATGATGGAACAGTCTTACATAATCACAGGTGGCTGTGCAGTGATGACATCATCATTTGTCACGGGGCGCGGGGAGGCCGCGTTTGTGGCGGTGCATCTTTCGTACGTCGTTTCTTCTACTTAAGCGCTGAAGCCACAGGCAGTCACATCAACCGCTATTCAAGTCACATCTCACGCTTCGACTACGCCAGGATTCAAAGTCAGGGTGGTTCTGCTGCCTGTCTTTGCTGTTATAAAATAAACGCTGCTGCTGCTGTGAGGGTCCCTGGCTCAACGCCCCGCGATTGCGATCTAACACATATACGCAAACAAATCAGGCCACAAGTTCTCCCAAGTCCCACTATCCAAAAGCCGACACATACTCAAGACCAGCCGGATAGAATAGTGAGCCATTCGTCATGTCTGGGGGATCAAGCGACCCTCGACTCTTCTTCAGTCTCGATAACGTGCGGGCATTCCATGTCCAGGATGGCCAGGAGACGGAACTCACCCCCTCAGGGCCCCAGACGCTCTCCCTCCTCATGGTACCTACGACCATTCCCGTTGTAGACCCTGCCGGCCTGAACGCTGCGTCAGGAAACACAGAGGAAGACTTCTACCTCCATCTTCACCTGCCGCCAGAGCTCGAGTTGCCGCTGCCCGCCACCACCCAGGTTTACCACCAGCCACCCGACAGCTACCTGATTCCCAGATGGGATCTAGGGCCGGAGGCTGGTGCGTTTACCCGCATTCAGTTCCCCAAGATCGGAAGCGGGCCTGGAATGGTATCACAGGAGGACGTGGACACATTTGAGACCATTCTTGCGCAGTGTACTGCTTTTCTTGAGCGGTCTCCACCTCCAAAGTACCAGGGCAAACAACCGCAAAAGCAACAACAGGGAGCATATAACCCTGCAACATATGCACCTGGAGAAGGCTATGCAGGTACCGGCGATGAGAAGAACGGCCAGATTGTTCTGGTTGATGAGGAGAACGGGAGTGTGGTGGGAGAACTCACCGAGGGGTTCAGTGTTGTGCAGTCGACGGACGTCAAGCCCGGGTCAAAAGGTATGCCAGCTCTCCAATTCTTTCTTTTTCTTAGCATCTCCCGTTCAATGTCTCTTTATTTATTTATTTATTTTTTTTTTTTTTATTTTATTTATTTATTTTTTTTTTTTTTTTTTCATATTTATTTTGGCACCCCGTATTATTCTCCATTGATTATTCCCCGTGGACGTCAAGCTAATCTTCATTAGACCCCGTTCAAATCCAACTACCTGAGACAGGCAACCAGATCACGGTCAGCAATGCACCGCCAGAGTACCTGCGTATGGCAAGCCACCCTGCTTATGCAAAGTCATCGCTTGTTCAAGGTTCAGCCATGGCTTCCCGTCTTCTGGTGACTACCACCGAAGCACTGGCCAGCCTGGTAAACACTGGAGCAGACAGCTTCACCCGGAGGACCAAGCCCGCTGCCAAACCCATGACATTCTCGCCATCCTCACAGGCACACATTCGTAAGATCAACACCTTCTCGCAGTCTGCTGCTGGCCTATCAGCCAAAACCGTGGGACAGCTAGGTAAATATGCGCAGAACCTGGGCGCGGCATTGACTCGTCGGGGCGAGCGTGATCCGTATAACAGAGGATACGACATCAACGGCAAGCCGATACCAGACTACAAGCCTGGTATCCTCAACAAGTCAATGATTGCGATTTCCACACTGGGTGACGGTCTCGATCACAGTGCTCGACATCTCCTGTCAACCGGTTCTCAGGCTGCGTCCAAAGTCATGGGCCACCGATACGGCGAAGAGGCGCGCACAGTGACGACAGATATCGCTGGCGGCGTCAAGAACGTCGGGTTAGTCTATATTGACGCGATGGGCGTTTCAAGACGGGCAATCCTCAAGTCGGTGGCCAAGGGGATGGTTGTCGGTCGTATGAAGGATGGACAACAGCTTGTCGTTGGTGGAGGCGACGGCGGGCAGATCGGATCTAGCGTGCTCTCTCCACCATCTGGCAAGCCGGAGTCAGGCCTCTCTGCTCAATTTGGAGCATCATCATCGTCATCATCTTCGGGGCCGATGTATCGAGCACAGTCGCCTGCGCCGCCACCAGCGTATGATGCCCAGGGAGGGAAATCGCTGGGCGGCACTCCGATGAACGACAGTCACAAATACCGGTAGTTCGGGGGATAAACAAAACCCCCTTTCTTCACATTTGCTTTCCTCCCTCACCTTTTTTTTTTTCCTTTTGATGGATTTCAATTTCGAATAGTGGGTTATGTTAGACCTTGGAGGACGATTTCGTTTTTTCTATGGCAAGATGTTTTTTTCTTCTTTTCTCGTCCAATTTTTTTTTTTTTTTTTTTTTTAATGTGGTTCTTTTTTTCGCCCCTGGGTTTGTTTTCCTGGTTTGGCTGGTTCCCTCGAACGAACGAGGTTCATGACATTAATTTGGATGAGCAAAAAAATGGGCCAGGAAGGAAATATGACAGGAAAAATAATAGCCAGATAGGTCTGTCAGTCAGGTAGCAGCTAGGAAGCTTAGCAGTCAAGAAAGATGATAGTTCAACTGCCATTCCCGGCGAGAAAGAAAGCTCTCATGTTTGGCCGCTTGACTCGAAACCGCCAGCTCTCAGCGTCAAGGAGCCAAAGGGAAGAAAGAAAGACAGAGAGAGAGGGAAATAGATGCGATTGTTTTTGTCCCTGCAGCCCAATGTGTTTTCCCATATGCACCACGCGCAAGCGAAATAACGCCTCGTAGATCGCTTCTGGTGGCTTATCCGTCCCCTGGGTCCGCCGGTACATTGCGGTATTACGAGCCTCGTTTCAGGTTCCGGAGCAAAGCAACACTCGCAGCGAGGTAAGATTAGCGCGGACAATCGACTGGAGACGGAACATCGTCATCTTGTCATCTCCATAATTATTATTATTATTTCATCATCTCATCGAGCAAGGTAGTCACATCGGAGTTTTCGATGGTGTTTGGAGTCGGCAGCACCGTCCTGGCTTGATTTGATATTGACGGATGTCTTAGGCTCGGCCAGGATAATTTTACCGCCAGACCCTGCCAGCCCAACCAGCAGCAGCAGCAGCAGCAGCAGCAGGGAGAGGCAGAGAGACGGCAAGGGCAGCCATAAATACTCCGTCTAAGTACCCATAGTGAAGGTCAGGCGGATTTTAGGGGGGTGGTGGATGGAGAGGGGGCTGGACATTGTATCATCCACGTATCCAGGACGGTGCAACAGCGCCAACCAGGCCAGCGCGCGCATCCCCATAACGTGTGGATGGTGTGTTAATAATGGAATGCATCGCGAGTCGGTTGCACTGGTAAAATATAGTAATCACTTCGCGCCCATACCGTAGACGCAATTAAACGTTGGGATGTTGCACCGTAGGCCGGGCCAGCAAGGAGGTCCAGTAACCAGCAACCGTCAACCAGCAACCAGAAGTACGGAGTAGCCATAAACCGTATACTCTGTACCTGCAACAACATCAGCAGCAGTAGCAGAAGCAGCAGCAGCAGCAGCCAGCTCGACAATCCCGGCCAGAGCATTGAAAAAGCAAAGCAGCCAGCAGCCTTTCGTCTCTGGCAAGCCTCCCGCAGGCTGGAGAATGAATGGCCCTGGTTCAAAACAGCGCCAAGTGCCAGGTCACTCCATCTTATACTTGCGCTAGACACGAAACCGCGAGCTAAACCAGCGAAGCATCGCAGGGCCTTTTACTCCTGTTGTGTCTGTCTGTTCCTCCTCCAGTCCCCGTCAGCCTCTTGCCCTGCCCTCATCCATCATCTCCAAAACTCCCAAGGAGACGACGAGGTGCGTGTGTGCTTGTGCGTGTGCCTGAGAGAGAGGGCCCGAGAGTATATGTCTCTGCCCCGGTAGACGCTCTCCTTATCCCCTTCTTCTTCTTCTTCTCCTCCTTCTCCTTCTATTTTCCTCTTTGCGCTGGTTGGCCCATCATTCACCGCTCGGCCGCTCTTCCCAGCCTCCCGTTCTGTCTCGCAGCCCGTTCTGTCTCTTCCACCCTCCGACCCCCCTGGACAGGACCCAAACACCATCGAAAGGTGTGCCAGACGTTCGCCTCGTCCTCGATCCATCGACTTGAGTCTCCTGAGGAAGAAGCCCCTCTTGATGCTTCCCTCCCGTCCTGAACTCGTCGCCAATCGTTCGTCTGCCCCGTCAACAAGACCAGGCCGCCCGGACGGCTTCTCCACGGTCCGTTTCGTTCGCATTGAATTTTCATAGCTTGTAACTAGCTGGCTGGCTTCTCGTCGTTCCTACCGCCGGTTCAAGCATGCTGCCTTGGTCAAGCTGAGAGAGAAACCCGGTCCGACCAGTTCAACATCTCAGCCAGCAGAGAGAGAGAGAGAGAGAGAGCCAGTGCCCAACCCGTCCCTCCTCCCCCTGCAACCCGACCAAGGCGAGACGAGACAGCCCATAAATCGTGCTTGTGACCGCCGCGGTGAAGTCGCTGGCTTCGACCCATCCTCTCGTTTCCGGCACTATAAGAATATATACCCTCACTGCACGCAGCAACGCTGCCCGTCCTGTCTGCGTGTCTGCTTCAATTGGGGTTGATTATTCCCGTCCAACTGCAAGCTGTGGGTTCCTGATTAATTCTTCTGCTTCGTCTTCTTCCCCTGTTTCCTCTTGTCTTTTCTTCTTTTCTTCGCGCTCGACCTGGCTGTCGACTATAAAACACGCCGTGCAGTCCAGTTCAGCCTGGATGGAATAGGCTGGCAGGGCCCCCCTTTGCGACGTGATAGCAGTCGAATTGACGCGCTCCGGGTAGCAGAGAGCCGCAGACATCAGCTAGACACTGGTCCTGAGAAGCATCTTGCAGTAAGTGTCCCTTTTATCTTTTGTCTTTTGTCCTGTTGCTATGTTGTACTGTGTGTGTTGCTGTGCTAGCGCGTTGTTGGAGTGAGGTTGGGCTGGCCCAAAAAAGAAACACCCTGATATCTTCTTCTCCTTCACAATATCACAACATCCTCAGCTTCACCCGCGCAGCACCTCTGGCTTTGTTGTTTACCTAGACAAGACGCGTTGTTCCAGCCAATTCTTATGACTTAGAGTGTTAACAAGACCTTCTAGAGCTCTGCTGTTTTAGACTCCTTTCTGGTAACGCCTGCGACATCATACTCTACGCGCTGCAGCGTTGCTACCAGCCTGACAACCTCTATACCTCCCACACCCCCCAAGCAGCCTCTTCCCAAGGGAAAGGCATGTCTTCTTCACTGCAGGCCAGCCCGCAGTTGAATCCTCCGCAGCTTGGAAGCCAGTACATGCATCCCCCCACGTCGAACGGCCAGCAGTACCACCCGCCGGGATCCCCTCTGTCGCCAGTACAATACCCCCATGGACGAGACAATTCGGGCTACAATGAGAGCTCGCCAGCCTCCCAGCGTCTGCATCCGTCTGCTGCGTCACCGGGAATGAGTGGCAGCCAGGATTACGCATCGCCGGTCACTCCACCAGGCAAGCCTGGCTCCACCAGTCCGCGAGCCCGGCCAGGGACCGCTGACAATAGCTATGGAAGCCCTCCTATTCCTCCACCGCGCTCCTCGTCCAACAACAAGGCCCATGTTAGCCCGCAGGATGTCTCGTCCAGACAGGGTAAACGTCGTGAGAACGGCAGGAGCCATGGTGATAGCCAGCAGAGGGCCAAGGATGATATGAGCCCTCCCACCAGCAAGCCCCGCCGTAAGACCCCCCATTCACCAGAGGGCCCACAGAGAGCTGCGAGTACTCGAGAGCCTAGGGACTACTCCAATGTCGGTGCGCTGGAGAGCCGATCTGAAGCTGCCATGGGTCCCAGCTCTATTCCAACTGGGCCTGTGCATGAACCAAGTGTCGTGCTTGATCGTATGATCGTGACAAATCCAGATATTGATATTGCGCGAGCTCAACAACGCCAGGAAAATATACATATTGATACCAGACATGCTCCTACTAGCTCTGGATACCCTGATGAAGCAGACCTCCAAGAAGATGAGGATGAAGGGGCGAACATCCCCAAAAGCAGACATGATGGCTCCAGCGGAAAGCGAAAGGAAACCTCCTTTGGCGACTACATCCTCGGCCAGACCCTCGGAGAAGGCGAATTTGGCAAAGTGCGACTTGGCTGGAAACGAGACGGAAGCGTACAGGTTGCCATCAAACTGATCCGCCGTGAAACCCTGGGTTCCAATCCTGGCCGTCTGCCCAAGATCAACCGTGAAATATCCGTTCTCAAGAAGCTCTCCCACCCAAACATTGTCCGCATCCATGAAATCGTTCACACAGACCGTCACATTGGCATCATCCTCGAGTACGCCTCGGGTGGTGAACTCTTCGACTACATTCTTAACCATCGTTACCTAAAGGACAATGCCGCTCGTCGCCTGTTCGCCCAGCTAGTCTCCGGAGTTGGCTACCTTCACAAAATGGGCATCGTCCACCGTGATCTGAAACTAGAAAATTTGCTTTTAGACCGAAACCGCAACATTATCATTACAGATTTTGGGTTTGCGAATACATTTAACCCAAGTGACGAACTGAGTGAGGAGATTGAATACAATCTCACCAACCGAGACTTCGTCAAGCAGATGCGCCTGGACCGCACTGATGCCAACGGACTCAGACGCGGAGATCTCATGCAGACCAGCTGTGGCAGTCCATGTTACGCTGCTCCCGAGCTTGTCGTTAGTGACTCGCTCTACACAGGGCGAAAAGTGGACGTCTGGAGCTGTGGTGTCATTCTCTACGCAATGCTAGCCGGATATCTCCCTTTCGATGATGATCCAGCAAACCCAGACGGAGATAACATCAATCTCCTGTACAAGTACATTGTGACAACTCCTCTCACATTCCCTGAATATGTCACTCCGCACGCCCGTGACCTCCTACGCCGCATTTTAGTGCCCGATCCTCGAAAGCGTGCCGATCTCTTTGAAGTCGCCCGTCACAGCTGGCTCGCTGAATATGCCACGGTTGTCTCTCATATCACTAGCAGCACTACGGATGTAGCAGACATTGCAAACACAACCGTTCCCTCCGGTATGCTCTTTTTTTTTTTTCAGTTTTCCCCTTTCGCCATTGGCTTAATTGCTGACTTGCATCATGTAGAAGAAGAAAAGAGAGACACACCGCTTCTCGAGCGTAGTGCATCTGTCCGAGAACCACCAAAGCCTCATCATGTACAGAACAATACCGCCGTCCTTGGTGGGCTTACCCAGCAGCCAGGACAGGTGTCACAGACGCCAGAAGAGAAACCTAAACGCACTCGAGATGCCAAACGTAGAACTGTGCAGGTTGAATACGTTGCTCCTCAGTCGTCAACCGCTCGAGGTGGCTCCACCTCCGACCAGCAAAGCTCTCCTGGTCAAGCATCCCCCGTTGCTCCAGTTTCGGCTCCAACTGCAGCTCCCGCAACCACTCGCACATCTGCTGCGTCAACCGGCGCCATCAAAGGCGAGCCACAACTTGACAAGCCGCTTCCCAAACCTGTTATTGATCGTAACCGTGAGAGAATGGGCTATACCAACAATTATGCAGACCGCAATCAAGGTATGACGAGGCCAAAATCAAGAGACGTTGCACGGTCTGTATCAGAATTAACTGGTGCTTTCTCTGGGACTCAAGGCTCCCAAATCCCTACAGGAAGACCCCAGACTGGAGGCTCCATGGCTTCGGCTGGCCGAATGGATTCTCGGCTACCATCCCGAGGGTCTTACAGTCAACCTGTTGCACCCGCCGTTGCTGCTACCAACGTACAAGGAAAGCTCGCACAGCCAAAGAACGGCAAGGCATACAACATTTCAGCCCCTATGCCTGCATCGCATGGACAGATTTCCGCTTCCGTGGGCCATCCAACTACTGTATCTGGTGCCCCAACTGGACCAGCTCAACAGACATCGAAGAGCCACAAGCGATCCAGCACTGTTACTAGTATCAGTGAGAAACTTTTTGGAAGACCGGCATCCTCTATCTTCGGAGGTAAATCTTCCACCCCCGGTTCTCCTCGTCTGAAACAAGGCAAGCGTTATCCTCCCACCAGCATGAAGGATCCTTATGTAATGATGGATGAACCACGCGCATCCATTGATTCCAGACGTTCCATCTCGCATGCCTTTAGGAGACAGAGTGATGCTCATAATGTCTCTCGTCCCCGCCGATTCTCCCTGCTCCCCACATTTTCAAAATTCTCCTCAAGCAAAGAGCATCAACCTGTCGAAGAGCCTGGTCCCACTCATGTTGATGACTCCATGTATTTTCAGCAAACAGAACAACAACCACAGCAGCAGCCTCAGCGAGAGCGGCGCCTATCCACTGCTCCTGCAGCTGTGACTGCAACTCTGGCACCGACCAACGATCAAGATAGTGACCTGTACAAAGACCGAGTTTCAGTCTCTAGAGACCATCAGATTGATGCACTGAACTTGTCTGCTCAGATTGACCGTCAGTTTGCCAATCTACACAGTAGCCAGGAGGGCCAGATCAACAATACCTTTGAGCCCACTTATCCACAATCCCATCACCGTGATGACCAAATGTTCGGTGTTGCAAGCTCAAGCTCTCAGCCACTCCAGCAGCAAGGGTATTCCGATGCTCATTCTCAGGGCTTTGACCAGGACCACCAACCACCGCAACAGTATGATCATCAGTTTGACAATGGTTCTCGCCCATCAATGCAAGCCGGCCGACAACCGAGAAACAATGTTCTCCAGAAAGGCCACCGCAAGTTCGCCGATGCTTATGAGTTCGAGCAGGCTCCTTCGCATACCTCCGGAAGCTCAGGCGCTGCGAGAAAGGTGATGGATTTCTTCAGACGACGTGGAAAAGCCAGAGCTGGTGAAGACCGGTAGCCCGCCCCCTCATATTTCTATCAAACTGAAAAAAAAAAAAGCAAAAAACGGTCAATACACACACATAGTTGATAAACTGAACAAATAGCCGGAAACATGCAACTCAGCTCAGATCCAACCAGACCAACACAATGAGATATCCATGTCTGTCTCAATTTTTTTTTCTCAGAATTGTTCGCAACACTGCAAGCGCGCACGGCTTTTATTGATACCTCTTTAATTCCAATTTGTCTTGGTTTGCGTTCCCGCTTCTACTTTTGATACCCCTTTGTGCCCCTTGTCAAATCTGCAATTGGCCGTTTTATCATTCACCACCTGCATTTGATGCACCAATTGTCTGTCTCCGCTCAATACAACAAAAAGGGTGATACTTTCGATATTTTCCACCTCATCAAACCGAACCTCCGTACATTGGAGTTGGAACCAGGCCGTCGACCATTCGATTTTAATATCAAGAGGGTCAGCTTAAGGAGAGAGAAAAGGTTAGAAAAAAGGAGGGTTGATCGAAGAATCAGAAGGATGTTGAGTTTGAGCAGTACAGTCCGGCTAAATGATGAAGTCGGTGGAGTAAGGGGATGATTGGTATCCCTTTATTCTTTTCCATTTTTTCCTTTGTTATATTTTCCTTTTTTTTTACTCTTTTCATTTTATTTTCTTCTCCCAGTGTTCCATTTTGTTCATTGATTGGTCATTGTACAACAGATGGGATCTTTTTTCGTGTTTCCCCCTTTTATTCCTTGTCTCTGTTGGTGTTGGGGTTTCATTTATAGTTCTTTGATTTTTCTTTTCCCATTCAATATGTCTGTGTCTTTTTCTGTCTGGCCATCACCTTCATCGAGCTTTCTATCCTCCCTTGCCAGATTTTGCATGTTACCCTCTTCTAGCCTCCCGTACCATACCCACAAGCCTCTTGCTTTGCAACTACATATTTCCACCCTACCCCTTGATCATCCCCCGATTCCATACTCGCTCCCCCTTTGCCTTTCTCGTACCAAAGCAATATGGAAGCAAACAAATGACGGAACAAAAACAGGGCTGTACACGAATCCGAGACCATGGAGGAGGAAAAGAATAAGTGAGAACAGAATACACTTTTCATGTCTCATAATTTCCTTTTACCTTGTCTATTTGTTTAATTTTAATGCTTTGTTTCCCCCCCAGGCAGCCAGCCTCTTTAACCTCTTCGTTTCTTGTTGTCTATAAATCCATAGCTGCGTTTTAGTACTTAGTTAGGCCTCCTTTTTCTTCCTCTCTTCTTACCCCCCGTCCGCCAGCTGGGTCAGACAGAATCCGCTTGCCTTGTTCTTTACGTCCTTTTACATATCTGCTGGCCTGCTTACCTTTTAGCATACCACTCTGTTCATCTACTTCTGCACAGTTGCCGGTTGTTAACAACGCAGGCCCTGAGTTGGCAAATGATTTAGCCGTTGAAATTCTAATATTAATGAGGCATGCATTGTCACCCTGTCCAACATCATAAGTGGCCAATTGTTGATACCATCTTTCTTCCATCCGCCCTTGCGTTTCTTTATAATCTCGATGTAGACATAAGCCAGGTATTGCGCTGTTTATTCAATTACATACCCAGAGTATGTGGATATTGAGAGAAGACCGCGTTTACAATTTCCCATATAGTCTGGCTATTCAATCAGAGATTTCCAGGCAGATCTCTTGCTGTCTTCATGATTCCTGGCCTCGACTGTGGTGTTTCTCTTGCGAAAGGGCCGGCTTCATCACTTGACATGTTTCAATATATCTAATGGAGGGGGCCAGGACTTCCGCTAGTTATGGACAAGTTGAATATACCGCTCTACTATAGCCAATCTCCTAGGATATAGTTATATTTGTCTATAAATACGTCGCAAATATATTTTTATGCTTAGCATATTATTTGTGTAATAACTAAGATAGATATAGTTACGTGTCTGGGCAAGCTGGCTTTCCGCATGTAACTGTTTGTATCCAATAAACTCGTCTCTCCATGTCCCGCTCCTGGCCTATACTTCGCTTTTGGCCTCCCTATTTGCCCGTTCTCTAGGTTTGCTACCGATAGAGGTCCAATTTACCCCAGAGCTTGAGCCATCCAGGTGGTTAAGAAGATCCGACCCAAGCCCGCCAAACGGCTTGGTACCTGGAACCATTAGAAGATCGATCCAATATTGACGGGATAATACTCTCCGTTCAAGGACTTGTCAAATAGTTGCACACCGAGTGTCAACTATGGGTGACCTCATACCTGCTGAGCGGAAACTATACTCATCGAAGCAGGGCCGCGTTGTATGGCGCTCGTCACCCATTTTAAAAGAAACGCCGTATACGAGAAGGAAGAGCAGGTGAAGGAGCCGGTTGGTCCAAGTATAAAATAGTGTCTCTCCTATGTTACTGCTGTGCATTCGTCAACTCCGTTCTCCATCCAAAGACGTGTACTCCGTACAGCCGTCTGGGTTGACGGGTTGGTTAGTAGCCCTTTTTTCCGCTTAAAAGCACTACATTGACACGAACTAAGCAAGCTACGGATTACATCAAGACTAATAACTACTATAATACATTCTAGCCAGACGCTCTTTTCAATATCCAGAACTATGCAAGGCTGCTGCAGGCGTTTCATGACGGAGCAAGAGTCTCCGTACAAAACTAAGCTCTTTTCTAGCGATCAGGTTGGCATCTGGGGAAAAGAAAAGAAAGCCAATGAAGCAAGCAAGCAAGAAAAAGCAAAGACGAGGGAGCTTTCTTCGGAGTAGGAGGACCGGACCGGCCCATCACATGAGAACATAGAAGAGAAGAAGAAGAACGCTCGTTCCTGGGCTAACATGTGAGGGCAGGGAGTTGATCTGGCTGGGGGCCCTGAAGACGATACGCACGCAAGGGATAGGTAGATAGCTACGGAGTTCAGGGTGGTGTAAGGATGGAGTAGATAGAGGCCCCTCTGGAGATACAGAAAGATGAGATACGCTTCGTGTGTAGGACAAGATAAGATATGTGTATGCTTTGCTATGCACGCCCGTCCGTGTGTGAGAGCTCAGGGGCAAATGGCGGTACCAAAATCGACCACGATGGAGAGCCCTATATCGTCATTCCCTCGTACGAAGTGCTTCTTAACGACGCCTACCTGTTCATTCCTGGGATATCCGGGCCTCTCCTTTTGCCAGCTGTAGATGTCCGGCTGCTGGGTAAACACAGAGGCAGAGGCAGGGGAAAAAGAAACGAGAAAGAGGCCTGAACCGTTTCTTTTTCTCGGGCTTCTCATCCTATGGAGGAGCAGATGCAGGCAGTACGAGATAAAGCGATTCCCCGGATGCTAGTCCAGCAGATAGGCGGTAGAAGAAAGAAGAATTATTAAAGTTGATACTACGATGGTTTCTTATTCATGTTTAACGGTAGAATATTTGGCATTGCTTTTCCTATCTGTGGGCAACACAGAAGAGCCCAAAAAGAAGAAAGCGGAGGGAAAAAGAAAGAAAAAAGCGAGGTATATAATAATGCATGTGTTTGGTTGAAAGAGAAGAACAATCAGTAGTCGCTCTTTTTTTGTTTTGTTTCCCCCCAAAAACTAAATATCATATTGGCACCGGGGGTCTGCCTCGGCAGTTCACGAGCTTGTTGAGACCCGTAGCTGTGGGAGGAATCGTGATATAAGCAGTAATAGTAGTCGTTCAATCGTTATTATTGTTGAAGCCGGCGAGGGATAAGCAGAAGTAACCGATTTGTATCCAACCCCTAGCTCAACTGGGTTCCGCTAAAATAGACCAAGTTTTGAAAAAGACAAAAGGAGAAATGAAAAGATCTCGGAATTGGCTGGTTTAAGGGCCGAGTCTGAGGAAGGTGAAGCCCTTTGCACCGATGGCGGGGATGAAGGGGTTGCTGTCAGAGCGCTTGGTCTTGCCGGGAGCCTCAACGTTAGCGGCCTGGGTGTCGATATCAACTGGGGCGTCAGCGGCAGCTGGCTTAGAAGTGGCCATATTGAGCTGAGCAACAGTGTGAGATTGAGGGGCAAGGACGAGGAAGGTGCCGTTGGGAGTGTTGGTGAACATTTTGACCGTTGCTGGAGAGTGTCGGTGGTTTTCTTTTAGAGATAGACTTTTAGGTATATTCTTTGAAGATGGTGCTTTTTTGGCTGGTTGCTTGATCGGTTTGTCCTTGGAAAAAAGCCCTTGTGGAAGGAAGAGAAGGCCCCTTTTATAACTTTGGCAAGTAACTAAGGCAATGGCGTAGGCGTAAGTGATAGGCACGTATGTAGTAAGTGGCTTCAAGTCCGGGGAATTAGTGCGTATGATAGTACTCGGAATCAGACAAAGCAATCAAACAGAACAGCAAGGGAGCGTATGGGGAGAGGATCCGAGACAGACGGCAGCGGGGAAAGAAGCCGACTTATATATACCGCAAACTGGTCTCCATAGATTATATCATTCATTTTTCTTCTCTCCTTGTCACATATAGTTACCCGGCCAAGGCAAGGCGGAAAAGACCAAAGCATCGGCAGATTTGCAATGCCCACGGCCAACTAAAACCACGACCCCACAATTTAATGTGTCCTTAGGTCCATTAATGCCCCGTTGGCCCTGCGGGAGGAGAAGAGCCGAAGTTTGTCAAAAATCCACGATGATGCCACAATGACACCATCTGGTCCGGCTTGTCCAGCTAATTTGTTGAACTGCCCTATCCCGGATCCTCAGGATCGCAAATTGAGAGTTTGCCAAGATGCCCAAGAGCCCTGGACTGTGTTCTTTTCGAACATTTCTATCTAATATTTTTGATTTTGTGTGTCTTTTCCATGTTTTTTTCTGCTGCTCAGGTGAGAGGAGAAAAAAATATGCTAGCAAGGGTGAGCGAGCAGAAGGGTAGCGGAAAAAGAAAAATTTCCATCAGGTACCCTGCTATAACCTTGATGAGCCATCTCAGCTAGGCCTGGAAGAGCTGAGCGGGAAACCTGGCCCAGACAGGTTTGCTCTATTTCCTTCTGAATGTCAATATAATAACATGAGCGGCTGATGGTTTAATAAAGGATGGCTATCTTCCTTTGACGAAATTGGGTCAAACGCTCGGCAGCGTCCAACGTAGGACCATCCTCGATACACGCCCAGCTTGGCGTTGACAGGCGGGCGAGACTGAGGGGCAGCAGGAAGACAACGCAATAAAGAATCCCTCCTCCCGGGATGCTGCCCTCCTGCGGACAAGTGCCGACTGGAGCTGTGTGGACTAGGCCATGGAGTCGCTGATGGGCCCCGAGAGATCGCACAGGTGCGGGAGGACAGTCGTGTAGCCACAGGAGACAGCGGATAATTCCAGCCAGTAGCTCATATCATCTTCTCCTTATCTTCATCGCCGTCGCCGTCGGCTTCATCTATCAAAATCGACGGATGAAGTTGATGTTTTCCTCTTCCGGCTTTTGGGCGAACGCGAAAAGCAATAGTCACGTGACATAGATCACATGTATTTCACGTGACCAGTTATTGCGCCGTCCGAGCTTTTTCTTGATCTTGATCTTTTTTTCTTGGTTTGAACTTCACCTGGTCTTTTCTACCGTCTATCAGGACGGGACAACTCATCACTTTTACGTCCTCGGTGGAGGAATACGGCTCATCGTGTGATGGTGACGGCCCCTCGACCCTTCAGCCTGCATACCGGGGTCCATTCGTCCCGGCTGCATCTGGTTGGCTCCCTGCGTGGTGCGTTTGGCGCGCGGTTAGAGACAGAAAGTCAGATATCCACTAACAGACAGCGAGCTGTTTCCCCTTTGCCTTTCCAACAACATTCCCAGAGACCTCTTCCTCAGCTCCTTTCCTCGATTCTGGACCCCATTGGTCTGGGACAGCACCCGAGGAGATATTTCTGGCCCCAAAATGGCTCCTGTTTTTCTTCTTTCTCAACCTCGATGTTCTTTCCGGTTCGTTCTCTCGCTCACACCCCGGCCATCAGTTGCTGGGCCATATACCAGAGACTACGACAAAGAAGGCAAAAGCTACTCTTCCAGACCCGCTGAAAGGGGCCGTTTCTCCCCTCTATGATGTATGGGGTCGTCGCTAGACCTGGATAATGGGGCGAAAGTCACTTCCACCTTCTCTAGCTAGGTCTCTCTGGTCAATGACATCCACATACGATCCGGGTTCACTCTATTTGTTATCAGCTGATGATCGACTTTCATATCGTAAAGAGCCGAGCCAAGTTGTTGCCTGTGTTGCCGTGTTGTCCTTGTTGTCCCCCAACCCCAAATGACTAGGTACCATCCTGCAGGAAGACATGGTTATCTAACTAATATGTCCTCCACCTTGATTCGTTCGTACGTCGCCGATGGAAAGGTTTCGGAGCTAGATCGAACCTTTGAACAATGGATAGCTCGCCTTCTACCCTGCTGCAGACGTATGCTGCCTTACTAGCTATGGATAGCTCTTCGTGATGGAAAGAAAAGGGGCCCTTTTTATCTTGGACCCTTTTCCCCATCCGAGCCTCTTGCATGCAACATTTATCATTCACCTCCTACCTGGCTTTGTAATTCATACCAATTCATGATTAACATCGGATCCCTGAAAAAGTTAATTTGGTGGCGCAGCGTTCAATTTCAGTCTACGGCAATGATTAGATGTTCATCGATTGTCTACGCCTTTTCCTATTTTTTCTCCTCTGAACCCTTGTTCTCTCTGGAGCCTCCCGATAGAAGGAGCCCGGTGGGGTTTGCAAGTCTACTTCCTCCAAGTGTTCGCTTAGCAGTTACTTACTGGCTTTCAGGGAGTAGTGTTAAACGAATGACGCCTCACATATACCCCTCCATGGAGCAGCCGGAACAGTTATTAGAACTATAATGATTTGCTGCTACATACTAACCCCCACGAGGCCCGGGCCAGCAGCCACCCATTGGTGACCTGCTTCCCTCTTCAAAGATAGCCAACAAAGTAACCAGGGTCCTCAACGAATGGGTTACATGTTGCTGACCTCGCCTCTTGTTGTCTTTACTTCTTCCATTTCCCCTAGGGGGAGTAGTGGAAAGTAAAGGAAAACTTCACCGCAAGGTTGCAGAGGCGTCCTCTCCGCTGCTGCATAGGCCCACCTGATTCCATGTCGCAGGGACCTGTACGGTGAATGTTTCGGAGACTGCGCACTTGCACACTGCAGGTTCCAGTTTGGAGGATAGGGTAGATGAGCAAATCAGCGTCCTGTTCGTGATGAGACCAACATTTATGAATGCATTCAGTTCTATCTCACATCGGAGGATATATCAATGTGACTAGGCAGAAATACCCGTGGTCCTTTCATACAACATTAGCCGTTGGAAAGGCCTGCTCATGATCCCTGGCTCGGACATATGCTCCGCCTTCATGAGTCAAATACTGCGGTTGATTTTACTTCCTATATGGACCTGAGGGGAGGTGTATTTTTGTGAAAAAGAAAAGCTTCCCGCTAGTTGGCGGCACCCTTACATACACTTCAGGGCGCGGCCCTCTTGGAGATCTACCGTTCTCGAATGTCACAAGTACCCGCACTTGACATGGCCACTGGCCGTATTAAGGTTGTGTGGGGTTGTTCAAGGGTCCAGTTGATCGTACGCACCCAATACCTGCCTCATATCACCCGCTTGATATAGTTACAGCATGCACTGACGCCACTATTCAAGGTCAACCGCATCCTATACTCCTCTTGTGATTTTCTTCCCTTGCACCATCTTGTGGCTCCGTGTCCAACACACGCAATCATAGAGCTATTTTTTTTTTTTCTTATCCAACTCCTTTGTTGCTACATAAATGTTGGATTTTGAATCTCCTTTCCACCTTTACCCCCTCACCCACCCCTACCTTGTTGTTGTGTATACTCTTACAACACTAGCTGCTGCTGTTTGCGAAGGTGCATCTTCGACTTCGCCCTTTCATGGTTTCAGTCACCGCATCAAGTGGGTCTAGACGGCTGCCCCAAATTAGCTGTGCCTGCATACCACGCTCTGTGCTCGACGTGCACGGGTAGCGAGGATCGTCTATAAAAACCCTCAGGTAGACCCGCAAATCTGAGTTCTTTTACATCGACATCAAGTCTCAAGTCAATCTCACTACTATCAAACTCAATCGTCTCTACATATAAGAGAGTCAGCCCTTTTCAAAGTTCAATACATCACCCTACAACCTGTCTACTGCTTCCTACCCCATAAACCGTTTGACTCCAACTTCTTCCCGTGTACGACATAAGAACCTAACAATCCACCACCACACCCACACCTTCCGCAACTCGGGATCTATTAAAACCTCAACTACAAGCCTTCCTACCTTAACTTCTCGCAATCATGCCTTGTGTTCAGTACTGGGAAGTGTTCGACTGCGGATGCCGAGTCCCTACACTTGAGGTTATCCACGCCGCAGGCTGCTCCAAATCAGGCACCTGTGAAGTAAAACCAGTCCCGCGACCAAGACCGGGCTACAAATGCAAAACCCACAGTGGATAAAACAAGCAGGCAAGATGGTGAGTGGTCGTCGGCCTCAGCCACGTTATCAATTTTGTCGAACTCACAAGTAAGGCGTCGTTTAGGCAAACGGTCCGAAACAGCGTGATCATTGTGGTGGACGCTCGCTTGGAAGGTTTATAGACGGACCCATGGATGCCTGTGCCGCGTTCATCTTAACTCACATTTAATCCTTTGCGGCTCAGATTGAGTATATGTTACAAAGACTATTTTCGGGAACAACTTTATTTCGGCGCGATTGTTTCCTCGTTTTATGTTTTTTATTTGCTATTAGATGGACCTTCTTATTGACTAGGGGATTCTCCGTTTTCCTTTTTCCGCCCTCTTGCTCTCTCTCCCTGCACCATAGTTATTTGATTCCTCTCTTTTTTTCCCGTCTTTGCTTTTTCTGAACAATATATTATCTTTTTTTCCTTTCCCTGCCCCATAAGCGTAACTACCTAGATGAGAGAAACAAATCATTATCTAATTGATATCCATTCTGGCTGTTCAGGCATCCACCCTTGTTGTTCACTACACCACGGGCCGGGGAATTGAACGAGGACTTTTTATCCAAGATGCACGTATTTTCTTTTCTTTTCTTTTCCAAGAAAAAAGCGCTTTTGTTAGGCTTCCTTTGTAAAAAGTGACTCCATGTGGAGGGGGAACATGCTTGCGTTAAATTTAATAATATGACGCTTACATTCGCTTATTCCAAAACGACTAGAGACATCTAACAGAGGCTTCCTTGCAGTAAATCGCCATTGTGAACGACTGCGTGCAGAGAATGAAGGGGAGGTACTGCGTACTGCGCCTTCGCCGGCCGGATGGGATGTGGATACGTGAGGCATAGCGACGCTGCAGGATATATATCACACGTATTGTCCTGAAGAAACGTATGACTCGACTGACGGAGTACTACGCCAGTGGGCGCCGTCTGAGGCCGTTTGCCTAGTACTCTGGACGGATACCCCTGACACGGCTGAATATCTTTGTGTTATAAGGCATGCATATGGTTGAAACGGCGGGATGGGCCAGACAACAAGTCTATTTCCTCAATTGCTCCTTTGCTGCTCTTTATGATGGATGTTGCAGTGGAGCGGACGAGAACCCAGGCGCCAACCAGAGTGTCTTCTCCACCGGCTCCAATCGTACTCTGTTCCTTAGGGCGGCTTGGGACCTGCAACTACTGGAGGTTTACGCCTTAAGGCTCCACACCTCAGACAGACGCCTCGAGACAGCTCTATCTGAAAACAGCAAATAGATACAAAAAGGTAAAAAGAACCTGGCTCCATGAATCCTCCTTTTGTTTTTGTTTTTTTTTTTTTTTTCGGTTCTTGACATTCCGCTGAGATACAGCAACTCTTCCTCGAGTGAGGCTGGCTTTGCGGCTAAGCTGGAGAGTGAGCCGCAAAGTCAAGGCGACCCTTGAAAGATCCTGGTCTTCAGGGCTCGATTGGTTGGGCGGTTGATCTGCGCCCAGTTTAGAATAACGGCGTCTGGAGGAAAGATAGATGAAGAATGCCGGAGGAACCTAGAGGAGCCTAGGGGCCATGCGAGTCTGTGCAAGAAGCGAGAATACGCCGCTGCAGACAGCGAGCTGAGATGTTGACGACATGAATGTTTCGTCAGCCGATTGGTGAGCGCGGCACAATGCTAAGACGCTGATGAGACCTCGCTTTGTCAACCAATATATGGTGGTTGGATGGAGCAGCGTTGAGTAATTGACAATGGTGCTTTTTTTGAAGAGTCCCCTTCTGCAGCCCTCATGCTAGTTCGTAATACATGCACAGTTATGCATCCGTGCCTACATGACGATTCCATCACGAGATAGGCAGAGTGAGTTACTCCGTCCCTCACCCCTGCTTGGTGTATCTCTGGAAACTAGGCAGCACTTCTCTGCTAGATTAACTGAACGGTCATGATATCTGTCAATATAATGTTGTTGCCTTGAAGTTATTTGCGATAGGAGCCAGAAACCGTCACGTGCTTTAAGGGGCTCAAATAACGTGAACGTACCGGCGATAAAGGTTTATCTCCGGCAGACGAAGCATCCAGCAATTTTTATGAGGATGTGATGCATGTATCCGAGGCCGTATGCGTTGGGAGTAGAGCTGGTAGGAGTAATAGACTGCTGGTAGATGCTAATGACGTTATGGAGACATGGGCCAAGCCCACAACAGCTACCTCACCAGTAAGTATGCTGCTAGCTGCCAGATGACTCTTGAAGGACCGCGAGCCGTCACAGTAAGTTTGGAGAACTTATAGCATAAAAGTCTCAAAGGCTTCCAGAAGTAATCAGCTAAAAACTGTTCATGCATATCCTGTTCATACATGAATTCGAGTACTAAGTAACAAAATCCGTTTACTTAGAGAGACTAGTATCGTCATCTTTGCTCTCATAAAGCCTCATCGTATGAGATTGGGAGAGAACAGTTGTAGCTTAGGTGTAGGGCATAGATACTTGAGCCCAACGCATAGACACTAGCTGGCGTCATGGTGTCACCTTCATCCCAGCGGAAACTTTCTCAAAACGCAGGAAAATTTTGGATCAGAGTTATAGATACTTGTGATATTTGCTCATAAAATTTGCGCCCCGTCTGGAGTGGCTGCGCAAAGAGAAGTGAGAAGAAAAAAAATTTTGGAAGAAAGGAAGGAATCAGGCGGAGGTACCGGATACTAGCAACGACGCAATAGATGTTACTCTGGCTGCAAAACGTGGATCGTTTTCCGCGTTCCGAGGCTGGCCAATATCGTAACTAACGCCAGAAGCTTGTGCAAGGTTGGGGGTTGAAAACCGTTGTTGTGGTCTTCCACGTAGTTTACGTGGGTCTTGTTCTGCAGGCTGTCTCCAGGTATGGAATAGCCGTGCGGCGTATCGTTGGTTAGTTATCACTAAAGTGAAACCCGCCTGTTTCCCTTACCGTTAGTGCGGCGCATTTCTTTCATGTAACTCCGCGTACAGTTACAAAGGGGTTGATGGTTTTCGTGCAAGGGTTGGTCAAGGTCACAAGCTATAGATTCGAAGCTATAGAGCGAGCTCTGATCAAATGCAACAGCGATGACATCCTGTTCGCTTCATGGGTCGGGGAAAAAAAATGACATGGGTGCATTATCACCAACATAAGTAACGTATCATGTGACTCGAGATGCAGCTTGGTCTTCCTGGTTAACCAGTAGGGTGAAAGGTGCGAAGGTACACTTAGACGAGCAAGTAAATCCATATGCGTCATCTATACTGCAACAAATATGGCTCGCAGTCTGTTGGTATGCATCTATCGCCACTGCTCGGCCGATGGTCAGTATGCAGGGTGACAGGTGCAGAAGTGACATCGCGGAGCCTTGTGGAATGCAGCGAAAGGAGAAACAAGGCGAAAAAAGGCCCAACATGTATGGATCTCCATGAAATGACTGGTGCCTATCTGCGATGAACAGCTCGGTCCCGAGGGTCGGAGTAGGCCGCTGTTTTGGACTATGCATTCAAGCTTGATGCACACTCGTCAATCCCTCAGAATGTCACACAAGTTCTCTCATTTCCACGCTACCACTGTACTTCGTGGAAGACTCTCCCCGGTCCGACGCCCGTTTGCTTTCAATCCCCGGGGGGATGTATTAGGCAAATAGGCGGGCAAAGGCCGGGTCACTTTGTTACCCCAACCCCACGCTAACATATCGAAAATGATCGCCGCGCTAGTCCGTGCATGTACGCATGCCCTGAGCTCTATCCTAGGATATGACCCCTTTTGCATGCAAATGTGATAATGTGACTGACTGGCAAGAGAGGTGTCCGTGTATTGTGCCACAGGTCTCATCATCGGGAAGGCTGTGTATTAAATGAAGCCATGCGTTTAACAACACACGGCTGGATCTAGACAAAATGGCGTTTAGAGACCCCACTTTGGGCGTTGTGCAGCTCTGTCATCGCCCGAATCTAGATACATAGAGACAAACGCGTCCCGTCCTATCTTCCGGAACATTTGTGTGTCGTGATTCCTAATCAGGTACCTCCGTAGTAATTATGACATAGGCTGATCGGGCAGCCATCATTGCCTCATAACCCTGCTATGCAGGGAACAAGGAGCTTACCAGGCCAACTGCCTGCACATGGCCTGTGAGCTCGAGTAACGAGGCTCCTGGGGATGGAGGTTGGCTTCATGCACGGGCGGTCCAATGGAAAGGTTCAGCCAGGATCAGCTCTTAGATGGCGGGAAGTCGAACAGTAGTATATCGGCCAAGTAGTGGAGGAGATACATTCACAGCCCCCGGACGTGGCCACGGTCGTGCCGTTAAGAGTCTTGTAATGTATGTGATATATATTCCCTACTTCCATCCTGCCGTCGACGCCTTGATCGATCGTGACGAGGGGGAAGTAGGGAGATCCTGCACGGCCAGACATGGCCTGGCCATCATATGCGTAGCAATATCAAACAAGTTCGGGGTTTTTCTTGTTGGAACCGTGGATAGTGAAGGGCTTGACGGGCTGTAGTGGCTTTTCCAAGGGTATATTCTTAGGGGGCATGAGCAACCTCCGCTGTGCAAGGCGTCGACTAGTTGCTGGTCTGGACTATCGCTGATAACTAGTTCGTTATCACAACCGTAAGTATGCCTGAAGTAGTTGGCGGATCGTCCTAGTCATCACATATCCGCATCATTCTGCTTTGCAACCCTCAGTTGTCTTCATTCTGTTGCCTTTTTTTGGTCTTCATCCTCGTCCTCATTGTGTTTCTTCCTTTGGTGAAGTTACTATGGAGTGAAAAAACCATATCACGTGACGCAATGCTTTCAAACCTCCTGATGTCGTTTCAACTTTTGATATCAACAAGGAAGCGCCAGGAAACCGAAGAAATGCCGTTGACCAGCTAGCAGGGTTGGATTCCACATGTAATGTCCATTGATATCAACTGGGAGGCCGCCACCTCTGGACCCGACGGGGAAGAGCTTGCTGAACGAATTCGATGCTTCATCCACGACAAATTCCAGCAGATAGCGCTCCCGCGATTCATCCGCTCCGTGGAGGTGAACTCGTTTGATTTCGGGACGGTTTCACCAGAGCTGCAGGTCAGGGACATATGCGACCCGTTTAACGATTTTTACGAAGAAGATGAGGATGTCGCAGACCTCTCGGACAGTTCTGAGGGCGATGAACCTGTTCCTTCGAGCATGAGCCTAAGCCAGTCAACGCTGAAGGGAGATGCGGGTAGTCCTAGCAGCAGCAACGATGATGGCAGCGGGAATTCGAATGGCCGGTCGGGATATCTGCAGCGAAGACGTGGGTCCAGGGAATATTCCGGGGAGATTCCACAGCCATTAATGTCGCCTATCAATTTGGGGGAGTCGTTTAACCCATATCTATTCCCTCGAACGGGAACTCCCGGTATACCAGGAGGAACGTCCCATGTTGGGTATTATAATATGCCACGCGGAGGGCTTTCTGGGACCCAGACTCCACTGGCATCTGTTGCATCTGTGGCAAGGGGCGGGCCGTTATCACTGGCGGAGGGATGGCCACCTCCGGCTCGGCAAAGGGAGCGTGCCCGTAGCTCAGATACAGATGTGGATTCACCTCAGTCTCGATCACGGCCGTCCACGTCAAGCACGCGGCAAGTTACTCCTGTTGAAGGCGGCACACCCCGGGACCCCGCAGAGATACCAGAGTCAGAGTCAATTATCACGGGCCATCTGGATAGTGCGCTGCCCGCGCGGCGTATGAGAGAGCAGAAGCCCGATGATTTCCAGGTCCTTTGCCGATTGCAGTATTCTGGAAACATGAGGTTATCGATAACAGCTCAGATACTGCTTGATTACCCCATGCCCAGCTTTGTAGGGCTGCCGCTGAAGCTTAACATTACTGGATTTACATTCGATGGTGTTGCTGTCGTAGCGTACATCCGGAAGAGGATACATGTTTGTTTTCTATCGCCCGAGGATGCAGATACTTTACTTGGAGCAGACGACAAGATGACTACTACTGAAGACTATCATGAGCATCATGGTCACCATAGCCACCACTCTGGGAGTGCTAATACGACTGGCTCACGGCGTTCCAATGAGAGTCTCCTACGAGAGATACGGGTTGAGAGTGAGATTGGGCGCAAGGAGAGTGGGAAGCAAGTGCTGAAGAATGTGGGGAAAGTAGAGAAGTTTGTCCTTGAGCAGGTTCGCCGGATCTTCGAAGAGGAGTTTGTGTATCCTAGTTTCTGGACATTCCTTGTTTAGGAGCATACGTTACAGGAAGAAACTATGTAACATACTGCGTAAATAAAAGGTGAAACGATCAAAGTGACAGCTATGGCCTAGGGGACATTTTAGGTGTGGTGGTGAGGTGTGGTGGAGGAGGTCATTCAGACTTTCGGGTATTCTTGTATGAATTTCGCTGCAAAATGCGGGTGTCAATCAGTAGCAGTAATGGGTGGGTGGGCAGGCAGGTAGACGGGTAAAAAGGGAACAGAGTAGCTCCTTCATCGGTCCTTCTTGGGGGTGTTATCCTTGTTTTGAGAAGAGATCTCATCTCCGAGCTTGTTGTACTCTCTGGACAAACCCTCGCTCTGCTTCTTCAAAGCCTCAATGTCGTTCTCACGAGCCTTGAGCTCCTTCTTGAGTCTTCCGATCTCTCCCATATCACCAGCAGCAGCCAACTTAGCAGAATCCTTGCCACCGGCCCTCTTGTCGCCCTCGTACATCTTAACCTTGTCTTCAAGACGAAGGATATCGAGGATCATGGTGTAAGTGCGGTTCAAGATGAGGGAGAGGAAAAGGGTGAAGCCGCAGAGGTACATGTTGCGCTGAGAGTAAAACTTGCGGGCCTGGACTTCCATACGCTCAGTTCCAATTGCATGTCTATGGCTTGGCAAACGATGCAAATGAGCGTGACGATTAGTTGTGGTGTTCTTGACAGCTATTTTTATACACAAGTTGCTCGGGGCGGGGTTACGTGGACATACCCGGAGTTGGCAGCGTCGAAACCAGTCAGTTCGATCTGGACACGGTAGACACGGTTGACACTGTCGATGAACAGGATAAGAATGAAGATGAACGTTATCTGTGGCTCTGCTTAGATTCTGAATTTGCTCGGGTTGCTGATACCGGGGGTGTGTGGAGGCGTACCTTCATTCCATACTGCAGCTTGGCGACGATGGGACTCTCTGATATGAAGGTGAAGAGCTTCCGCTTGACGGTAAAGGGCAGAGGGACTATCAGGCCGACGAAGATAGCCATCTCCGTCACCAGGAGGACAAACACCTGTGCAATTGTTAGCAGAGCGGGTCGCTCACTTGCCGCAAGTGGGCATACGTACGAGGGTGAAGTAGAGTGTCATTATGGCGTCTGCCTGGCCTGGCTATGGCGGGCAGCGAACAAGCAGAGAAGTTGACTTGAAGCAACAGTACTGTCAAACGAACCCAGAGAACGAGTAAGCTGCAGGATCAGTCTTCGTCTTCGTCTTCTTTATATCTGGCTTCTTCTTCCTCGTCTTCCTTTTATATCGTTCGTTTCTTCACAACCAAAAGTTGGCAAAAAATCCAAAAAAAGAAACAAAAACAAAACGAACGTCATATCATGTGATCTAATATCATGTGATTGTAGGAAAATAGATGATCCGAAGCCCTAATGGATGTTCCAGAAAGGGACACAAACCCTAACTTTGACCCAAAACGGGCGAAGACGACGACGTCGATGATTTTACTAGAAGACGCAGCATAAAAGTAGAGATACGAAAGAGATCACCACGACAACGAAGGAGCAGACGGGGAAAAGACGCTGGAGGGACCAGCAGACGGGAGCGAACCAAAAGGGAGAAGTAGATGGCGTAGTCGTTCGAGCCGTCGCCACTATACTATTGGACCAGGGCATGACGTACCAAACAAGGACTGGCCGCCCGAGAAAGATGCATGCATGCAAGTGCGTACAAGAAACGACTTCCGAGGCATTTTCCTTTGCCTGGGAGCTCGAGGGTGGGTTGATAGGTTCTAAAACGGGCGATCCGGGCCAGGCGAAAGGGCGAGGGATAAGGTATGACAAAGCTGGAGGTGGAGGGTTTAAGAGTGCCGGATCCATGGAACCAGATCTGAGGTTGCTCCTTCGTCCCCGTCCCAAGGCAAATAGGATCGGTACGGAAGGATGTTGGCCTGGCTGTCAAACGAGCCAGCGAGCTGGTTGACTTGGGGTCTGGTGAGCGTCCGGCCTCCATTTCCCTTCGTATCGTATCGTGGCAGCGTATGTCGCATGGCAACCTAGAGAGACAGGGGTGGAAAGGAGGTTCGGAAGAGGATGAAACGGCCGTTTAGCATAGAAATCGCATGGCATAGCTTGTGCCTGGCCGTGGATAGCCCGTCCCTTGTGCTCGTACTCTTCTCTCGTCACAGCTGGTATCGCCTTCTGCATGTCTGCATGTCTGCGTGTCTGTATATCTGTATGTAGCTGTGTATGGATGGATGGACGTATGTATGTAGGGAGGCTGCAGTTTGCTCTCCCTTGCTCGAAGCGAACCGTGGATGTCGATTACGTCGAAGACTGGCAAACGGGAGCCTGCATTGGCCAGTCAAGGTCAAGCTGTATCCTCCCTCCAGCTGCTTGTTCACGTCCGTCTCCGTCATATCCCTCCTGATTCCTGTTTGTTGCCTCCTCCTGCTGCTGCTGCTGGTGCTGTTGATAAACAACCGCCCAGGCCTCGAGCGATCTAGCGGACTATCAGATTCATATAATGCAGGCCGGGATATGATATATCAACCACCGTCCGCTCGCCCTACCCATTCTCCATCTCGTCTTGCTCTGCTTCTATTCGCCCTTGGTCGTTAGTTTGGAGTTAGTTTCGTGTTAAATAAGTAATAAGAAGCCGGCGGATAATCCATTTCTGGCTCCACCGAGAGACTTACTTCAACGTCCGTCTTGTTCTTCCTCGTCGTCCCGTCTCTCTCGCTCTCGCTCTTTTTGCTCCTCTGGCTTGTCTCACGGCCTTCGCCTTCGTCTGCTTCGTCTGCTTCGTCTGCGTCCTGTCCACTGCTCGCTGCCTGCTGCCTGCTGCTCTCTGTCGCGCTGTTCTTCGGCTGCCGCCCTTCGCTGTCTCTGCTGCTCGGCCGCTGCTGACGCCGTTGTGGTGACTTTTGACTCCTCCGGGGGCCGCCCTCGACTTTGACATCAACACCAACAACGCCCGCCTCAGACCATCGCCTGCAACTACAACTTACAACCACAACCACGACTGCAACTACAGTCTTATCCTCTCTACTTTCTACGACGGCAAAGCGTGAGCGTTCTTGATGCTCGACTCGTCCGAGACTCCGCCTCCTCTTCACTTCTCACCGCCGTCCAGCGAGCAAGATCGCACCTCGACCCGCGAGTCCACCCCGGTTGGCACTCCCCTGGGCGTCGTCTCCAGCAACCCTCGCCGGCCTGAGCTGCTGCATAACCACCATCTGGGGAACCGCAAGGCGTCTGCTTCGTCTCCATTCTCTCCCTCGGCTGCTCACATCCCCGTGTTCGACGACGAGGACGAGGACGACTCGATATTCCCGCTGTTCCCGTCGTCGCCGCCAGACCACCAGCACCACCATCAGCAGCACCACCACCAGAGCAGCCACCAGAACCGCAGCCAGCACAGCCAGCACAACAACCCCAGCTACGGCCAGCGTCGCCACCATCGCTACAACAGCAGCCAGCATAGCGTCACCATGGATGGCCGCGCCATGCCCATCGACCTGTCCGCGAGACAGACCTCCAAATCGCCACCAGGGCAGCAGGCTTCCAACCTGACCTCGGCCCTCCAGAAGGCCGCTACCGGCGCTGCCGACATGTCCTCGAACTGGAACGGGGTCGCCTCGAACAACTTCATGTCCAACGCCGCGCGCAAGGAGTCCTTCAGCGCAACCATGGCCCAGTACTCGAACGGCAGCAAGCCCATCACCATGGTGGGCTCGAACCGAGACAAACCCCGGCGTGAGAGTCTTGCCGGCAGTCTTGTCGGCGGTATGAGCTGGGGAGGTGTTTCCGTAGGCAGCTGGATCAGAGATGAGTGCGTATCCCCTTATATACATGCACATCTCTCTCTCTCTCTCTCTCTCTCTCTCTCTCTCTCTCTCTCTCTCTCTCTCTCTCTCTCTCTCTCTGTATTACCGTGTTTTAATGGTAGCTAACCCCGGTTGTAGTATAATTATGACGGGAACTTCTCCCTTCACCCTCCAGTCACCGTCGTACCACTCGTCATCTTATCTGCCGAAGCTGGAAGCTAACTTTATGCGCGACTTCTCATGCTGTGGCATCACTCTCCCGTCACTACACGACCTACTCCAGCACTATGAAGAAGCCCACGCCCAGAGATCCCCGCAGCCACCACAACGGCCTGCGCAGTCAAATCAGACAGCTTCGTCAGATAACAGACCGGGCATCGGTGCCTCTCCGCACCCTTCACAGCCGAACCAGCAGCAGCCGAATATGGCCACTGCTCCGGGGCGAGCTGCTTCTTCTCAGCCAGGGACCCCTCGGCCGCATCATAGACTACCGCAGCAACCGCAACAGCCTATGATGCAGACTGCCACCGGGTTTGGCCAGCCACAGTCCAACGATATACCGGATATCGATAGTGTAGATGATATGGATATGGAAATGGATGACCCTCTCAGTGATAGTGGTTTCCAGCAACAGACTCACCAGCAGTCGCTCACTCAGGCCCGCTTTGCACAAGAGAATGGTGGAAGCAGGGTAACACCCCTAAATATGGGAATACTACAGGGCCAGCAGCGCTTCCGAAGTTCAGCACCCGGTACACCCGTTTCATCCGGTAGACCTCTCCACAACAACCCAACCGTCTCCTCTGTCAACACACCAACTCTTATGCCTCTTCCTGTTCAGCAACAACAGCAACAACAGCACCAACAGCAGCAACAACCGCAAGCGCCAAACCCCCAGTATACAAGCACGCCAGAACCCTCTGCTCCCGGAACACCTGCCGAGCTAGATGATTCCATCGTCGGCGGATTCGGTGACATGAACATGCAAGGAACGGCTACTCCTGTAGGGACTGGCCCGGGCCAACAACAGTTTGGCACTTTCGGAAGCAACGGAATGCTCGATCTTTGTATCGATGAGCCTGCTAAGCGGCTATTCAGGCCAAACACCGGGTTTGGTAATGGGAAGCAAGTACAGCAGCAACAGCAAACTCCTCCCTTCAGACTGGGTAACTCGCACTATGCTGCAAACAGTGAGATTGCTCAACATATCAGGGAACAGCAGAAACTCGCTGGTGTTCCAGATGTCACCCTTGCTATGAAGCCAGATGATGAGCCAAAGCCATTCAGATGTCCGGTAATAGGATGTGAAAAGGCATACAAGAACCAGAACGGTCTCAAATATCACAAATCAGTAAGTCGTGTTCTGCGCTACCATTCGTGTTTCTTTTTTTTTTTTTCCGTACGTTAGCTAACATTTCAATCACCAGCACGGCCATAACAACCAGCAACTGCACGATAATGCCGACGGTACATTCTCCATCGTCGACCCAGAAACATGTGCCCCTTACCCCGGCACACTAGGCATGGAGAAAGAAAAACCTTACCGCTGCGAAGTCTGCGGAAAGCGATACAAGAACCTCAACGGCCTGAAATACCACCGCGCACACTCGCCGCCATGCAACCCAGAATTCTCCTTCGCTGCTGCAGGCCGTGCCTTCAATACGGCCGGAGGTGTCATGCACGGAGATAACGTCAATATTGCCGGGGCCGGGCTAACGGGTATCGGGGAGTTAGAGTGAAATACACTTCCAATTCTCCCGACCTAAGGATTGTGATACCATAACATACCCTCTTTATACCCGGCCAGCCCGGACAATGGCCAACCACGGTAAAAAAAATACATTTCGACGATTACATTCGTAAATCGGGGGACTTGGAGTGAAATTGAGAACTGGAGAATCCGGAGTCCAAAAAAAATTACACGGGAAGGAAATCATTTATTATTACTGTTGAAATTGGCCGGGAAAAGCCTTGTTGAGTTTTTCTGTTTGCTTCTTTCGAACTTGTCTTGCTCTTTTTGATCCATTCCTCATTTTTGTGTCGAGTTCTTAGTTTTCTTTGCTTTCCCCCCCTTTTTCCTATTGTCTCTGGATCTCCTCCCTTTTGTTATCTCCCTGTCTGATTGATTGATTGATTGGATCCTGATTTGCGGTCATTTGGATATCCCCCCTTTCCCTCATGTCTGATTCATGGTTTCTACCCATCTCCTTTTGGCGATTGATATTGACTTATCCCGTCAAAACCAAATACGTTCCCTTTATTTGTTGTACATACCACCCCCTGTGATGCCTTTCCTCTCTCATCCTCCTTTCCAACCATTTTACGTGCCTTGAATGATTCAAAACGGCCTCTCCTACCAATCCTCACCCCACACGGCATCATTTCCTCCACTCTCCTCCTTTTTTCCTTTTCGTTCCTGCATATACTTCTTTTTCAATATTGTCCTTGTTAATTCGAGCTTTGGAGGCATGCCATAAACCCTGGACCCTGCCTGGGTTCCTGCTATACCCATACATATACCATACACCGAAATACCCATAGCGAAGCCAGCCAGTCTTCAGCCAGCCAGTTCAAACCATCCTCGGCATCTTGTTTGATTTCATACCTGTGCTGCGTTGTGTTGCTTTGTTTTCCTTTTACTTTCTACTTCTCCCCTCCCCCCTTTTTTTTGGCTTTACATCTTTGTTTAATTCAATTGCTGGATCTTGCTGATTTTTTTTGGTTTGTCAAATCATCTCCTTGCCCCTTATGCTTGCTAGTAAGGGGGTCAAGGTAAAGAGGACACGAAGGAAGGGCATGGAAAAAAAAAATCATCATGTATTGGGGTTTCATAAGGGTGGTTATTGCTAATTGCTGCTTGTCAGTGTGTTTGTGTATTTCATTGTCCCTTTATACTCTAAAATAGATCTCTAGGTGTGCTTCGTTTGCATGCTCTTCATTATACGCCTATTTTTTATCTACGTGTGCCTCCGTGTGTTTGATTACTCTTCCGTAGTCTCGTTGTATTTGGCCTGCTACTTCGTTGTCCAGCCAATAGTTAAACGCGGCCTTGATGGTCCTCCACTCCCTTACATTCTTTATGGTTCGCTACTCAGTAACTCTGCTAAACTTGCTATATCTTGAGAGCTGTCTAGTTGTTTCCGTATGATGTCAAAGTAAAAGTGCAGCCTTTATCAATCTTAGCCAGAAGAAATTCCTTGTTACTACTTGTTTAACTGTGGAGTTCATAAGGGAAGATAGAAAAGCATAGACCGAAGCCAAACACCGGCGTCATTTGCATAATTGACTCAAAGGTAAACTGTACATTTGAACGTCATCATGTCATATTCCTTTTTCTCAATTTATGGGTACATGGGTATGCAGAAAACTAGAAAGCCCCTTAACAGGTAAAGTCGTGGCCAAGGAGGTGGTCCTTTTCTAGACACTGTGCCGCGGATGGAAAGAGAGACAAGTAACAAAGTATGGATACAGAATGGGGAAAAGGATAAAAAAGGAACCGTTCTCTCGCCGCCGAAAGTAAGACAACGAGGCACTGTCGGCAACCCCAATCTATTCTTCGGGCGACTGCTCGGATGGAGATTAATACCATTCGAATTCTCCCGTTCCTTTGTGAAATACGTATCTGCTCGAGAGGTTAGAGAAAAGATATATTGGAATGTTCGGAAGGAAGCGGAAGAAGAAACGCACTCTTTGCCATCGGAAGTTAATATGCCGTCTTTCAAAACACACTTCCATTTGCTTTTGACACGCTGGACTTTGTCGTATGTGCAGAGCATTACCTGGCCAACTGCATCGTCCTCACCTTGATCTTCATCTAGTAAGTCATCAGGGTCATCGAGATCGGAGTTGATAGCATCTTCGTCATCGTCCTTTTTGACTGGATAGTCGTCCGGTCCATCGAACTGAGGGTGTGATGGAGCTTCAGTTGTTGTATTAGACGTTGGTACTACGGAAGACGCTCCCGTCTGGTTTGACAAGCTGTCTAGGTCATCGAACTTGACGATTTTGCGTTTCTTTCCATTAGCGTGGGGGTATCGTTCATGCAAGGGAGCCAGAAGGCCGCCGCCTTCCAGTTGAAGGTTCCGAGACTCGACCAAATCTCTAAGACGGCGGTCATTTTCGGGACCGTTTTTGGCTGCTGCTTCTCTCCGCCATTGAACTTCTGCTTTCCAATCTGACAAGTCATCGCTTGCGCCATCCGTCTGTGAGTTCTGAATACCTGTTTGGGGTAGTCTTTGGGGTTGGGTCTGTTGTTGGCCCGGCGCTTGACTTTGAGGCTGAATCTGGGCCTGTGCCTGAGGTGGCCTAAAGTCTTGAGGTTTCGAAGTGCTCATGGGTGGAGGATTGTAACGCGGTTGCCCGCCGGGAAGGGATAAGGCAGCCTGAGAGTGTGACTGCAGGTGCTGAACCTGATTGGCTGCGGCATTGCCATACTTCTGGTGCAATGCGTTGGCAGCCCGCTGCTGAGCTAGAATTGTGCCAGCTGGGGGCCCTGGGGGTGGAGGAGAGAAGCCTCCTTCGGCTTTAACAAAAGTATCGCCGGATGCATGGTCATTAGCAGACTGTAGACCAGCATGCTGGGGTATATGACTCTGTTGTTGTTGTTGTTGCTGCTGCTGCTGTTGCTGCTGTTGTTGCTGCTGTTGTGGATGGAGTTGGGGTTGGGGGTTCATTCGGGCATCATTTGAAGGGATAGTAGTGGGTGGAGGTATAGGGGACTGCTGCTGTGGAGCCTGGGGCTGCGATACAGGCGGCTGGGGTGCAGGATCCCACGGAAAATGTGCAACCCCAAGGGATGACAACTTCGACTGCCAGCCCTATACATCAGTCAGCATAACATATCATCAACTGTCGCCTTCTTCTCTTCTCGTCTGCTTCCGCTTCTGCTCTCTCATATCCAAGAACTTGAGACTTAGATATGCTGACTAATAACATTAGTCACCAGCTAAAGCGGCAAGATGGACAGGATAAAAGCGGCGGAAGGAACGCCCCGAAAAGGCAAAAAGGCGGCAACAGGGCGCTTTAAAAACAGCGCGGCCGCCCGCCTTCGCCTCCCCAACGTCAGGTCGCGCAAGGGAACGAGGCCGGCTTTTCCGCGCCCACGAAGAGTCCCGGACAAGGGCTGTGGGAAGCCAGACGAAAGAGACAGAAAATACCGACCTTTCTTAGCTCCTCAAGAGTGTGCTGATCGACACCGCTTTCCTCGAAGTCGATCTGTGAAGAATCGCATACTTCCTGGATCACTCGGTCAAAGACCATGCCCTAGATGGACGGAACAGAGTGAGCAACTGTTCACACACGACCCGGCCGTTTCGCCGACTGAACGACCAGCCTGTCGACTGACAGTCAGTCGCAGTTACTCACCACAAGCTGGTTCGACATCTTGCGAGAAACGTTTGGTAGAAAATTGACAGGCGGCAAGGATGATAAGGAGAAGGTTACTGTCTGGCGTCTAGGATGTTGGCGCTACCGGCGAGGAGGACAGTTAAAAGTGAGGCGAGGATGAGGCGCGCTGCCTTGAGCAAGCGAGCTGTGATTGTAGAGACTTGTAGAAGTGAGCGGCCGTTGTTATTCTCGTTGCTTGTCCTGTTCCAACTAGGCTGTATTGCAGGCAACGAGCCGCCACGCCGAAATCACCTCCCACTCAACGGTGACCGGCACTTCCGCGCCGTCTGTAGCAAGCTGTTTGTATACAAACTGGTGTGAGAGAGGATTGTAACTGTTTATCTTGTATTTCTAGCGTGTGGTCGGCGATTTGACCTCGATCTCGGGCTCCTGGGGCGGTTTGTTGGTAAAGAAAGGAAAATCAACTTTATAGAAGAATTCTATCACCACCAATCCATCTCTGAGTGCACAACCTCACTCCGCTGTTGTTTAGCTCGGTGTAAAATGCAACGATGAGCTTGACCAGCGACACGCTGATGGCTGCATTGTGAATGGCGGTTATAACGTCTGTGAGTGGTATGAATCGAGAGAGAAAGAGTGCTGATGCAGCTTGCTTGAAGGTGAAGGGGCCGTGAACAGCTAGTTACAGTTACTCCATAGCTACGCCTGGAAGCTGCTAGAAAAGGGGGGTGAGTTGCGCATGGAATGGCTATTAAACTAATATCTAGTGATAGTATGCCTATGAGATCAGGGTGAAGGATTCATCGCTGTCCTTATCACTACCAGTATCTCCATCACGGTCATCATGTCCGTCGATACCATTGTCACTGCCACAGTAGACCGTCTCTGGATCACGGTAATCTGGAGTCATCAAGATACTGTCCGCTAAGCAAATTTCGAGGTCCTCATGAGTTTCACCCCAATGTGATAATAGTCTAAAACTTGCCTCGAAGGTCATCCCATAGTAAAAGCGTTTTGGAAGAATGGAGCCAGAGACGTTCCGGGCAAGACTGGGCAGCATACTGCGATCGAGATATCCCCCAGGGATGCTCCAAGGATGTCTGACTGCTTCTACTTCTCGAATCCAATTTAGCTGCCCGTGCCGCTTGATCATGAGATATGTCATGATAAATCTAAAATAGAGATACCGCTTGGCTGGACGGTTGTCGTTCAGAAACTTAATCTCCCGCCCATGAAGCGCCTGGGAAGACCTCATGAATCAGCGCCTCTCCCTAGCTGTGCGCGGAAGATACGGCCAGAACTTACGTTCCAAGTAACCCCCGGAGAGACGGTTTCGTCAAGAAAATCCGTATCTGTCACGATCAATTTCCACTTGACTTCTTCGCCTGGTGCTGAATCGGGGACAATCACGATAAACCCAGTATTCAGTGCTTTGCTGACATTTTTATGCAGAAGGAGTGCTAAATATCTACCTGTTAGCCTTCAACGTGCGCATGGGGTTGCATACACTCATTGGACAACTCACTATTTCGTGGCTCGTCTATATTGACGTTTGTTGTCCCAAAAAGACATGCAATTGCGTTGGCATCTAATCCTTCTGGTACTAAATGGGTAGCTGTGACTTCATCATACATTGTCCAGCCCAATGCATGGCAATATCCCTGAGTCTCCAGAGCAGTGACTCTTTTCCCGGCATAGAAATCGTCAGCTAACCTCCGGAGCTGCTTAGACATATACTTTCTATTGAGCTCCTTTCCAGGAGCGATGGCAGCTTTACCAACGATTGCATTCATGTAGGCAGCATTAATGTCTTTATTTCTCAGTAAAACTTCTTGCATGTCCTGCGTAATGATACGCTTCTGTCGACCTATGGCTCTCAATTCTGAGACCATCAGAGCAGACTGCATGCTAAGTTCACGGATATGAGACTTATATTCGAGGCTGGACAGATGTCTGAACCGGTATAGCGCACGTATTGCAGACTTGCAGTGTTCGATATAATCACTTTCTATAACCAAATTATCGGTTTTAGATATTAAGAAGTCTTCAATATCTGATGGATGAGGCACTGATAATGCTCGATGGAGATTTCTCTTTGACTTGGCTAGTTTGGCCCAGTTAGCATCCGACAGTAGAGGTTCATACTTCGAGGGCAAATATTCTTTAATTTCAGGCATTGTAATGATTATCGGAGTGCATAAAGTAGCCGAAGCGATAGAGGTGCATCCAGTTCCAACCCCAGGATTCCGTTGAGGTATTGATATGTACCGGGGCGGAAGATAATATTGATGGTGATACTGGGTACATATCTAACGACTAGATAGATATTTGAAGACGACCAAATGGTACAAAGATATCTCTCTTCTCGGGTGGCCCATAAAGCCAAGAGGACCTGATAATTAATTTGTTGTGGCAACCTATATTGCGTAGTGGAATGGTAAGCTAGCCACGCCTCTAAAAGTGCAAAACACGAAGTATAATTGAAAACTACTTATAGAAGTCTTATACGTGCCACAATGATGGATCACTACTAGTTGTGAGTGCCTGATAGTTGGGACATTGACCCATGATTCTCTATATCTAGCTAGTGGGGAAAAAGCATAACAACCAGCCACTGGTATAAAATCAGGGCAAATCGTTAGAACTCCCGAAAAACAAATCAGCATCCAATGACAACGAAATTTATTCGCAATATGAATACAAAGATAAAGAAATGCTGATACCATCTTCAGAACCGCAGTGTATGCCCAAGGGGATGATTTTCCCCTCTCCCCGTGCAAAAACCAAACTTCCAGAATCACCGCCTTCTGCGAAGGGTTGCGCAAGAGACTCCCACTTAACATAGAGACTGTAGAGATAATCTTCTGTATTATCACGACTGACTTGGAAAAGCGTACCCTCGGTATATGAGGTTGCTGCGCCATATTTATAAACCTGGAAGGGGTTTATCCGAACATATTCTTGAAGTGCTGTTATATCGCCTAGCTTGGGATCTCGGGCGACCAATTCCGGATCGTCTGTAACGTCAGGGTCGGGATTAAAATAATTACAATTGATATTTTCGAATCTCAATTGTAAGGCATCGGGGGGTACTTCAGTAGTGTCAAGGAGACACAATGTGTGCGGTCGAGGGTTGTAAGGTTTCCCGCGTCTAAACTGTGGTGTCCCTGCTATTCGTTCAAACTGACGAACGATCTGCAACATGTAAGTGTTGGCACTCTCAGAATCTTCGACTTTTATACAAGGGGCATCATCCACGACATGTCCAGCGGTGGCTATCACGAGCCTCCGCGGGCCAAGATTTTCAAGCACCCCTATGAACCCAATGGTTCCATATGAAAAAAATCTCATTGAGATTTAGAGAAAAATGTTCAGGGACTATGATCATACAGTCTGCTTGCACGCTCTCGAGTTGTATATTGCTTGGTTTCCGCTGAATCAAAACTAGAATTGGCAAGTCTCGTAATTCTGGGGGAACAACAGGTTCTGCTCCGTCCCAATATATCTCATGGACTAAGCGCTCTGGGGATCCAGTGAGCCCAATAGACTCTGTATGAGCTCTATAAGTAACCGGAACCCGTTAATTAGTGCTCATGATTCATAGAATTAACAGAAGCATATCACCTACGAAGGAAAAATTGCGAAGCACGAAGGAGCGATGGAATCTCTCAACACGCTTGCAGCTACACTTTTGGTAACAGTGGCCCCTTCGAATGTCTTCGGGACAAACTTGAACACAAACTCGTCTGTCCAAGAGATGTTGTTCCCCACGCGATTCTCATGCATGAAAAGAAGAACGTCTCGGAGACCCGCCGCGTTCAAGCGAATACTACTGGCTAGACGACGCTTTCTCCTGTGGCGGTCGAACGTGCCTTTTTGACCGGGCCTGTCGTCTGGGGTCCAAAGGGCTGGACGATCGTTCGCGTCTGCTGGTATTGAGAACTCTGTGGCTGGTGTTGCGGAAGACATAGTAATGGATAATGTATCTTCACGCGACGACCGCTGCGACGAAGAAGATGGAACCATGGTAGCGCGGTGTATCCTCAAGGAGGATGCAGTGGTGGTTTATATTCGTTTTCTGAGAGTCAGTGTCGTCATAAAGAGGAAGGTTTGTATGTTCATCGAAAATGTGGATGTTATTAGTTATAGCTAGCGGCTAAACTTAAACTCAAATGCGTAACCACACCAACGCCGATAGTTAAAAGAAAGAAGATGAAGACCCAACAGAGACTAAGAATAATAAGACAGAAACATGCAAATGCCTAAGACGACAGCGCCACACGATATATGCAAGTGACATGTTTGAAACGCCGGAAGAGGGTATCGCCCGTAAAGAATTGAACCGACGCCATTTTGAATACCGTGAGTGCATAAGAGGGTTAGTAGTTAGTTAGCGGAACACACTTTGTTCGTCTATCGGATGGTCATCTGCTTTGCCATCTTGCTTCCCTTGCTGCTGAGACCGGCCTCTCTGGTGGCCGAGGCGGCGGTGCCTGGCTTGCGCTCGAAGATCTTCCAGAACTTCAAGCTCTCGTCAGCAGCGGCGGTGGCCAGCATTTGGCCGTCGGGGCTGAGGCAGCTGTGGAGGACACGGGTCTCATGAGCTGGGATCTCGACATTGCGGACGAGAGATGGGTAGCTCCAGATACTCAGAGAGTTGTCTGGGAAGCCGCTGGAGCTGACAAGCTCGCGGTAGTGGTTGCTCCATCGGAGACTGGTGACCTGGGAACCGGTGTCGATGCTGTTGGTGCGGGCGCCGGTGGTGGTGTTCCAGAAGTGGATGTGACGGTCATAGGAGCCACCGCCGGTAGCAAGGAGATTCAGTTGCCATGGGCACCAGCTGAGGGCCTTGACGGCAGCACGGTGGTTGGTCTTGGTGAACTTGGGAGCTGATAGAGACCGAGAGTCCCAGATTGAGACGAGGTTGTCGTTTCCACCGGTAGCCAACTGGGCACCGTCAGATCGCCATTCGAGACCACAGACTTCTGAGGTGTGAGAGACGAGCTCAGCAGTCTTGTGCTGGGCGATGCGGACGTCGTGGTTGAAGACGAGGCCGCTTCGAGCACCAGTGGAAAGTGTGTGTTTGCTCCAGCCCATAACACCGACACGGGTTTCATGGCCAAACATGCTTCGGAGCTTGGTACCTTCTTCGACATCCCAGATCTGGACTTCACCAGTTCCGAGACCAACACCAACATATGCTCCATCACCACTCCACTTGACACTGCTCACGTATGTGTCTGAAGGGCACTCAAGGAGACTGCTTACACCACCAGAATCTGCTGACCAGACGTACACATTGCGCTCCAAACCGATAGCTACCTGGTTGCCGGAGCTCCAGTCCAGCAGGTTGAGGTAATAGTCATCAACCAGTCCTGGGGCATCTAGAACCCGGTCAGGAGCAGTCTGAACTCGTCGACGGAATTGAGCAGTTTGCGCAGTTGAGTGCTTGAGTGGACGGTTGTATTGCGAGCGAAGGTCGATTGGTTTAGAGGATTCAGGGGCAGCAGGCTTGAACTCTAGGATGCGAGTTTTCAAGGAGACACCACAGGCATCAGCGAGAGAAGACTTGTACGCAATAGCCTCCGGATCCGGACGTGAGTAGCTGCTGCTGCCACTGCTGCTGGTGGTGCTATCGTTGTCGTTAATGCCAAGCTCTCCAAACGCCTCAGCAAGATCGTCGTCACGGCTGTGGCCGTTGATATCGAAGGCGCTGGCAGCATTTGCCAGAACGGTAGAGCCCTCACCACTGCTGGTCTTGGGTCTCTGGGTAGCCCCGTCGGACTTTGCACTGCCTGCAGTGACTAGACCCTCGCTGGTGCTGCGGTTAGGAATGAACCTGTCAGCAACAGTGTGGGGGAGACGGACGGTAGTCTTAGTTGGCTTTGACGCTCTAGACCTGGTGGTAGTCGACTCCTTCTTTGATGCTCGCTTCTTGCTTGGCGTCTGAGACTGCGCTGGGCCAGTTCCAGTGAGAGTCCAGTCCGATACCGCGGGCTCAAGGTGGCGTGGCTCTTGTCTGACGCGGGCAATATTGGACTTTGGGGAGTCCCGGTAGTTACCCTTGGAAGCCTGTCGAGTTTTGGTCACTGACTTGGCGAAGTGGGAGGCAAGGTTGCCATTGCCATAGACGGACTGGGAGCTTGATCGAGCACCATCACCCGTTTGACGAGGTGGAGTGAAGGGAGATGCATCATCCTTGGATAGATTTCCTGAGAAGCTGGCGTTTCTGGCGCGGGGTGAAGGAGTGAGGGGGATGCGGCCGCCAGCGGTCTTTGTAGAGAAGAGGCCGTGATGGCTCTTGATGGGGGTGCACACAGTAGCAGTAGACATTGCGTGTAGATGTGAAAAGTTATACAGTTGGTGGGAACGCAAGTAGGGAAAGAGGTAGAATTCAGGTCGCTTTTTTTGATAGAGCCGATCTATATAGGCCGATGCAAGGGTAACTCTGCTCCAGTAATGCAAGTACGTATAGCAAAGAGATGCAGAGTAAAGGAGATAAGTCGTCGACAAGACTTGAAAGAGATACGAAGGGAGAAATAAGGGTGAATGAGGATGAGGACGAGGATGAAGAAGAAGAAGAATTGAAGATGAAGTTGAGCTCCAGGAGTTCTTTTATTTACATTTCACCGTTTCCAGGGCAACGTCTGCCAAGCCACACTAACCGTTGTCGGACTAGCGGTAACTAAAGTTTTTCCACGCCGCATAAGTGGATCCGCCAAGCATGGCCCCTGAATGTCACGTGTTTGGTTCAGGTGGGAGAGCATAGAGCTAGGCTTAAATCCGGCGCCTTGATATGAGCTTCCAAACCACCAATATAATGGTGTTCTACCATTTATGTTTAATAACCACATATTACTTGGTTACCCTCATAACTTTGCATATGTTGATCTCGATCTTTCAAGCCTGTTTTTCCAAATCTAAAAGAATATTTCCTGGTAGAACATTCTCACCAGAGCTGCCTCAGCAGGCCAAGGTTCTAAAAAGCTCTCGAATCTTTCTGGCCAATCGTCGTCCCAATGAAAATGTGTAAATGAAATCGCATAGTCCCAGTAACTTGGATACCAGCCTGCGTATTCCCAGTCCACCAGTGCAACAATATAATCGCACTTCTCTGGGGTATGTTTGTTAGTTTTGTGAATCATGATATTCTTTCTATAGTTCTCAGAGTGCGAAAATGGTCGGTGGCCTGAGAGTACACGAGAGAGGTGGCGCTCGTAGAAATCGGACTTGTAGCTGTATTTTTTTGTTGTAGGTATAAATGCTACGGAGTTTGCCGGCTATAGCGTTGTTCACTTCGTTTTCATGAAGAAAAGGCCCAGATATACTCTGGTCCGCGGGATGTGGGTAGAAAAAATGATGAGGCATACAGCCTTTGTCAACGCTGCCGTAGAAACCAGGCGAAGGTAGAGAGTGCATCCCGCGAACATGTCCTTTAACCTGGACATAATATGCGACTTCTCATCATCAGAGAGCGCTTTCCAAAGTCCGTCCAAATATTCTCCTTCGAGGAACTTCATAATAAGGAACAATCTATCATCCGCATCCCGATACATGGCATAGAGCCGTGGCGCGCAGACAATGTTGTGCAAGTTATGCTCAACAAACAGAAGATTGTGTCCCTCTACTTCACTTGTGTCCTGGCCATATTTGACAACAAAATGCTGGCCAACTCGTAACATCTTCTGTCCAAGGCGATCTTTAAGAAGTGTCATGGACGCCATGATCTCATCTGTAGTAGGGAGTGGTGCGGGTAAGCCATATGTATCGCGGAAATATGGGAGTTCTACAGGAGTCCACATCTTGACAGCGGTTCTCTCGAAGTACAGAATGGATGGAGTAATAGATTCATCAATCCAAGGCCGACTCCGCAAAGTGCCGATTCCAACAGGACTGAATTGCCAACATTTGCTGTAACGGAGATAGCAGGCTGATCACAATCCTGGGATCGCAGGTAGAAGTAGCCTTCCAGGTAGTTCAACTTCACAGCCAAGCTCCAAAAGTCCAAATCCTGGCTCACGCCATTGGAAAAAATTACAACTAGTATATTCGAATAAAAACCAAGATAAGGATGTATAAGTGCAGGTACCTACAGAGTACCTATGTCGTGGGAAGGGAGATGATAGAGCCGCGGTCGTGCCGCAAGGCTTAAATGGTGACTAATAATACACGTGATCTACCTTTGCCGCCGCGCTTAAGTAATCGCGCGCTTTTCTAACTTTTTTTCTTCTTTTTTCCTTCTGGTGATATCATCCCATCGTCCTCTGCCCTATGCAACCTTGAGAGACAGCGGCAGGGCCTGAACTTGTTTGAAGCGGCCAACATCCGACGTCTGATGCTGTGGGCTGAGTTCTGACCAGTCTGTTGTCCGTTAAAAGTTTTACGTGACTATTATTCCAGAGTAGCTGCTAAAACAGCCCCATATCGCCCAGCATGTCATTCTCCATGGCCCCAAATGGGGCTGGGTCTCAGCAGCCAGCCCACCTCTCGTTGAACAGCAACGCTGGTGGTTTGTCTAACAACACTGCCCCTGGCTTGAATCGTCCCCCCAACCAACACTCTTCCAACTACCACCTCAACGGCACTTCGACACCCACCTACCTCATGCCCACTAGCCCGCCTAAGAGTCGCCGCGGAAGCAGTGACGGTAGCAGCCCTAAGCTGGAGACTGCGGTTGGACAGGTCCCAATCTGTCTTGTAAATGCTTCCATAACGTACTGCGGAAATAATGAGATCTATGCCTTTGGAGGCTTCGACCAGGAGACGGATGAGGGTTCGTTTAATCCCATTGGTCTATCATAGCTTACAATCACGCCTGGCTCCTAACATCCCTGTCTGTTGATTTCTAGTCTACAACCACGTCTTAAAATTAGATCTCACTACCCGGAGATGGGCTCTAGTTGATAACTTCGGGGACATTCCTGGAGTTCGCATGGGTTAGTCCTTCAGATACTCTTGCCGTTTATCTCTACTCTGTCTCAAGTGGCTAACACTAGTGGTTTCTCCCCAGGACATACCGCGTCTTTCTACCAGGGTGACAAACTTATCGTTTTTGGAGGAGAGAATGAACGTCCTGAACACCTTAACGACGTTATTGTATTTGATATCAAAACTGCAACCTGGACATCGCCCGAAATCCGAGGGAAACCCCCACGAGGAAGAGCTCGACATGCATCCGTCATCTACGAAGATAAACTGTTTGTGATCGGCGGTGTAACAGGGGAATCAAACCTTATACTCGACGATATCTGCTATCTCGACCTCAAAACATGGACGTGGTCCCGCACATGGAGGTTTGTGGCTCGCTTCGACCATGCTGCATGGGTATGGGGTGGTCGTCTCTGGGTTTTTGGTGGACTGGGTGCGGATATGGAGCGATGCACAGATCTGTGGTGGCTGGATCTCAAGGGTACCCCATCACTCGAGAGAATCTCCTCGACAGAGCAAGGTATTATGACGCCAAATTCATCCCAGATAATGGAAACCACCTACTAATCAGTTTAGACTCTCCAAATAATACTCCGCCAACGACTGGACGGTTGAACAGTTTCACTCCCAATGCCGCTAACACCCAGATCCGATCAGCAAATTCTCGTCGTAAACCGACTGCACCAGGTGCCATATCTTCCCTCAAGTTTCACTCAGGACCGTATGTACCGGCTCTACGGTCTGGAACGCACTTCCACGTTTATTCATCGGGCCTACTCCTCGATCTCGTCACACCCTCCGAAACAGTCAAACCCTGGGAATGTAACCTGTCCACCATGGAGATGGACTCCCTACGCTGGCAGAAACTAGCAAGTGGCCAGGAGATATTCCCGGTTGAAAACCGCTGGCATTACTGTACCATTGATGAAGCCGGAAGTACAGCCTGGCTGTTTGGCTCCAGCTCTGGAAACTTGGACCTTGGGGGAGATAACCGACTCGATGCCATACTTACTATCGATCTTGAAAAGTACGGGGTATTGGGCCGGGAAGCTACGGAGCAGAATCGCATCCTTGCCTCCGAGCGGCAAAATACCCTGAGCAACCTCGGTGCTGGGCTTGCTTCGGTCTTTGACCAGCCCCCAGAGTCTGGTTGTGGGTCAGATTTCATTATTACCGCAGATATGGACGATGCTGAATTCTCGTACGGCCAATCTGAAGGGGACGAAAGAGCGCCAGAATTTCTGCCAGAGGATGCTGCAAGATCTCCGCCGATACACGTTCATCGCATCATACTGTATGCCCGATGGCCTCACTTCCAACGCCTTTATGCTGCGAAAATGGCAGAATACCACACGAACAGAATGCACATACCAGAGCCCTACCGTGTCGTCAGAGCATTTCTCTACTATCTATACACAGATTGTATCTCTGGGGATTCTGAAGTCAGCCCCAGCGTCCTCGAGGTTGCAGGCATGCTAGTGATGGCAAATATGTATGACATGCCAAAACTTAGACTTCTTTGCGTGAACCGCCTTAGCCGAGAACTCGATGTCGATACTGCAGCTATTATCTGGGAACGAGCTGGCCGCACTGATGAAGACTGGCTCAGGCGCCGTGCTGCTTCCTTCTGTCTTGCAAACTGGGGTAGAATCGTTCGCAGCGAAGGGTTCCGCTTGCTCAGCAAACAGAGTATGATCGACCTCTGCGAGGTTGTCGACACCGAAGCTCGAATTCTGACTGGGCATGAGGCTGAGTTGCGTGATATCCTCGCGGAAAGATACGACGCCACGAGCCCAAGAAGACCACGAGTGGCCGTTGCTGCAGGAGGACTGGAAGACGACCTTGACATCGACGAAGAGGACGGCATGGAAATCTCCTGAACCCACTATTTATGACCTTAGACATTTGACGGAGTTTTGGGACGGCTGCCTTTTTTTTATCTGCGCGCTGGTTTGATACCCTCAAAGCAGGATTGAGGATATCGTATCCTTCTTTCCTTCTCATATGCATATACGGTAGCAAAAATAGACTATTGACTGTTTGCATCTTAACCCGCCTCACCTACTCATTCATGTATTTGCATATAGATAGAATAGATAAACTTTTACAGTGCAATTAATGGCTTTTGACTGCCGTCGGTTCTCGGAATATTTAAGGTTTGACCCCCAGAAAGCAAAGGTTAAATAAATCTCTTCGTTTTGTATAAAAATCGACCAAGCAACCACATCTTCGCCCACGACTGCGCTTCAATTATTTAACGAGCGCAAACCAACGTCCTAGACGCTGGTTGATGTCGTCTATCTGAATTAAGGATGTCCTCCGATGTGCAAAAGTCGGCGCCTTCTGGTGCGCTAGAGCCGGAAGCTTCAAAGGGACGACCGCTCGAAAGCGCCAGTGATGGAACACGCGACGATACTGAAGGACCGCCATCGAAGAGAGTGAAATTGGACGATGAATCGCTAGCTACTACTTCTCTTAAGCCTAAAGATAGCTCAGAGCGAAGAAAGGGGCTGGCGCCAATAAAAGCAGAGTACTTATATCCCTCCGCTTCGTTACCTCATGAAAGCAGTGCTAACCGGAATCATTCGTAGATACATTATAACATTCCCTAAAGACGGATCCGATGCGCCAGCTAATAATAATTCAGGGCGAGATGACGACGCTGCTGAGGCAGCTGGGTACAACGACCGAGACGGCGAGGGCAAACAGGGCAAGAAACGCCGCGAAAAGCAAAAGGGCAAAAATACAAACCGTCGCTTTCAGAGATCGCATGATGAGAAGGGTCTATGCGGAACCATTACACATAACCCAGAATTCTCGCCAAAACCGTGCCAGTATGGTGATAATTGCAAGTTCGAGCACAATCTACGCAAGTATCTGAAGGAGCACAAAAAGGCGGATCTAACAACTTTTGGCGGAATTTGTCCTGTCTGGGATGCCTTCGGTGTATGCTCTGCAGGCTGGAGGTGTCGGTTTGTTGGGTCGCATATGGCTGAGCGAGAACACGAGGACGGAAGGAAAGAGCTGATTTTAGTTGAAGATGAAGAGAAGAAAAAGAAGGCCCTATCATCTTCAGCGACTACCTCCTCGATTAATGCCACAGAATTGGGAGTTGTGAACCTGGTATCAACGGAGAATAAACAGTTGATGACAAGGAAGAAGTACCTGACACCTAAGGCGGATGCGTTCAATGATTGGATCACGGTGACGTCTAAGGAGCTGGAAGAGCGATTTCACGGGCGAAACTTCGAAGAGGAGGAAGCTGACGGTAAAGAAACAAACGGTAAGGAAGAGACAAACGGCAATGGCGAGACCAAGGCAAAAGAGAGCTCTGAAGAGAATAGAGCTCGATATACAGAACCGCCTTTTCTACCGTCAGAAAAGAGAAGACTTTACTTTGGACCCGAGACGCCTGTCCTTGCACCATTGACGACCCAGGGAAACCTGCCATTTAGGAGGCTGTGTGTTGAGCTAGGCGCCCAGTTTACATACTCTGAAATGGCCATGAGCCTGCCGTTGATGCAAGGCACCAAGGGAGAATGGGCGTTGATGAAGGCCCATGAATCTGAGATTTTACCCCCAACAATATCACCCAAGCAACCCGTCGTTAAGGGATACGATCACTCTCGCGATCTCAAATTTGGAGCCCAGATTGCAGGAAACAGGCCATGGCAAGCATTGAAAGCTACGGAGATCCTCACCGCTCTCTGTCCGCATCTCCGTGTCGTTGATCTCAACTGTGGTTGTCCAATAGATCTCGTTTACCGTGATGGAGCCGGCTCTGCACTTCTGGAACATCCGTCTAAGCTGGAGAAGATCCTCCGTGGTATGAATGCAGTTTCAGGGGAAGTCCCCATCTCTGCCAAAATCCGCATGGGCACAAAGGACAACTATCCCACTGCGCTCAAGCTAGCGGAGCGTCTGGTTATCGGTGGTTACGAGTCCAACGAACTTGGACAAGGGCCAGCGGGTATCGGCGCACTCACTCTGCATGGAAGAAGCCGTCAGCAGCGGTACACGCGTGAAGCCGACTGGGAGTATATATCCGAATGCTCAGCGTTGGTCAAACGACTTAATACAAAGAGAGATGAGGTCTCTGATACCGTCCGGGAGCCAGATGAAAGACTTCTACCGCCAGGAGGGAAAGTATACTTTATTGGAAACGGAGACTGCTACTCACATGCAGATTACAACACTGCCATTGACAAGTCTGGCGTTGACAGTGTAATGGTAGCACGAGGTGCGCTAATCAAGCCTTGGATCTTTGAAGAAATTCAAGCCGGTCAATACTTGGACAAATCGTCCTCTGAGCGACTAGCGTATATTGAGCGCTCCGTGAAGCACGGCCTTGAGGCATGGGGATCTGACGAGCACGGAATCGGAACCACAAGACGATTCTTGCTGGAATGGCTGAGCTTTACTTGCAGATATGTTCCAGTCGGTATCCTGGAATACCTTCCGCCCAAGATCAATGACCGGCCCCCTGCATGGAGAGGCCGTGATGATCTGGAGACACTGCTCTCAAGCGACAACTATCTTGACTGGATCAAAATTTCGTAAGTGACCAAAACACCTTACCGCTATTCCATGCGTTGCATGCACCCGTTTTTTTCTTTTCGTTGAAGAAAGAGTAGTCACTAATGCATCTTCCCTGTATGCAGTGAAATGTTCCTTGGCCCAGCGGACAAGGACTTCAAATTTACTCCCAAGCACAAGTCAAACAGCTACGATGTTGCGGAGGGTTAGAGTGGCGGTGGCCCCTGGCCATTCACTTACTTGCAGGCAGCCGAGATATGTCACTGCTGCTGGATCCCGCTGGACAGGTACAGGTGAATGTTGACGGTGAAGCCGGCTTGAGTAAATTAAGAGACCACGTCACTGTGGTGGCAGGCTAACTTGATAGACATTGAATGACAGACCATTAATCACTGCTTGACTTGACATTCACTGACCGTAGATGCCGTCTATATAAACCCCCTGAATTCCCCCAACTTCTCAAATCCTTTTTTCTTCCTTTTTTATTTCTGACCACAGGAAACTGCCTCCCTTCCTCCCTCTCCCTATTGGGTTGCAGGTATGTGTTTGCCGTCCCCTTGTCGGGGGATACAGCATCACTTTGCATGTCCATGAAATTCACTACTTGCCCTGCTTGTTGCTGCTTCGACCAGCACTAGAACCATGCCCTGCAACTCCTTGTTTCCCAGGGGATTCTTTAGACACATTGATATCAAAATCCCGGAATATATTCGTTTGGGCCGGGGAGGCAGTATGATTCAAGGGCTTTTTTTTTGGGAGGATGCCCATCCGGAAGACTGCCCCCCCCCCCCCCCCCTTCCACATCCACATGGCGCCCAAGGACCCTTTCTGGCTGGATATTTAGAACGGAGACACCATCCGAGATATGGAAGGCATGCGTTCTTTGCTAGACAGTTCCGCCGTCGACTTTGTCTCTAAGCCCCAATGGTGTCGAGATAGGATGGCTTGTCATGAATCTTCCAACCAGAGACACCATAACCAGGACCTCACTCCCTTATGCGCTGCCTCGCTTCTTGTTGACCCTATCCACTCCAATTCTGGTTGATGATGGCTGTTGCAAAACCACTGGCCGATATCTCTGGCTGTCCTACCAATCTATATGAATCTTATCATTGAGGGGGTTCATTAGAAGGCCGCAGGTCCACTCTGTTGAGGGCAACGGTCCTCTAGCAAATTATGTTCGATCTGCTCATTGAAGAGATCAACTATCTACAAGCCCCGAGCATGGAATACACAAGCTTCAGTCGATGTCAGTTGCCAGACCAACAATGTAACAAAAGTCCTATCACAGTGCAATATCTTCTAGGCGATACTTGGTTGTCCGCGGAATTAATAGGGATTGGCCGCTGAGTTG